GAAAATACAAGAGATGGAACCTGGGGTCTTCTGTACTCTTGAGCTCTGCCCCTCCCCTTAAATCCTTCTTTAAAAGTGTGTTTTTACACTAGTGGGTGGAAGTCACACTAGTGTTTGATTATACTGACAAGAGTGGTAAATCAGCCCCTAAGCATTGTGAGGTTTAGCAGGTTAGGGAGGGTTGGACTTCGTTTGGAGAGACCCGGGTTCAAATTTCCATTTGGCCATTAGTTTATTGGGTGACTTTGGTTGTTGTGACCATGTGCAAATTACTAATCTGAAAAGCAGCAATGTCGGCCCTTTTCCCGATTCAAATCGAAGTTGGTTTTGAGGAAAATGCATCAAAATGCAGTATTTCATAAGAAATGGCAGGATAGTTGTAGGATAGATATATGGATTGTGGCTAATATCATGTGTACACCACTTCTCAAACCAATAGTGGGAGCGTACTGGATGCCAAGTAAACAGGAGTGTATACACAGCCTGTGTCTCAGTGTCACCAGCACAGTTTTTGTGTAGGTAAACAAAAGGACCAGGTATGCTTTCTAGAACTTTTTGGAGAAATGAGATAGATAGATAGATAGATAGATAGATAGATAGATAGATGATAGATAGATATGGGTGGCATATATGCTATGGATTATTATTGTCCCCATTCTCTCTCATACCTACCAAAAGGAAATGGTTTTATTTTCAGTGAAAGGAACTCTCCAGGGAAAGCCTTTTAACTTGGGATGAAAAAAGGCTGGCTGCAGGAATCATACATGTGTCACTGTCTCCTCACTTGCTGCACTTTTTTGCTGGTTGATATATTTAGCTACTCTTAAGCAGCCATCATAGCCATGGACACCTTAATGCTCATTTTAAAAAATCATGAAGAAATTTATCATATGAAATAACATCCATTAATCCCTCTCAACTGCCCCCTTCTGATGAAAAAAGTCCTAGACAGTTTAGAGCCACATTTTTCTCTGCCACTCATCAACCTGCTATTTGTCTTCCTTTTATCACTGTCAGTGATTCATAAGAGAAGAAAGTGGGTCTCATTAAAAGAAGTGACAGGGAAAGCTGTTTGTCCTGCTAAATAATCCCATGCGGCATTTAATCCTCAGGTGTGTGGTGCTAAGGGGCAAAGAGCTTTAAAGCAAGGACTATAATAAAACACACACACACACACACACACACACACACAAATTGTGCATGGCTCTGGCAGGGGGGAAATTGGCTGCATTAAACTTGTGTTTAGTATTCCAGAATCAGGTAATGTTTTGTAATCCTAGTTGCTTAATTTGAGGTCAATTCTGACATAAGAATTCTCAAGCATGATAAATGTTTAGAACAAAATTAATTAAAAAAACCAACAATAGAATGTTCCCTAAGCCTTGTACCTAGTCAACATATTTCTTGTTTCCAAAATTTATGACACTGGGAGTTCTTTCCACATTCAATATATATCACACCTGAAACCAGTTTTAGAAAACAAATACAATTCACTATATTGTTTATATTCTATACTAGAAATAGAAACTGCCTTATCCAAGCAAAGATGTATTCCTGGCTGCAATGGAAACTAAAATATTGTTACATGCATGAAGGGATAACTACCATACTCACCCTTTCTATTTACTGTGTTGTTGTGTTGTCTATTGGAATGTTGGTTACTGTTATAAAATAGATTATTATGCTTCAAGTTTAAATAGAAAAAAGTCTCATCATCAGACTTTTCTCAGATTACGTGATGTAAAATCCATTCCTTGATCCAGACCAAGATTTCAGAACACTGCGGTTCAAGTACAGGGCAGTCCATCGCAGTACTTACAGCAGCTACATAGGAGCATATGAATTGCTTGTTTAACCAGGCCAGCACTCTGCCCACCTTCAATTCCAAGCAACTGGTATTCGGGAGCATAATGGAGGTAGAGCATAGCCACTGTAGCTAGTGGTCATTAGAGGCAGACAAAGCAAGGGGAATTCTGAAATGAATGACACTAGTAAAGAAGGAAAAAAACTATAGCTAAATTTGTTATTTATTTCCAAAATTTATAGGCCAGTTCAACACAAAAATCACAGATAAAAACATAAAATAGGCCTAATACAACTTACTTAAAATGCCTTCTGGAACAGAAAGGTCTTCGTCAAGCTCCTCAAGTTGAACAGGGAGGGGACCTGTCTGATCTCAGCTGGGAGTTCCACAGAATTGTGCCCATATTAATGAATGCACAGCTCCTGCTGGGGACAAGCCCAGTGTCTGGGCCATCAAGGACCACTAACAGAGAGTCCCTGAAGATCTGTGATTGGGGAATAATATAAGGAATCAGGTGGTCCTTAGCTCAAGGATACCATGCAGTTGCTGAGGGCCTCACAAATTAATACAAAATCCTGAACTCAGCTCAGCAATGTGTGGGCAGCCACTGTAGGACGAATAAGAGAAAAGTGCCTCCTTCTTCCAATGGGAGGCTTCATGGACTCTCTGTCCCTTCTCTGAACAGCAGGAGCCCTTCCATTTGCAGAAGGGCCACTCTGGATCCAACCTTCTAAATTTTGCTGAAACCAGAACAATTTTGTCACTATATTAAAGTTTGCACATTAAACTTAGGGTTCATCCATACTTCTGCTTGTCCCACAATTTTGAGGCACAGGTCTGAGAGGTTTTTCTTTTGTCCCATTGCTTTCCCTAGGAAAACCTGCTGTTTCCTGCTGAATCTAAGCAAACATCAATTGGGTTTTCTGTGGATTGATATCTCACCAAAAAAAAGCAGATTAAGCGCTATGGTTTCAATGAGATATTAGTTATGTATGGTCTTGGAATTTGTTCGAATTGGCATGATTGCAGCACTGCTTCAACACTCTTTGACTAACTGAACTGTGCAATTTAGATTATGCTAAGCATGTTTAGTCAGGCAAAAAACATGCTGAGTTCTATAGGTTTCGATCCAAACAAGGTGTGCTTGGTATTGCAGTTTCTCTGCCTCGTCCTCCATCAATGGTCCTCCATCCAAAATGTCTTTTCCTTCCTCTATTTTTATTTAATATTCTGTATGATTGATTTAATGCAATAAAAGGATTTAAACAAATCCAATCAGTCGTTTGATAAGTAATTAATTATTCAAAGTGCTGCAGAGCATCCTAATCGTTAAGACTCTAACCATCTAATTGATATTTGCTCCTGCATCTGTGCAATAAATTGTATTCCCCTAAGAGAGCTGGATCATTTTTGTTTTTTTGGTCACCACTCAAGTTTCCTAACAAGCACAAAGAATCATCTAGTAGACACAGCAACAATTCATATTTTTTAAACACTGGACATTTATTTAGGTTCCTTTTTTTCCTGAACTCATACATTAGAGGATAGATTCTAATTTGTAACATCAGAATATAATAAGCAAATATATAATACAGTAAATTGCATTTATACACATAAATACAAAATTTGAGGTAGGGCCTCAAGAATAATGATTTATTAAATGAATAATGTATAGTATATCATCATAGGTGCTATATAAGATAGATATATAAGATATGCATCCTTTGAAACATAATGTATTTTTTTCCCATTAGCTTATACATGGAGAAAATATAATGTCCTGATTAGGGTACATATCTTTATCCATAGGCAGCAGTACCCCTATAGAATGCCTGTAGTATTTATGACATTACGCAAGTAATTAAGAATTAACCTATTCCATGATAGGTCCACAATAAAGTGCCTAAAAGACACAAAATACACTATATACTCTAGGTGATGGACAACAATATATTCTAGTCAAACACTAATTTTATTCCTAATAATGAAATACACCTATAAGGCAAATGGTTACCTGAAGATGTATTTAAAACATGGCGGGCAAAATCATACTATTGCAAGCAATAAGGTCCAGCCCAGCTTTCACATTTTAAATTCAGCCCATCGAAAGCACACACTCGCTCTCTTTCTTTGGTTATTAGCTGCCTGGTGGTGACACAAAGGCAGAAACCATAACTACCTTAAATGCATTTTTCTCCCCTTCTTCTTAAACCTACAGTGGAATGCTAAGTTCCAGGCAGTTCAATAGGCACAGTTTACTATGTGCCAAAGTTTCGCTACAGGCTAGGAAAACAGAGTCGCATAAACACATTGTGGCTAGTGGCAGCATTTAAGGACTTCTGACTGAAACACTTACTGGGAGGAGCCCAGCAAACACCACCACTGTACATCCTGGGACTTGAGCGGTGGTGAGATCTCATTCAAGTCACTTTTAAAAGGGACAGAGGTAGTACAGCAGGAACAACATCTGCTAAATTAACCTCTCCCTGTAGCAAAGGAACACCTGCCAAGCCTGCAACTGAAAGCATTGACATTCCATTCTCATCTTTCTTCATTTGAGACAGAAAACCTGCTAAAAGGTGCAGTTTAATAGGAAAGAAAAAACAGCATCTGCATGAAATAAGCAATAATTCTAGTATGAGGCCACTATAAGCCCATAAACCACATAATTGTGCATGTATAGAAAAAGGTGTGAGGGAGGGGAGGGGAGGCTCATTAATGCTAAATGACATTTTATGGCAAAAAGAAACCATAATAAAGAGGAAACGGTTTTTCCCCCCAGTGCAGACTAGGCATCCAATCAATGGAGCAGAACCTGATAGAAACAATAACTTGGCTCAAATGAAACATTGGCCTAAACATATTCCAAGCCTTTTTTTTTCTAATTAAAGTTCATTTTGTTAAACCCTCCTTTTAGAAACAAAGTGCTGCTATGTTGAACACACAGGTACTCTTTACAGATGACCCTAAGGAATTTTAAGGTGGAATATTTCAGCTTTAAGCATCATTTTAATGTACAATAGTGCATTTGACTTATTCAAAAGTTTGCTTCATTTGTTAGACAAAATGTGCCACAAAGACAATCTACGAATAGGTTTTTAGTATTTTCATTTGCAAGGTCATCAGTTATATAAATAGATATGTCACTTTTCTGTAAATATGGCTTTCTTTCTTTTTTACTCTTTTACATTTTTTTAAAATTACAGTTACTAAAATACTTTAATGTTCAGGAAGTGCTCATAAAATAAGTGCAATAACTACTAGACACTCCACACAGGTATGGCATGTGCTTGATTATCATATAACCAAGTTTTGTTTTGTAGATTAAAAGTGAAATACTGCGCTTGATACATTTAAAAAGGGAACAAATGCTTTTGCTCTAATTGAAACGACTAGATCAGTGAAGACTGATTTTCTTTTTAAAAAATTTATAGATTCTGTACCCTAGGCACTAGGCAGAAACTAAAATTAGACTGCTCATGTTCAGCGCCCTCAACTGAAGCTTTCCTTTCAAGAGGATTTTTGCCATCAGATTCAATGGAAAATTGCTACCATTTGTAAAATAGGGTGAATTCAAAAATAGTCATTTCCCACAAACCAGTACAAAGCAAGCAAGTAATATTTGTATCCTTCGGCATACATGTGCTCCAGATTACGCACACTGCAGTTCTCCAGACCAGCTGAGTATTTCAGAATAGCTGTATGAATTTCTACAGCATTAAGTGCCAATTTATATGACTTATCAGAGTCATAGTGGCCCTTCAAAATCATCTGAAATGTTTGCACATATTGGCTAGCTGCTTGTGGCCTATAAGCTTTTACAACCAGCAAGATTCTCTCTCACACACACACCGGCACATACATATTTTTATAGTGCTTGCCAAATGCTGGATCCTGTGTATGTGGTTCTGGTTGTGCACAGCTCACAAAAGCTTTTCAAGTGGCGAGTGCTCAGGTGGTTACATGATTCAGCCCTAACTCTACCAGCCATGTTTTGAGGTCACCAGTTTATTTCAGTTCAGCCAAAAATGTCTTAGCAAAGGGATGCGTGAAAGGGCTTGGTAAGGCTACAAACCTCCAGGTGCTTGTTCTTGAACAAATGTGCAAAAGGGCTGCAACAGGTTTTCTTTTTTAAATGAACTTTAAGTGGAATATTAAGACACAGTTCAGTTGAAATTGAACCTGGAAAAAATGTAATCATGTGATTAGGTTTTTCAGTGTAATCAATGGGATGGGGGGGTTAACTTTGGCAGGGCTGTGCCCTATTCATTCTAAATTGTAGGAAACCATGGTTACTTTCCACATCGACTGCTGTGGTTCAGTTTATGAACCCAAAGTATTAGGCAAGAAGGATTACCTACTTTTTTCCATGAAAAGAGTAATACTTGGGCAACACAATAGAAAATATATTAAGATGAAAAGCTGCCTTATACTGAGTCAGATCATTGGTCCATCTAGCTTTCTGTTGCCTGCTCAGGCAGTGGCTGTGCAAGAGGATCCCCTGTCTGTCAAGGATGCAGCAAGGGACTTCCTGTATTCAAAGCATGTGAAATAGCCCATCCCAAAAGGCTTGGACATGTTTCCCACTTGCAGGAGAAAATGGGAAGAACTTGTATATTTGGGGTTCTATATCTAAATTACATATCCTATTAGTCTTTTGACTACTATTGCAGTTGTACATATGTTTAATACAATGTAAAGTAGTACATACTTTACTCCAGAAATCTTCAGTTTCCCTCTACAAAAGGCTTGCAGAAGGTTTTCAGCTGATGTTTTCGTTTGATCATTATTTTACTTTGTATGTTGCCTTGAATGCTATTTTAGAAGAGTTCATGATTAGCAAGTTTTTAAAATACTAATAAAATGTTGCAGAAATAAAATCTGTGCACCAACATGCAGTATATGGATTTGGACTGGGTTACAAGAACAAAGTTAACAGAAAGGTAAACATATCACAATATAAAATTATCCTGATATAAACTGGTTTCTTCAAGACAGTACTGGTTGATTTTGTTTCATTTTACCTACCATTCTGTTTCAAACTATTTTGTTTGTAAAAGGCTAATTTCTAACTCCTGTTTATGAAATTTATTTTTGCCAAGAGCAACAGGTGGGTCTCCAAAACACAGCTCAGACAAGAAATGAATGCCAGAATGTAGCAGTTGCCCACTGAATCATCTGGCAACTGGTTCCACCAGCACTGAAATAATCCAGGTTAATTTTGTGGAAGGTTCACAGTCACCTTTTCAAGACAGAAGGGAACCAATGAAGACCTCTCTAAGGGCACACACAACATCTTGAAACATCACCTTTTGGAATTAAAGAGACTTCACACATGCCCTATTATTTCATAGGAGCATTTAAAGAAGTTTTCAGCAGATTGTGCTTATCTAACTAATAAAGGGATGGGGCAGACAGAATATTTAAAAATCTATTTTCCATTCCAATTGATGGCAATTTGTGCTTCATGTTGGCTGCCCAAGGACTCATAGTCGTCTTTCAGCAGCAAAGAACTGGCAACACTATTTGCCCCATGGAAGAGAAAGTTCAGCAAAATGATTCTAGGCAACAATCCAGCCACCATTAAGCACACTCTTATAACTGGTTATTTCTGTGGAAACCGTTTAAGCAGGATTTTAAACTGTTCCGTTGAAATCAATGGGAAGTACTTAACTGTGGCTGGATCATCCCCAAAGTTTTGTTTATATATGCATGCTACAATCTGAAACATTTTTAACTTTTGAGTAAGGCCCATTGAACTCCGTGAGGCTTGCTTCTGAGTAGACACACATAGGATTGCACTTAAATATTTTAAAACACACGTTAAGGTTTATGTCATTTTAGTTTCCATTTTAAAAACTTCCCCACCCACCCGACAGGATGAAAACGGCACATCTACAAAACACAGCTTTTAACTCAAGATTTACCTGAGACCCTGTAATGTGAAGACAGGCAAAAGGAAAGATATGATATAAACAGTCCCCTGAAAGAAAGTACGATTAGATTGGCTACTACAAACACCAGGAGGGGGAAAGAAACAGGCAAAACTACTCTAAAACTCACCATCTCTACACTGGTTGCTAAGATATTTTATAGGGACATATAACAGCACTAGTACACACTACAGGAACACCAATCACTTTTAAAAACCTCATATATGCATGTATAGGATACAAGAGGATACTAAAGGTTACAGTTTTGCCAATTATTTAAGACATATTTTTCTCCCTCATGTATAGTGCATATACAATACAAACAAGGGTTATTTCTATGGCATTTGTTGAATGTATTCTTACAAGCTCTATTTTCAATCTAGTTGTTAGGTTTAAAACTACTTTAAGATTAATACTTGTACATCACTGCACATGTTGCAGCGTAATGCTATGGGGTGTACTGTGTGCAGTAACACACTTATGGGTGGCATGTCCAAGAAACACAATTCTCGCTCTTTCTCGTTTTAGACTGTCCCTATACCACTGCAACTTGTGGTGGTGGTTAATGGCATATGAGTTTGGAATAACTGTGGATTGGGAGGAGGGGTATAAAAGCAAAGTATGTACACCTCAAGGTGGTTGTTTTGAGGAAGAATTTGTCTTTGAAAAGTTATGCGTTGTATATAGTAATAATTATTTTACAATTATTAATAGCAACAATTTTATAGACTAAATTCAGGGTTCAGGTACTTCACTCACCCTGCTGGCTGAAAGAGAAGAATACATCGAAAGGCTGTATAAAGAACTTTGTAAGAAAATAGCAGGGGCAAAAGACACAGATGATCTACAGAGCTAAACGCTAACAACTGTTTTCTATGTAGAAGCTACGATATACATACTATTGTAAGAATATAAAATTAGGCACAAATTATATGATGGCTTCTTGAGAAGGAGAGAGTGTGAACGGAAGAGTGGAAAGCAAGGAAAACATGTTTGAGACAAACCTAAAATGAGGACTTGCGTTTTCTTCCCTCTCTTCAGTTTGCCAAAATGATTAAGATATTTCAAAATACTGAGAACTGAGGCATTTTGATGAAACAGAAATAAAAACCTAGTAGAGTATTAATTGAAATGCATGAAATTAAGACAGGGGTGCCCATCTGCCTCAGCCTGGCACTCTCTTGCATCAGATTTCAAAACAGAGATACAGCTTTGTCTCCCACAGTATTCAACATCATGCTCTTATTTTATTTTTCTCCACACACACACACACACACACCTTTAAAAGAGCCTGAAAGGCTCATTAATCTCTCTCCACACCAATGCCAAGTATCATATTATATTAGTGCACTATATTGAAAGGCTGTCTCCTTGTATGCGTTACAAAGCAGCTCTGCTAGTGCCAATGTAACTAGCAGCCACTGAATGGAAGACATGTTGGCAGAATCAGTGGGCCGTATTCAGCTCCTATGGTGTAAATGCTGGAAGATTCAATTCAAACTCAGGGGAGTCTTTCCACTTTCGTATCTGGCATCACCGAGGTAGGAATCTAGTCCCATATCTTGCATACTAACTCTCAGCTGCATCCTGCAATTTTAAATTGTTTCATACAACCAATTCCAGCTTGTGTGTGAAGCAGAATAACTGCAGGATGAGGGAAAAGAGGGCCATAATTTAGAGAGCACATGTTTTTGTGTATGATATTCCAGGTACAAACCTCAGAATGCTCATAAAAAGAGATCTCAGGTTGAGAAAGACTTTGGCCCGACTGGGTCTAAGATAGCAAGTTTCAGGGCTGCCCGCATGTTAGGTTTGGTAAGGAACAGGATCAATAGGCCACTAGGCCTGACTCTTGTCCTAGCTATATATCCAGTTATGGCCACACATTCCATTAAGATATTAGGGTGGTTGTAGGCTGGGGCAAATAGATATGAAAAGGATTTGCCAAAATGGCAGCCCAACCACTTAGTTGTAGTATTCCAATAATTTTACATATTAAGACACTTGGTCCAGAGATGGTTCCCAGGCCTAATTTAATGTCCTTTAAAATCAATAACCACAGAGCAGGAAAACAAATTGTTGTGACTCTGCCACACTCAGGCAAACCTAGTAAATTTGCCCCGCCATTTTAGCCCCTATATTTACCGGGTTTTTGCAGGTCATGAAAGTAGGCTATGGGTACTTCTGTACTAGATGGTTGTTTTGGTAACACATTCACTTTTTTGTGAAAACCAACAGTAAGATGGTAACTATGGATGTATCTGCCTAGCACAACATATAGTTGCCAACCCACTTGTCTGTCAGCAAAACTAAACCACAGGCAGTGCTCATGGTGTTCCCAGATGGTGCCAGCAACCTGTATCCCACTCATATGACTGCAACAGAACAAAAACTATTTGTGTGAAAGAGTAGGATTGGCCCAGCGCTCACAGAAGCAATTTCCCAAAGCAACTGACTGATTGTCACTGTTTCACAATGAATGCATTTCTTCCTGGGCACCACTGTGTGTAAAAACCCAACCCAGTACTTAAAGTGGTCTATCTAGTTCTTTACTACAAGCATGCAACGGTATATCTTACTTTCTAAGCAACCACTTTCAGGCACTGTGAGGAGGAAAAGGGACAATGAGAAAGAAAGAAAGAAAGAAAGAAAGAAAGAAAGAAAGAAAGAAAGAAAGAAGGAATGGGCTGTACAACATAGCCACAAGTGGGGGAATTACTAGCACTGGGTCTCCAGTTCAAAATCTTTCGGTGGCAGTTTAAGTCCAAGGGAAGACGTTCCCAGTGGGTCTATCATATTCTGGTATCGTTCACCACGGTGTTTAGCCAAAAATGGTCCCCAATCTGGCTGTGGAGAGCAGACCAACTTGAGCCTCTAGAATTTGCAGGAGGGAGGAGAATTAAAAAAGTTAAAGAAAGCAGATCAGGATCAGGTGAAATTAATGATATGTTAATTACACTGCACAGTATTATCACAATACTCTGCCATTCAGTGTTTGTTTTCCACAAGGCTAGTAGAAAAAAGCATTCAGGTTTTAATTATCCGGCCTTCTGCATCTTCTCTCTCTCCTGTGTCCCCAAAATCAGGCACATGAAAACAACTCACAGTCACAGACACCCTTCACCAAATTCACACACCAAAGGACATGTGCTCAACTATGTAGCCCAATCATCTAAGCAGTAGGTTGCTGCATGAAAATAATTGGATTTTTGTTTAGCAAATTTCCCCAAAGTATACAGATGACCAAAAAGTAATACAGTGCCAAGACTATGCAAATATTTTAATTATCAGATCACAAATTATTTTAGTACTATGTGTGGAGGGGAAACAATGAGTTAATTCTGCAAAGATGCAGACAATTAAAAACTGAAGTCATTGTTAAAGATAAATAATTTGACTGGTGAATTTTATATAGAAAAAAGCAAAGAAAAACATATTTATGATGGTTTAAAAGGGAACAATTATATGTTTATTGCCTATTAAAGGGAATCAAGCCTCCATATCAGTTATTTTAATTTCTGCTTAATTACCAGCTTGCAACCTTTGCCTCCCAAATTGACTGTAATGAACTGGGTAACTCCAGCTACTGTGCTGAAAATGAAATAACTGCTTCAGTGAAATAATTTCCTTTCAGACAAGATGCAATGTTTTGGCACTACTTTGGGTAATATTATTTAAAAGAAGAAGTGATGGCAGGTTTTTTTGAATACGCAAGCTCTTAAGGTTAGAATTTGATGAACAAAGTTACTGACTTGAGAAAGAAGGGGTGGCAGCCTGAAAAATGCAATAGGTTTTAGTATAGGTTTTAACTCACTTTACAGGTAGTTCAGAAGAATCAAAACAAAACAATAAACTCTTGTTTTTATTGCTTTGCTGTGTCACTACTTGATAACTCAGAAGCTATGTTTGCTATACAGTATGCTTATTTTGAAAGAAAAAAAAATGATAATCCCCAGAAACTGGGCCTAGTGCAATTATTACTTGCAATTTTATGTATTATTGAACACATAGTACTTTCAAGTATTCAAAGCAGTTTACATACACCATTTCAACAACAGTTCGGACTGTGGAGTGTCTTGCCTCATCCACTAGGCCTAAAATCTTTCAACTTGACTCCATTATGTCAATAGAACAGGCCCTTAAATATTGTTGTGAGTTGGGCGGTTAGGCTATATGCCAAACCCTTTCTAATTCCTGGGTCCAGCAAAGATTCAATTGTTGGACTAGCCAGGCCAGCTGCTTGGTGAGCTAATGCCCCTCTAATTATGGGCTGTTAGGGTAAAAAAGGAAGTGGCTTTGTGCCAGACGACAAACAGCTTGGCCCCTACCTCACCTGGCTGTAAGGAAAAAGGACATGGAGCAGAGTTGAAGTGGGTGTTCATGTGTGTTAGGGGGCTAGAAGCAGGCAGAAACTGGAGAGACAGAGACATGCTTGGTTTCTATTTGAATCCAAGGCTGTGGCTATGAGAGAAGCAAGGCCTGGGGTGTTAATGTTGTGATCCTCTCCATTGTAGGATCAGGTTGTCTATATGTGTAAATAAACCAAATCCCATAAAGACATCATAATCTCCGCTGTCCCTCATTCCATGGAAACCAAACCCTTGGGTAAGGGCCTGGAACCCCAGGAATCTCACACTGCTTGAAAATTTGTGTGCAACAATATATTCTAAGTCAATGTGTACCATCCCCACTCCATCAGTGCTGAATCATTATTATGTTAATGGGATGTGATTCTTTTCCTTTTCTAAGCATTGTTTTTGAAACTGGTTTAAATATGTGAGATGCCAAACTTATCCTATGTCCTTAAAAATGAAAGAGAAGGTGTAAGACTTACCTCAATAAATCTGCCAGGAGCTATGTGCATTTTTATCACAAACATAACAGGAATCCAGATAACAGAACAAGCTAGCATCAACCATCCGAGTACCATAGACCAGCCTGGGTAGTGGTAGCTGCCATAAGTCATGGGTTCCCACTGGTAGAAGCTGAAGCAAAGGATGAACTGGTAAACAAACAAAAAACACCATCAGCAAACACACTTGGATACAAACTGTACAAAATGTATGAGTACATTATATATACACACACACACAATTTGAAACGGTATGAGTGCACATAAACAGTCCATATCATTATGCTACAATAAATATACTTCTATAATCAGATCAGAGCCTCTGTTGTACCAGTGTAAACCTAGCATAATTCCACAGACATCAATGGAATCAAGTTATATTTACATGTGGGAATGAGACCAAAACTTTGTACCTACAGTAAAAAACTTTATTATGCAATCTATTGGCAGTGTCACTGAATGTAATTGTATTATTATTTCATTGCACTTACTGTATATAGAGCAATGCATCTGCTTCTGCTGGTACATAATTCAGTAACATCTATGAACTGCCTACATTTACCATAATTTAACACAGGTTTATAACACTGTTGCCATTAATGCATATATAAAAAATGACAACTCGTGAGATGTAGATCCATTTAAAAGCAACCTTAACTATTCCTATACAGCAAATGTTAGTTACATCTAATATTAGTCTGAACAAAGACAAAGACAAGAAAGACGCAGGTTGGCTTTCTCCCAGTCTTATGTAAAGCACTATATGCATGTTTATCAGTGTGAAAAACTTCCTCTGTTATAAACAGAACTCCACACATGTTACTGTTGCATACTGTATCTTTCTTCCCTTAGGTAGGACAGTGACCTAGGGGTGATTCTGAGCAGAAAAGGGGTAGATTTTGGCTGGAAGAGAAAGAGTTGGGCAGTGCCTTCTCTCTTTTTTTAAAAAAATGATATTTATTGAAAAAATTTTAAATTACAGAAAAAAACACAGCAGAAAAAGAAAAAAGAGAAAACAAAGAGAAAACAAACCACATCAAACAATGCAGATTCAAAAAACAAAAATACACCACAAACAAATAAAAACAAATCCATCATTCTCGAATCCTCAACTTTCATTACCTTCTTTCTTTGACCTCCTCCTCCTCCCTTTTTGTATCTTAGTTATTAATTATCGCAGCAAATCCTTTCCATATTTCATAATATTCTGTCATTACATTACCTTAATCTATTTTCATCTTATCTTATAGAAAACCTTAAAACTTAAAACTTAAATCTTATTTTTACCAACTTCTCATAACCATAATATTCTTACCTAATTCTTTAAACATTTTTGCTAGAGCCAAGTAATTTTGTTCCAACATTTTTCTAACATTCATCAATTTTATAAAACAATCCTAATAATAATAAAAAGGGGTGGGGAGATACATGCAGCTTCATGTCAACAAAAATGAACGAGGCACATTAGGGGATCTGGGAATCTTTCCCTGCTGTTGGACAAGGGTGGAAAAGGCTATTTTGTTTCCTTTGTAATCCCCTCTACCCCCATATTATTATTTCTTTTTCTGATGTTGTTATTCACTTAAACTGATGCTATTACTGCTGAGGACTGCAGGTGGTGAGCAGGCCAGGAGGTAAGGACAAGAAGGTAGGCAGTGGAGAAGGCAAGCTGCCTCTGCTGGTAGCCTCATTCACTTGCACCTACAAGAGGCAATGGTGGCAGGGAGGAGGTAGAGGAGGAGGACAACGAGGGGAGGAGGTCAGTGCCTAGCGGACACGTGGCAGGCAGCAACTGAGTCAAATGGCAGACACCTCACAGGGCTAGATAGAGGGGGCAGCCCTTTAATAAAGCAAATCCAACCTGCTTGTAGTTTTCAGTTTGCTGCCAGTCTGGTTGCAATGCAACCTATCTCTGCCACCAGAACAGGACTCAGCACCTACTCAGGAATAGAAGAGGTTGGAGCAAGAAGCATTCATCAGCCAGTTACAAAGAAGCAACTAGGACACCAACCACTCCTGGTATAATTAATAGCCATAGCTGTCAACTTTTTTCCTTTTTTTTAAGGGAAATTCCCTTATTCTGAATAGGATTCCTCGCAAGAAAAGGGGAAAGTTGACAGCTATGTTCATCTCTCTCTCTCTCTCTCTCTCTCTCTCTCTCTCTGTGTGTGTGTGTGTGTTTCCTACATTACACATAAATCCTGGATCATATGTTGCGCACACACAACTTGAACTGTGATATAGCTAACTTTGTGGAGAAATCTGTTCTTTGTGTAGGCCATTCGTTGCTTTCCAGAGAATGTAACCCAGTTGAAATATGGATTGTGATCTGAAAATCTGTGTGGCTGGTATTGCTTAGCGGAAGCATATACAATAGCTGAGCCCCTTATATGAGCAGAACATTTTAAAAGGATCTGCACCTTTTTTTGTTTGTTTTGTTTATCAGATTTCTGAGCCATGCATCAAAAGATTTCAGGCTGGTGTATTAAAGCATGAATGAAATTCAGCTATACAACATACAATTTAAAGCAAACAAATAAGCATAACAAAATACAAGAAGGCAAAACGAACAAAAACAAACAAACATAGCTACAAACCAAATAGAACTCAATTGCAAAAACCACATATAATATAAAATGCCTGGGCAATTGGGAAGGTCTTTTCCTAATGAAGTTTCATCCCTGAACTCTTAGGCTCCACCCCGTGGACCATGGCAAGGTACCAGAATTTTGTCTTTTTTCAGTAAGAGGTCAATGCAACATCAGATTTGGACCTTACACAGTCACATCTGATAGGACTAAAAGCAGGTTGACAGACCATGCTTCAAACAGCTGCACTTTTTTTCTGCATGTGTGATAGCAACTTTGCTTATTGGAGACGTGTTACAGAGATATGTTACAGCTGAGAATAACATATTACAGTTGATGAGATTAGTAATGGGAACCATGAATGGTTTGATTCAGAATAAGCCAGTTTCCTAGGTTCCTAATCTTGAACCATAGTTCACCTGAATCACCTTGCTTAGGGAAGATACAGTGCCATGACCAGCTAGCTTAGTCTTTTGCTTTATCCTCTCACAGGCCAATAACATGCCTGGACTTAGAGATGGGAAGAACCCCTGGCAGATGTGGATTTCTGCAGCTGGAATCTGCCAAAATTTCCAGAATTCATCTGGTGATAATCACAGTGACCTTCACTACATCACACTGAAGTACTGAACAATGGCATCCCTTGACCTTGCTGAGTTTTGCTGGGTAGTTTTCAACCCCATCTGCCTACCAATATATCATATATAATCTAAAATGACTGGGCAAGTGACGTGTGGTAACACAGGGTAGCCTAAAACTGAAATATACCGTAGTTTTGTGGGGTATTATTCTACTCCAAGCCAGTCTTGGAGTGGTAAAATCTCTCAAAACAAAATTATGTGCATTGTGTCATAAAAAGGGCAATTACCTCTTCTCTCCTGGATTGGTTTATGTTTGATAAATCACACAGGGCCTCTCACCCCACCCCCATTAGCTTGGACAAAAGAGCATCCCAATGATAAGGAGGAGAAGGAAATAGATTTTGTGGAATTTTTTTGTCCGAAAGTTTTTCATTTATAGAACACAATCTGTAAATAGCAAGCAGATGAACTCTGGGAGCATTGCTTGCTGCCGTCCAGGTGGCAATAAATTTGGAGAACAATATTGATGCAATTCTGCAATCGACAATGCCACCAATTTTTTAAAGTAAGTATTTAGTTTTAGTTAGTTAAAAAAAAAAAAGGCAAGATTTCCATGTTGTGATCTCGCAGTCCTGTGCCTGGAGTCTGGGTAATAAGGTCAACATGTCATTTATGTTTAGTGGGAATAGTAAAGTCTTTTTGTACCTCTAAATCATCTCTGCTTTTCCAAAAGGAAGTGAATAAAACTATGCAACAATACTATACAAATTTTAACCATTTCTGGGTCAGGGTGTTCCTTTATGTTAGCTATTTAAATATAGCATCTGAACACACATATTGCCTACCTTTCTGTCTGCTAACATGCATTAATATATCCTGGATTTTAGTGGGATTTTTCAAAGATAGCATCTTATTACTTTAACTGGTCTTAAATTAACTAACTCATTTACATTCATCACACTTTTTCTTTCTCATAAAAATAATAATCACCTATTGACAGAGACATGCTGTTCCCAATTCATAAGAGAAAGCAAAGAGATGATGAGGTGGGGGGGGGGAGGAAGAGGTGAGAGACAAAATTCACAACAGTTGTATGCATGTGCAAATACCCTTGCCCATGGTGTCTCTGATTTGTACCACTAACTTTAATCTACAGTAGAAATGCTTAAATGTACTGATTTTTTAAACGAGTGGATTAATTGTTGTAGTTAGGCTTTCAGTCTGGGAAGAAAGGTTCTAACACTTGGACATAAAGGGTTTAAAATCTTCTACCTTCAATAAGCTGTTCAGATGTGGAGAATGGTGATGAAGGATTCTTTTATCTCAGTGCAAATAACAGGTGCTAAGAGAATATAATAGTATAGGGTCATGTTCAGAAGGAAGTGTAGGGTGTTCCTTCCTCGGGGATTCAGATTACAGGCAATGTGAACAAACGGCTCTTCCGTTCTATCTTTAGAATTCTGAAATTGGTTATTAATCTGTTTTAAAATGCAAAGGTATCCCCATAATACTTCAAAGTATAAACTGCAATAAAATAGGAGAGACGTCAAGAAGCATATGTGATTATGGGTGCTTATATAATAAATGCCTTTGTTCAATTCCTCCACCCCAATGATGATAATGTGAGTGCCACACTGTTTAGCAGTTTGCAGATTGACCTTGACGACTATAGAAATATTAATGGATTTCCCCTCCCTTTTTCTGTTAGCACCTCACAACACACACACACACCACAGAGAGAGAGAGAGAGAGAGAGAGAGAGAGAGAGAGAGAATATATCTAGCACTGGAAAATTGAAGCTCCTGATACAGAGTGGCACCTAGTGGCACTAGGAATCATTTGCTGCTAAATTGCACAAACATTTTTTTTAAAAATTGTATCTTGTGCTTTGCATTGGAATACATTAGCTGTGCACAGAAAGCAAAGCCGTGTTTACTTAGAAAGGTTTGTCACAATGACTCAATTTCAGTAAGTGAACTTGATTAAGAGAGCAGCCATTGTTCTAGAGAGAAATGAATACTTGGCAACACATTACTCCACCCAGCCTAAAAAACGAGTTCACTTCTTAGAAAGATGGCATCTCTGTTCAACAGAGCATTTAAGCATATGGCTTACTCAAATGCACTCCTCCTATCAACTGCCATGAGGCTCATTTCCGTCTGTGAGCGCCTTGGCAAACCTGGAGCTTGAGATTTTAGCCCTTTCCAAACTGACAAATACAATTAGGTTCAGAGTTTCACATTGGTTAGGCTGCATGTGTTCATTCCTCCCAGTGTCACACAGCTGCTTTTCCTGTGCTAATACTGTGGGAAATACTTAGGACTTAGGGCTCCCCCTATATTATGTGAGCAGGTGATGGTGTAAGGTGCTTATTCATGGTGAGATTCTGTACACTGGAAACAGCTGGGGCTGGCATGGTACGGTGGAGCTGCCCTAACACCAGCAAAGCTGCAGCTTTCCTTGATGGGATGCCGCAGGGCAGGGCAGGGCAGGGCAGGGTGATGCCAAGTCATGGCTGCATGGATGAACCAGCAGAGCCATTCTGGTCTCCTGCCAGGGCATCAACACAGCCTTGACCTGGCTCTACCTTACACCACCCAGGTAAGCTGCAGCATCACCAGTGTTGGGATGACAGCTCTGACCCAGCAAACTGGCTGCTACTGACTGGAACCACCTGGGCGAGGTCAACTGCATGGGCCTCTTTGCTTCCTCACCCAGATGATTCTGAAATACATATACTTGCCATTTCAGCATGATAGCTCACTGCAAAGCAGCTGTCATACTGCCTAACGTATTAAGTTAAAGTAAGTCATTAACTACAGACAGGACTGCAGCTACTGCAATATGAAGCGTCTGTCATTTAACCTATGATGAAACTGAAGCTTACAACAGAAAAACAACAATCCTATATTTATATATATACTTTGCATCCTTGTTTGGTTCATACTTGCACACAGTATAAGTTCATTAATGCATGAGTGAGAACATCGAGCACAACCACTGAAATTTATTTCAAAATAGATAGGAGCTATGCAAGAGCAAGTTCCTTCATTTCAGTGCATTTCAATAGGGCTTGTTTTGGAGAATTTATTGGTGCCTCATCATCCCCATCTAGACAAGTTGCACACACACACACACACTGTATGAAATAACAGAAAACAAGGATCAGAAATAAAGGGAAAGCAGCCATCTAATGAATAAAGATTATTCCGTGATACTAGAAGCTTGGATAAGTTACACTGCAGTATTTGGCAGAGCAATCCTTACAGAGGAGCAGAATGATGGATCCATCATCAGCTCCAAAGTCTTTCAGCTTGCACTGGCCAGAGTGGAAGATTGTGGTGGTGTTTCCTGTAATTCCAAGCTTGTGTAGAAGAGAGGCCCCAAATACAGGGATCCATGGGTTTTGGATCCAGTGCGTTCAAGGCTACAACACCCTGCTCCACCACACCCAGTGGCTTTCCCATTGGCTACAGCTGGAAGTAGTTTTCCATCTGACTAAATAAAACAAGGACATCTCCCCACCCTGCTATGGTGGAGCTCTCCTCTCCCCAGTTAAAACCCACCTGGTGGCACTTGTCTCCACCTATGCCGGCTGGAAGAGAGCTAAATACATGCAATCCTACCCCCATTGGTGAATGTGGGTATGATTGTTCTCTAAATACATTGTAGAAATCTCTTTTTGTTTCATTTGAAAATAGCAGGTTTAACTAACAGATGTTGCGGCTATTATTGCATGATTAGCAGTGAGGAAGAAGAAAAAGTGTCAGAAAGAAACAGATGTTTCAGGATAGTCTTCCCTTCTCAATCGAAACCCCCTTTTCCTGATGCTTACTGTTAAAATAGTCGGGGTCACAAAAGCCCAACAGACTCTCCAGAATTTGCTTGGCTGGAATCCAATCATCATCTCAATGTCTTCACAAAATCTTTGCAAGCCTGTAAAACAAACAAATGTAAATCCAAAATGCAAAAGAGACTAGGCTGCAGCTTACAAAATAGCTATTGTGATCTCCCTTGTGTCTAATTATGGGAACAGACACTCTGACTTGTCAGCCCAACTCTTCAAGAGGCATTCTAACCATATGGTATAATGTGGGTTATTATATGGATAGCCATCCTAAGAAATTATTTACACTCACAAAATTGGTACTGTAATAAATATTAAATATACTTCTGGCTTTTCCTCCCATATTTTGAAACACAAAAGATAAAGCCTATACCATTTTACTTGCTACAGTTCTGCAGGATCATATATTTATTTTTCTCATTTTCTCCCTAAAGAAAATGTGGTGTTCCTTGTTGTGGCAATGAAGATTCATGAAAACTTAATTGAAATGAATGGAAATTACACACAACAGCAATGTTTGTGGAATTGCTCTCTTGAAAGCAAACTTTTAAAAAACACAATCATTCCTCCTCCCAGTCCCTGAAAACACAGCTCTATTAGTCAGGCTGGTAATGATTCTACTGTAACTGGTGAAATCAGAATAATTGTTGTGTACAGGTTTTGTTTGTTGTTCTTGGTTGTTAACATCCCCTCTATAGACAAATAGGTGGGGTAGAAGCTGGGAGAAAGGCTTCTAAAACAAAGTTCAGGGTGTGCAAGATAATATTTTATGTATTTATTTAACACAATGCAAATCCTATCAAAGCTCCTGCTCTGGATGGGGTTACAGTGCTCCTGAAGGTGCAGGTTTGTAGCTTGGAGGTACTCCTGGATCCTTTGCTGTCGCTTGAGGCTCAGATCGCCTCAGTGGCCCTAAGTGTCTTTCATCAGCTTCAGCTGGTGGCTCAGCTATTCCCGTATCTGGACAGGGATAGCCTAACCACTGTCGTCTATGCTCTGGTAACCTCAAGGTTAGATTACTCCAATGTGTTATACATAGGGCTGCCTTTGAAGACGGTTCAGAATCTTCAGCCTGTGCAGAATTCAGAGCCCAGGTTGCTCACCAGAGCAAGACGGTTTGAGCAAATTACACCAATCCTGGTCCGACTGCATTGGCTACCGATTAGTTTTCAGGCCCAATTCAAAGCACTGGCTTTGACCTATAAAGCCATAAACACTCAGGAGCACAATACCTCAAGGACCGCCTCTTCCCATATGAACCTACCCGGACCCTGAGATCATCTTCTGAGGCCCTTCTTCATGAACCTCTTCCTTGGGAGGTCAGGAGGGTGGCAACATGAGAATGGGCCTTCTCTGCAGTGGCTCCCTGTCTGTGGAATGTTCTCCCCAGGGAAGTTCACCTGGTGCCTTCACTATACACCTTTAGGCACCTGGCAAAAATGTTCATTTTTAACCAGGCCATTGCCTGACTTGATCTACATCCTATACCCTTTTTAAAATGCTGGCTCTTTGGGGGGGGGTGTTATTGATGTTGTTGTTTTGATTTTATGTATTTGATATTTTATGTGAACCACCCTGAGACCCTTGGGTATAGGGCGGTATAGAAATTAAAAAATGAATGAATGAATGAATGAATATTGTTGCATGTCCCCCCGATCTCCAAACTGTGTGAGATTCCTTTTGGGATGAGGCACAGTGGTGTCTTCATAGGAGCCAACTCCTAGGGGCCGAGGTCACATCAGCCCCCCCCCCCCATAAAATGTTTGAGCCGCCCCCCAAGTTGGTACGCATTGCCATTCAAATAATGTGCATGCGTCACATCTTGTGATCAATTATGCAAGGCAGGGTTTACCTGCCCCACCCCCCAAAAAAATTCATTCAAATTGGCACCCCGGGTGGCTTTATAATATATGGTTTACAAATTTATACACACTGAGCCTATGGTGGAGGCGTTCACAGCATTAACACCCCAAAAGGGTCTTGTTTCTCCCATAGTTGCAGCCTTGAATTCAAACAGAAATCAAATATTCCTCCGCTTCTCTTTATCTGTCTCTCTCTATCTCTCTCTCTGGATTGCTGCTTTTCTTCTTACCCACATCCCTGCAAATTCTGGCTTTGCCCTAACTATCCACAAGTTGGGGGATTTATCATCTCACACAGGGCTCCTTTCTTTTGTTGCCCATAATGGCCCATCACCTAGGCAAACACCTCATCAGGAAGTTAGCCTGGCTTATATTTTAACACTTGCTGGATCCAGGAGTTAGAAGGAATTCAAGGCATAGTCTACGTCCTCCCTCCCCCCCAAAAAACCCCTTGTAACACTATCTTGGATATAACATATTGACTTCACTATTAAAAAGTGGGTGTCAAGGACTGAAATTTAGTTGAATATTAACTAAAATGCCAACAAAAATTACTAGATAAAACACCAACAACAAATTCATCTAGAAAAATATTCCCCAGTATCAATAGAACTGTTTCCCTTGACATCAGTAATAAAGTCAGGACTGTAATTCTCACATTATTTCAGTCCATTGCCTCTTTTGTTTGCTATGCCTTCACAAGATTGCCACATTATCTAGTTTGTTGCACGAGTTCTACGCACACAGCAGGTGCCTTCTGTCTTAATAAAAAGGGACTAATATTGATTTGGTGCAGCTTTCTTTTCAAACGTGCAATACAGCAGCGCAGCACCATTTTGCACTAGATAACAATTGGACAGCGTGATTCCCCCCCCCCCCCCTTTTCATAGCTATTCCTCACACTGCTATTCCTTACTACTGCCTGGTAACAGATTTGTCTCATAAAACCCCCCACAAAACCTTGAAAAACTGCCACTGTCATGAAATATTCACTCGTTAAGGAATCCCCACTCTCCCACCTTGAAACAAAATGAAATGTGTAACTTCTCTGTTTTGGTGTTTAGGTCCCCTCCAAGTAAAAACAGAACACAAGGCTTTAGCTAGTCACACTGAATATAGTGGGATTTACTTCTGCATAACACCGAACTAGCAGGTTGCAATCCAAGAACTCAGCAGGGCTTTCTTTTGATAAGAAATGTATAGGATTGTACCATTCTATCCAGGCATTCTGTTCCTTCATATGATAGGAGGGGTGCAGGGATGAACATGCTAGCTTCACACACACACACACACACACACACACACACACACCCCATCCCCATCACCTTCCATGCACCGGAGAGATAACCTTTGAATCAAGGAACATTTTCCACCCTGTAGGAACCCCAGATTTTTTTTGGGGGGGTTATAAATTCTGGGCAGAACAGACTCCCTGCTGCAGATATATGCTCTGAATTCAAGGAGGGTGGGGAGGACAGCAGTAAGGGGCTGAGCTAGCATATTTCTCTCATCTCCCCCTTTCTATTCTAATCACAAGAAGGAATAGAATGTCCAAAGAGAGATAGAATCACTTGTGAAACACCTTTAGACATTGCCACAAAGGACATATAAAATGGATGAGAATATGTCATTTCCAAATTCCAGTAGGAGATCAAAATTCCATCTTGGGAACAAGACAGTATGACCAATTCCAACACTGGACTTTTTAGGGCCATATCTAAATATCTAAACCTGTCATTCCATATCTTTGCTTCCTATAACTCTTTGTTTTCCTTTTCAGCATGGGAAAGGGTACAAGTCCACAAGAAAGTGAAGGCCAAAGGTAGGAGGTGAAGAAATCAATCTCCTTCCATCCATGGAGTTGGAAGGATGACAACGATTGGAGTTTGTGTAGGAGCAATTATGTGACTGGCTTACAAACAGCACTACACAGTATGAGTGTTAGTTACTTGCAGATAAACAATAGACATAGGAACAGGGAGTATTTGTGAGGAATGACTTGGTGAGGAATGACTTTTGGTAGGCAGGATCCATCTTGTCTATACTGAACTGCCTTGGCATGCAACGGTTCATAATTTAAACTAAATAAAAGTCCAAAATACAGATATAAGAGCAGAAATGAGCAACAGTGCAATTTTACTTCTCTCTCCTGAGGCTATTCTTGCAGAAAGAAACTAACTGAGCATTCATTGTGTCCTTAAGGAAGAATAAAAATAAAGATAGTTTTGATTATTCTGGCAAGGGTGCAGAGAGAAGTGGATGAAAGCAATTTAGTTTAAAAATGATTCTTTTTTTCCACTGGCTTATAGTTCTTTGTGCATTGCCTTGCATTTCACAATAAAGTAAATGAGGATTATGCATGCGATTTATGACATGCAGTGTGAAGCCCTAATAGCGCCTTACTAATCATTCACTCTTAATCTGAGAAAATGGCAAATTAATGTTTTTTGTGTATGCATGTGGAATGCTTGCCAGTTTGGGGTAGGATTACAATACAGAACTAATGAAACAATCCTTAGAAAAGGTTTTTCCCCCTCTTTTCTAATTTAAAAACTGGAGAGCTCAGTGAATAGAACATGTAACTAGAACTAAATACCCAAAGACAACCTGCTTATTGTTGTTATTTTAAAAATACTAAATACACAGAGAAATATGTTACTCAAGTGGTAAACTAGTGATTGTGTTAAGAGATATAACACATCAAGCTGAAAGCGTATTTGGAGAGAAAAAGAGAAATGGTACTGCAAGTTTAGGTAGCACCTCTGAAGGCTACAATCCTAACTGCATTTTCCTGGGGGTGAACCTCACTGAATCCAGTAGAAGCTACTCCTGAGTAGACATGGCTCAGAATGCACTGTTAAGGATGCTTCTACCAGTTGCTCTAAGAATGCCTTTTAACCTGGAATGTATCACTTTCAGAAGTTGTTTATGCACTATTAAAAAGAGAAGAGAAGCGAGCTGGTGAAAAATTGATTTTCAACTAAGCAATGTGGGAGATTTAAAACAACAACAAAAATCTTTTGTGACCTGTACAAGAACGCTTAGCCAACCCCCCCCCCCCAGTAAATTCAGAAGAAATTTATTGGTACCATACTACATTTTGGTGTTTTTGTTTTGACTTATATTCCACTTTGCTTCAGTTGTGGAATCCAAGGTGGCATAATCGTGGTTTCCAGGAGGTCTCCTGTCAAGGCACAGACCAGACTCAGGCCTGCTTAGCTTCAGCAAGGTTGTAGTCTTATGTGCCTTCAAGACCATACCCTGGATAAGTAAACATGCTAAGTTACATTTTTACCATAAGTTAAATGTGCAATTTGACGTTGTATGGTTCTTACTTGGAAATTTTAAATTGCAGTCACCAGTAGGGAGTGGGTGTGTCTGGTCAGAACTGGGACCACAATGACCCTTTCTCCCATGTCAAAATTCTAATAAAAATCCTCTCTCTCTCTCTCTCTCTCTCTCTCTCTCTCTACCCCAAAGCTGCTATTTGACTTGGTCCAAAACACTGATCACCTATGGCTGCTTTTTAAAGTTTAGAATAACAACAACAACAACAACAACTATGCAATGCCGATTAAGGTGACTGAATAATCAAGGTATTAATTAAATAGCTGCAAAGCCCTGGTGAAATAAAAATGACTTCAAGAAATGGCTGAAAGTCAAAATTGAGGCTGCCTGTGAAATCTCTGCTGGAAGAGAGTGGGACTGGTGACACTAAATGCCTGGGCTTCTGTAACACAGGGGACAACTAACAGCTCTCCTATGGATGACCAGGGGAATACATTTATTCAAGTCTAAATTGATATCATGGCTTTACTAGTTTAAGGTTTATACTTTGAAGTACAGATATGCCACAAAACTGAGGCAGCTTGTTTCAAGCAGGACACCAGTTATATAGGGGCTGTGTGTGTGTGTGTGTGACTGAGCTTGCGCAAGACGCAGCTTCTTTTGTACCACTAAAAAACCTGGGCGTGCACAAGGGTAGAATTAGCATCCAGACATATCAGCTTCCATAGGCAGCATGGAACTGAGAAACTCTAATTCAGCTAAATAGCTGAAAAGGCCTATTTGTATGGAAGAAGAAAGCAGGATAGGGCATACATCCTACCCATCTTAATTTACTGCTACAACGATCAGTCTGAGCATCACCTATTATTGTGACGGACTGTCACACAGGCAGGAGCCAGGTGATAGATCTCACTGAGAACTGACAGACATTTGAAATAATGATTGCTGCTGTTCACAGGGTGTAAACACATCCCAGTTTCACCTCCAGTTAAGCAGGTGGTGCAGGTTTCTATACAGTTTCAAAAGCCTTTCTGATGGTTAAATGTGGCTGAGTTGTAAAGGCAAGCAACATAAGCATGAAGTATAAATTTATTTACAAAGAAAAGGGCTACTTGGGGATCTCAGCAGAAGAGAAATAAACAAGGAACAGACTTCTGTTTCAAATATATTTACAGTCCAAGGTTGCCAGGTATTTTATCACAACTCAGAACTTTTAGAGCTATTGTTATTTCCTAAACTTGTATCACTGACAATAAAGCAGTAGGCGTGCCAGCTTTCCTTCAAAAATACACATTTCAAGCCCTTTTGGATACTTAGAAAAGGTAACTGCCATAAAGGCTTGGGAATAAATACTGAATAGAAATCCAAATACATTTGCTTAGTTCATGGTTTTAACTCAGTCTCAAAGTTTAGAGCATGGGCTTAAATGGATATGAGAAAAATATGAGGGCATGGGTTTTCTTTCTGTAACTATTAAGTGTTTCACAGTAACAACAGTCAATGTGGAGAGAGTAAAAGTAAGCAACAAATGTAAGGATTGACATTTCACTCGCGCCACTCAGTGGTCAAGACATGAATAGCACAGAAATGTTTCTTAGCAGTTTCATATTACAGATACAGAATAGGAATTGTAAGCATTTTTAAGATGTTTTAGAAAGGCTTTCTTCCCCCTACAGACATGCTGTTTTATCTGCTTAGAGGCATGTAAACACATTACACTAAGAGAGCAACACTTGCTTAAAGCATCACTTTTTAAAGGGTGGAAGAACACCTGGTTGTTTTACAAAGCAACAAGTGTACACTTTTACACACACAAACACTTGTACATATGTCAAGACAGCTTGTACCTGTGTTAAGTGTAACTTGTGGACAGACCTCACACTACAATATTGTTCTATAAGCTTCCTTGTGAGACAAAATTGGAGGGGCCAAACAACACGTGCTGTTGCATCATATCCTATGTAAGAGTCTCCCAGAATTATCAGTGGAAAAGAGGCTGCTGAACTAAATAAACCTTTAGTCTGGTGCTCTAGAATAGAGATGGGGAACCTAATGCCCTCCAGGTGTTGCTAGATGACAACTCCCACCATCCCTAATCACGGACCATGCTGGCGGGGCTGATGGGAGTTGGAACCCATCATCATCTGGAAGGACACAGGTTCCCCATCCCTGCTCTAGGTTTCTTATGTTCCCAGACATTAAAGGGCAGTAAAAGTATTTAGTTTATTACAATATTTTTACCACCATGGGGATACACTATCTGTCTCTGTTGCCTCAGGGCCCCAAAATGTCTTGGACTGTTATTCAAAAGCCTATGATGTAAATACAGTGGTGCCTCGCAAGACGAAATTAATTCGTTCCGCAAGTTTTTTCTTCTTGCGAGTTTTTCGTCTTGCGATGCACGGTTTCCCATAGGAATGCATTGAAAATCAATTAATGCGTTCCTAGGGAAACCGACTTCAGACCAGGTCCGGGGACAGTCTGTCCCCCGACCTCTTCTGAAGGCTGGGGGGACAAGGGCTTTTCTTCCCACCCACCCCAGCATTTTAAAAACCCGGGACAGCGGAGGGCTTCTCCGCTGTCCGGGCGATCTTAAAATGCTGGCGGGCGGCATTTTAAAATTGCCCCGGGACAGCGGAGGACTTCTCCGCTGTCCGGGGCAATTTAAAGCCCCTGGGAAGGCAGGCAGGGGGACAAAGACTTTTGCCCCCGCCAGCCTTCAGAAGAGGTCCTGGACCTCTTCTGAAGGTTGGCGGGGGCGAAAGTCTTTGTCCCCCCACCTGCCTTCAAAAGCTGTCCAGCCAAGGCTTCGCGGACCTCTCCGCAAGCAGCGGCAGCACTGCCGCTGCTTGCGGAGAGTTGCCGGCATGCCGAAGCCTGCGCGCGCTGAGATCAGCGCGCCCAGGCTTCGCGGACCTCTCCGCGAGCAGCGGCAGCGCTGCCGCTGCTTGCGGAGAGTTGCCGGCATGCCGAAGCCTGCGCGCGCTGAGATCAGCGCGCCCAGGCTTCGCGGACCTCTCCGCGAGCAGCGGCAGCGCTGCCGCTGCTTGCGGAGAGTTGCCGGCATGCCGAAGCCTGCGCGCGCTGAGATCAGCGCGCCCAGGCTCCGCGGACCTCTCCGCGAGCAGCGGCAGCGCTGCCGCTGCTTGCGGAGAGTTGCCGGCATGCCGAGCCTGCGCGCGCTGAGATCAGCGCGCCCAGGCTTCGCGGACCTCTCCGCGAGCAGCGGCAGCGCTGCCGCTGCTTGCGGAGAGTTGCCGGCATGCCGAAGCCTGCGCGCGCTGAGATCAGCGCGCCCAGGCTTCGCGGACCTCTCCTGCCTTCAAAAGCCGTCCGGGATAGCGGGAAGCGCTTCCCTGCTATCCCGGACTGCTTTTAAAATGCTGGCGGTGGGGAGCCAAGCCTTTCGGCCCCCGCCAGCCGTCCGGGGCCGCTTCTGAAGGCCGGGGGGGGGGGGGCGGCGGTGGGCCCCACCCCGAGCCATTAAAAGAGGTCCCCCGAGATTTCCCTATGGGCTTCGTCTTGCGAAGCAAGCCCATAGGGAAATTCGTTTTGCGAAGCGCCTCCAAAACGGAAAACCCTTTCGTCTAGCGGGTTTTCCGTCTTGCGAGGCGTTCGTCTTGCGGGGCACCACTGTAACCTGAAGTGCTGTGAATTTAGTCCAAAGCTGTCAGGGGATGGAGAATTCAGATACGCTTGTTACTAATAATTAGTCATCTTAAGATTGCAAGGTATTAGGGTTAATGCCGCTATGGCAATGGCACTTGGAAAAGGCCAGGGCTGGATAGCACAGAAGGCACTGCAAGTCAAAGGCTGGCAGGTGACTTACAGACTGGTGTGATAGCACAGCAGGTCACCCAATGGCATCAACACAGAGAGGAATATGTTTAAAGATGGTTTGTCCTTCAAATTTCAAATTTAGACAAATCCTTATATATGGCAAACTATGGCAACTGCTCGGTAAAACTAAAATTAGGCTAGGTTTTCCTAATATACGTACAATTATGATAGAAATCATATGTGAAGACCAGTGACTGAAGTGCTACAAGAAGTGTCTTATTCTACCTCACATATACATACATGCACATACACAATCCTGAATGCACTTGCAAAGCTATCAGCTGATCCATTGAGGTGGAGGAGGAAGGGCAGCGAGGAAGATAATCTACACTCACATGAACTGTTGAATGCCACGTTGTGCATGTTTTCCCATCATAGTTATTAATCTCATGCTGGAAAACATAACATCAGCACAGACTCTGAAAGGACATACTGAGAGCTAGAAAAGAACAGAACTGTCTGATCCTATCACTAGGAGACCAAATGTTGTAGAGTAATAATTTGTGAGCACTTTACCAATTAAATGTGCCAAGTTGTAATAATGTGTATGTGAGGGAAAGTAAGGGGTTTGACATACAGTCAAGATTCAGAGGCAGGTCTGGTTCAAGGCATTTTGCAGCCTAAATGGGGGCCAAATGGCCTAGAATCATTACAAGTGCTGCTGCACCATTCAGACACCAATGCTGCTTTCATCCATTTCCCCTCCACCCAGCCATACCGGCCTCAAGCAGACTTCTCTTCTGTGCTTTTCTTCTAGAAAAAAAGGTGCCACTACTGCATACCCTTGAGTACCCCCAGAAAAAAAGCTGTTATCCTGCAGGAATTCCTGTCAACACAAGGAGAGTCAATATATTTCAGGGATTTTGTATTATGGTACCATCAGTGACCACTGTGCTGGGTTGAGTTGCATAGACAAAAATAGAGAGATTCCTACCCTCAAGGCACTGTCAATGGAGAACAGTGATGTTGCTGATGGAAATGAAGAGTGATTAAGTGGGAAAGGGATTCGAAGGACACGTTGAGTATGTCATGACGAGAAGATATGGAAGCAGACTTATCAGATGGATTGGGTATACAGGACTGGACAGAGGGACAGTTCTGGGGCAGAGAGGTATAATTAGGTGTCATCGTTATACTGGTGGTTGTAAAATCCATGACATTTGCTGTGATGACTCAAGGCCGTGTACAGGGGGCACAGTGAAGACCAAGAGCAGACCCCTGAAGTAGCCAGACAGAGTGGGGTGAAGCAGATGAGCACCCCACAAGTGGCATTATTGAGTAAGCAAACTGACAGGAAGAGAACAAAACTGTGAAAGCTGAAAGGAAGGGTGATAGCTCAGTGGTAGAGCACATGTTGTTGCATGCAAAAAGTCCATAGTCAGTCGCTAGCATCTAGGAAAAACCCTCTCACCCAAGGCTCAGGAGAACCACTGTAGACAATGCTGAGCTATTTAATTCTACGTTTCTAAGGTATGAAAATAGTCAGGGTGAAGGTCAGATGTATAGAAGGTAGCAGAAAGATCAAGTGGGACAAGGTTAGAATATAGACTTTTGAATCTGATAGGAAGAAAACCACTTGTAATGTTGGCTGGACAGTTTAAGTGGAGGACAATGAGAGAGATGAAGAGTGGGGTTTGGGAAAAGAAAGTGAAGACAGAAAGAGTGAAGAGCAAGAGTGAGACAAAGGGAAGAAGCAAGACTGGTCAGTTTTTTCCAGGGTAAGGATGGGTCAATATTTTTTAGAGAAAGGAAGGATGAACTACTAACTCTCTCAGATTATTTTGGGTCGCTCAGCTCAGCTCTCTTATGCTTATGCTTAACAGAGCTGTGAAATCCACCAACTCATCCCTGAATGTTGCTTGATAATCTGTCTCAGGATGAAAGAGAGAAGAGTCAGGAACTCCTGACTCTACTGAACTCTTGATCTTTTGAAACTTTCAGTTTCCAATTTACCAGTTAAACATGTAAGCAAACCAGCTTAGCTGACTCTCAACAATCCCTTAGCAGAGCTGGAGGAAATGGCTAGCCAGGAATGCTCTGCTAGAGGCAGGAATAGCACCCATTTTGTATTCTCTCTAAGTGCGAGTTTCTTATAGCTTGTAAGGATGCTGTTTTATGAGAATTCTTTCCACTTCCAGCTAGGTCTGTAATGTGTTTCTATTACAATAAAATAGCACAAAGGGGCAATACAAATCTTATAAGCGGGTCTTAAAGTTGAAACGCCTCGCAATATATCCAGCGAGTATTCAATTCATTTACAGTAAGTCAAACTGGAAGATGTAAAGAGAGATGCCTGACACTTTAATGCTTCCTTCTTGAGACATACAGCAGTACGCAATCACCCATTTCATAAACAACATCTGGTGCAGCGATTTGGGATGTTGCAGTTGCTGTTGTTAAAAGGTACAGGCAGAGAGAGAAAAGAACCTCACTCCATCACAAATCTACAGACTACACATTCCTGTTATGGATATTCCCCACTTCTGACTCAGAGATCTGTCAGCAGCTTATTTTGTTCCAAATTTTATTGGATGAGGACACATATGGCTTCCGTTGGTTTCCACGGAAACAGGCTGCGAGCATCAATTGGTTTCCAAACATGACTTGGTTCCTTTACCAATAGGAATAGTTGATTGTGAGAAACTGGCAATTTCTTAGAACAGACTTCCCCAAACTAATGTTCTCCAGATGTCCTGGACTACAATTCCTATCATGGAGGATAAGGCTATCCATGGCTACTTGCCACAATGGCTATGTTCCACCTCCACTGTCAGAGGCAGTATGCTTCTGGGAATCTCAAGTGGGGACAGTGTGGCTGCACTCAGGTCCTGCTTTCGGGTTTCCCACAGGCAACTGGTTAGCCACTGTAAGTACAGGAAGCTGGACTAGATAGGCCATTGGCCTGATCCTCTTCTTACATTGATATGCCTGATCATTGGCCATGCTGGCTGGGGCTGTAGACCAACAACATCTGAAGAGCACTAGGTTGGGAAAAGCTGTCTTAAATGGTGAAACCATATTTGCCATACATGGTACAGCCTCAGTTATCCAGATCTCTCATTTCTTCTTACGAGATCCAGTGCCTGGATTCTGGCAGTGAGACTCAAAGGCTTACTCTCCCTGTGCATATAGCATATTGCTAAAGGAAGGGTTGTTGCCCTGCTATCTTTTACTCTTCAGCACTACTGCTGTGGGTGGCCAGCTACTAACCCAGTAGGGTTCATTTGATGAAAGGCATCAAAAGTACGATAAACAATGGCTTGGGCTACTCAATCACAACAACTTATCACTCAGGCACTGGCTGAGCTGCTTTCAGACTGCCTCTCCCTGCTTGTCACAGTTCAGTTACTAGCTTGCCTTCGGGAATCATTTTACATTCCCAGCAATTTTCTAGCTTGCCTGTAATCCAGTCAACACTGCCTGTGTAAGCCCAGGACTTTCTCACTGCTGGCTTTGGAATGGAAAATAACCCAAAGCGCTCATAGATCACCATCTGCCATAATTGACATCAAATTATTCAGAGTTATGAAAACTCTTTTAGGCTGCAAAGAGCTCCAAAAAAAGGGTGTCACCAAAACAGAAAGACAAGCAACAAAAATGGCAAATGGGACTTCATGTGTGTGTGAAATGATGCACACTGAGACAAAAGATCCCAAATGAACAGGTAGTGACTAGCTAGAAAAGTGCTCTTGTCAGTAAAAACAAACGTAGTGTACAGTATCAGTGAAAATGCTATGCTGCAAATCCTTAAGAAAGGGAGTGAAAATAAAAGGGCCTGTGGAAACAATAGATCAATCAATGGCTGCAAGCTGTAAAGGTTATATAGAGCCTTTCAAATCAGAAGCAGTATGCCAGTGAATATCAGTCACTGGGAAGCAATGGAGTATTGCCTTCAAGCTCTGCTCGCAGACTTCCAAAATATATAGGGTTGGCTACTGTGGGAAGCAGGACACTGGGATAGCTACCTTTGGTCTGATCCAGCATACCTATTCTTACAATAGTGGGAACTTCATGAATGTGCAGGACTCTGCCCTTCTCTAGAAATCCATCTGGGTTCAAATAGGCACATGAAGATACACGTTAATTCCAATGTAGGCAGCAGATGCACATACACAAAAGAATTCAGTTGCAGTTGTTAGTGTGACTAAATGAACAGAGGTGCCACTGCAGACTATAGTGCAAGCATGTTTTATGAAGAGGAGTGGGGAAAGTGACAACAGGACCCATTTGGGAATCCAAGAATCATAGCTCCTGTTCTCTACATCCGTAACATAGAAGTGCACAAAGAGACAATTCATAGCTTATTTCTCCGCTGGCCATCCTGCTCATTTCTCATGCTGAATAAAGCAGTTGTCGTTAGCCTAGAGTTTATGGGAACTGAGCATGAGATCCTCTCTGATATAGACAAGGAGTCAGTGAGAAAGGAAACACAGGCAGCACGGATGGTCTTGGGGACATCTGATGGCATAATGTGAAAGAAGATGAAAAAGAATTATTCAAAAGCAGCCACTTCCTTACCTATAAGGCTCTTGGTTACCACTTAGTTCTGTGCAGAGATTTGTGCTACTTTTTAATGGATTTGCTGGTTCACCTACCAAAACCTCAACTACCAAATCTCTGATCAGCTTATCAAGATAGTTGACTTTTGTTTAAACCCCACCATGCCAAGATGATAGTAAATATCCTTTATATTCACGTCAACACTTTTCACACTCCACTTCTAAAGTCGTGAGCTTTTATTTTTCCTATTTTCTTAAAATTTCAGGAACTGGTGTATTTCTAAGAATGACTTTGAGGAGGTGGAAATTAAAACGAATAAGCTCAACTGACTGACAGATTTCCCCCCCCAGTTAATCAGACAATCTGTGCCTACAATCTACCAAACATATCATACACTCAGAAACTCTAGTTTCCCTACAAGATCTGTCACAAAATATTACTTAATTGCACAAAGGAATGTCTTAACTGCAATATCAGTATATATTGTAGAAGAAACCAGATACCCTTGAACAGACTGGGGTGACAGCAGAGTGCTGTATTCTTAGCCTCCTTGCAAGGTTCATAAATGAAAATATAAAATAACTTCTTTCGTGTATTCTCTAATCTTCCAACAATGAGAGACAAGACATGTACATTTTCAGAAAAGGAAGAGCAGGGCTAACGACAGTGCTTAATTTCTAACATTAAATATGGTAGGCAACATCATACCTGCACAGCCATCAACTATGAAAATGCTAATCTCAGATATGAGCGAAATGGTTGTGGTCATGTCATATTTCACATGTACAATCATAAGGTACTGGAGATGTGCAAGCAAGACTCAGACACATGAAGGGACTGCAATTCCCAGATTATATATGAATAGCATTCTTAGTGCCTATGGTGGAATGATTCCTAAGGTAGTTGATTTGAAGATTGCAGCCTTCAGAACTTGAATTCTTCAGAGTCTTCTGACAACATAAACCTGGATATTATACTGTTAAAAAATCATACTTCATGCCACTCTCTGAAAACTGGAGGCAGAAATTTCCATACATCCAAGACATATTATTTTCTTGCAATTCACAGTGTATTGCAAGATAACTGGTGGGGAGAAGGTGTGTGCTCCTGATAAGCTATTATTACAGGTCATTGTCCTAATTAAGTTATTCAAATTGTTTAAAGCAGGCATTCAGACAAAAGCAGTGGGTGCTATCTACTAAGAACAAATTATTTATATTACTTGTGCCTTTCCATACAAACACACTTTGCATTTGTATTGCTTACAAACATTATATGACTTACTAATTGTATTTATACAAACTAAAAGTGCATGAGTGTACCATCGTTATTAAGCCATTATTAGAACCTGAACCTTGGCTACTGTGAACCTATATTCTTATTTGTGTACCACACAAATTGATCTGGCTGGTATGCCTCACCATTACTTTTATATAGCCTATATTGCTATTAACTGAACATCCACTTTAATTTTAACAAAGTGCTATCTATAACAAATGACTTGCTTATCTAAGCAGTCCAGCTGCAGCAATATAAAAAAGATTAAAGTTTTCTTACTCTGAGTGAAATTCCAGAGAAATGTTTGATTTTCAAACCATTAAATGATAAAAGTCTTTTGTTTCTAAAAGTGGGACTAGTTGTGTGCAACTCAACACATTTTCACATGTACTTATCACTGTGTGATCTAGATATATAGCACATTGTTTTCTTACCATAAATGTATGAAATGCCAACAAGTTCAAAAATGGCTATTATAACAAGAGAGTAGGATGCTGCATAGGTGTCCACAAGCTGCAACATGTACATTCCACCCTAAAAGTAAACAGGTAATTACTAACAGAAATGCCAAAAGATATTAGGAGATAATGTATCGCAACTCAACCAACTAAATATTTTCAGAGAGGAAAATGTTTAGATTACTGCTGCTTGCCATCATGTAGCCCACCTACTCTGGAAACACTCTCTGAATTCCATGAACTAAGAAATTCCATTATATTTCAGTTCCATATGGAATCTGAGCCCACATGCAAGACCATTTTATGCATTCTGTCTCATACATTGGCAGATGCATGGTCCAATTCCTTCTTCCCACCTGATACATACTGGAATGCATTGCATCACAGAACAGATCTGTTCTCAATTAAGATGAAAAATTTAAAAAATGAAGTGCCTGTGGTATAAAATGTAATATTCATGATAATAAGGTACTGCAAGAATGCAGATATTACCTTAATGCCAAATCATATTTTGTAATCTTGTTAAATCCCACAGTATCACATGTCACACATAAAATTTCACTTTGATCCATGCATTTTGTTTGAAAACCTAATAATCCCATGGACTTCTTCCTACCAATTGTAGGAACAGACCTTGTTGCAATAGGAGAAATCATGGGATGTAATGTGTACATATTATGGCAACACTTTTACCTGAGTGATCATAGGAAAGCCCATGATGAAAAAGGAGACACAGCATCCAAGAGTAAACAGAGGCTTGTGAGTACGTAAGTACTTTGGGAACTCATCTGAAACTGATGTCACTATCGTCTCAATAGTGGCAAACTAAGGAATATCAAAAAAGAACAAGTAAGACAATAGTAATCAAACACACAAAAACACATTTTGTTTAACATGGCATATGTAATATTGCTGCTAAAACCACTCTATGAAACAGAAACTGGTATGTAAGCTCTTTGAAGATCATCTAGTTGACTCTTCTACTCAGCAAAATGTAGATCCCTACACCAAGCTATTCCTGTAAGATTGCACACAATAATCTGCATTAACTGTGGGTTAAATAGCAAGAATGAATAAGAAGGTGCAGATGGGACAACGTGTCTGGCTGTTAACCAGAAGGTTGGTGGTTCGAGCCTACCCAGGGAGAGCTGTGGGCAGGATTCCTGCATTGCAGGGTGTTAGACTAGATGACCCGTGGGGTTCCTTCCAACTCTACAATTCTATGATTCTATGCTGGCCTGCACAATCTAAATAATTTTTAAAACATACAAAACTACTCAGATAGCGCTGAGTGAAGGGTTGATAAGTTCAAATGATCCACTGGAGCAATTTTACACATACGTTTGTGGCATTGGAGATGCAAAACAGTGAAGCAACACGATTCCACATAATGTTTCTGGCCCTCTTGCACCATATGCCTTAAAATGGCAATACTTGATGATTGAATTGATCTCCAACGGTGACATCAGACACCTTGAAGTATGCTGAAAAGGGTGCCTACTTCCAACACCTATCCTGCCTTTCCAAATACACCCCAAGCAGTCTTGTTTCCAGACATCATCACTTCCTCCAGCTTCATCACCAACCCACAACTCTACAAAATTGGTTCTCCTTGACCCCTGTGGATCTACATACTTGGAAACATCAGCCTCCTGCTAGGACAATAGTTTACTTCATGCCAGTAGGCTTACCTGCCCCTGGTTTGCCTGATACAGCCAAGTTTGAGCCAACTGCCCTCTAGCCCACAGGTTCCCAAACACCATGTTTCCTTCCCTTCTCCTTCCATTTTGTATACCCCTCTTATTCCCCTCTTTGAAGCAGTTGTTCTTTCCTGCTCAACAGTCTAGACCTTCTCAATATGACTGGTATTGTTGAGAGACACCAGTAAGGAGGAGTAATACTAATTAAGTTTTCTAGGCTGTAAACCACGATCCTTACTTTCAAGTACACACCACAGAGAACACTTTTGAGCAGAGGTGCATGAGACCAACCTTCTAAGGTTGCAGTCATATGCATTTTTATCATTAATATTGGTGAGGCTTACATCTGAGTAAGTATGCATGGAATCAGCTGCATGACACCTCACTCCCCCTCCCTTGAAACAGAAGTCTTCTTTCCTCCTCAGCAGCCTAGATATTCTCAATATGAGTGGTATCATTGAGAGAAACCAAGTAAGGATGGGTAAAACCAATACAGCATCTAGCAAGTAAGGATGGGTAAAACCAATACAACAGGGGGAAAATAATTAAGACCCTCAACAATTTTCAGGTGGTCTATGGAATGAAGGGGGTTTGGAACCACTGTCCAGCCCCTTCCATGAAGTGAAAACCTCCACTTTGATTTTGGCTCAAGTTTGGTCACAGTATGTGGGTCACTCTCTTTACAGGTCTGCCTGATTAACACCTTTCTGTTTCTTCTTCGATCCCAAAGGCGACTTGAATGTGGTAATTAACTTCTGCATGGCTCCTGCTGTGACATATTTTCACCGAGGTCAATTCTAGCACTGGGGTTTAACCTCAAAATCAGTTTTGGCTCTAATCCTACACACACTTACCTGGGACTGAACTCAGTCGGATTTATTTCTAAGCAGACATGCATACAATTGTACTGCCTGTATGTTTATTTTGCCTGAAAACCTTGGGTATGTGCTAGGCTCCTGCTTGTAACCAATTACGTTAAAAATTAATCAAATTTTCCCTCCAGTGACAAAGTGGTCCTGTAACAATAGCAAGGTAGGTGAAAGAAGGCAAGTTTACCATGGTGTCCAAGCCAAGTGTTAGAAGCATCAAGAAGAAAATTATAGCCCAGAAAGGTGAAAGAGGAAGCCTGGTTAAAGCTTCAGGATATACTACAAAGGCAATCCCAGGACCTAGAACACAAGAAACTAATATTTATCTGTTGATTGATAATAATAAAAATTATTATGAAAGACATCCACTGTCCCTCATTAATCCTACTGGTTTTAATTGAGGCACAAACACAATTCCTTTTTCGGTGAAAAGCCTTCTTCATTGTCACTTTGTGTTTTATTTACAGGAGACAGATTCCCCTTCCCCATCAGTTTTTTTTGTTTTGTTTTTTTTGCACTACATTGTAATGCAGTAGGGCTGGTATAATTCAGCAGCAAGAGAGTTAATTTAAATAGGTACTTCACAAAATGTTTGGGAACTATGACAAGCATTAAAAGAATTGTTGGTTGAAGATTATTTTTATTTCTGTGATGTGATGCAAGCAACTCTCTTTAAAACCTGCTGCTAACTGCCAGCTTTTCTGCGCAAGAAGGCTTAGGGGACCTTATATATTCATAAGCATGCTCTTTCATCTCTTGATTAAAGATTTCTTCTTGACTACTATAGATAAGGCGGCTGTTTGCACTAGCTTCTTACATGTGGAAAGTAAATTAAGGAATCAAAATAATGAGTTTCTAAAATTCATCATGCCCTCTGGGAAAATTTAATTGCAGAAAATGAAATTTCAGATCCCCCTTGATTTGGACCCCCTAAATTAATGTCAGGCAAGAGTTATGGCCACTAAGAGTTGGGCACACATGAGAACATCTGCTGAGTTTCAGAAGTAGAACTCGCTTCCAGATGAGGTCAGTCAGGTCCCCTCCCTGTACTTACTGAATCCTTTTTATTTCAGCAGACTTTAATTAGGATTCAATTAAAGTTATAAAGGATTTTATAACTTTAACTCATTTTTAGTCTTATTGTATTGAGTCTTTTCTACACTGCTTAGAGACAACTGTGATTAAGTATACAAATTGTTTAAGTAAACACAAGGCTCTCCAGTCTTGTTGGGCTCTGGTTTCCATCAGTCTCAGCCAACATGGCCAACAATCAGGGGTGGTAGAAGTGCCAACGCAACATCTGGAGGGCTACAAGTTCCCCAGGCCTGTTTTAAGGGGTGTGTAACCCCATCCTTAACAAGCTGATACTCTATCCCTGGACAGGTAAGCCTTTGACTAATAGCACCTCGTCTAGATTTACGGTAAGTTTAGTTTCCTTACCCTCATCTAGCTCATCACTGGCTCCAGAGCCCAATTCAGAACCTCTATGGCTAGATAAGAAATCTCTGGCCTGTGGGCTAGATGTGGCCCTTGGAGAATTTCCATATGGCCCTTCAGGGCATGTCCTCCTTGGCCCACACCTGCAATTTACATCTGAAAATAACCTCATGTTGAGAGCTTTTATCACTCATGCAAATTGTATGCCCAGTCCAGAATGGGGTCACAGAGAGGAGCAAATTATTAAAACCGTCCTACCTCCTAGGCCAGGGTCTTGATCCAGACTGGGGACCTCCCATATACAATTTGCATTGCAGAAAAATCTCCAAGTTACTCCAATAGGAGTTATTTTCCCCAATATACAAATGGGGGCACAGTAAACCCAATCCAGACTGGGATCCTGTGGTAGTGCCCCCACCCCAGGATTCTGAATAATGTACATTTGCAGGCTGACTTACAAACCAGAAAAAAAAAACACAACCCATTACCCCATGCTATACCATTCATAAATTGAAACAAACTCTCATACCTTGGTCGGCAACATCTTCAATGTCTACTTTGAGCTCATTTGCCATAAAACCAATAACGGAGAAGATGACAAAGCCTGCAAATATACTTGTGGCACTGTTGGTACAAGTTACTATCAAGGTGTCCCTGAAGAAAGAAAAAGATGAAAGAAAATATGCACAGTAGAAGCAATAGTGGATACATAGATAATTTATTCTTTGTGGAACACCAACTCTTAATAGACACAATACAAAAAAACCCCATATTTTAAGTGAAACAACAACATCCAAAAGCTTACTACTGATAAAAAGACATTCTACTAATATGAAAATAAAAACTTACAAAGTGGTTAGCAGCAATAATTAACTGATTCCATCAAAAAATATGATATTTCAAAAACTATGGGAAATGATAACTGTGATCCCACCACACTCTAAAATACCTATTGGTTGAACAAATTGAGTTGCTCATCCTCTCACACATACATATTCTTAGGATGGCAAACTTCATGTCATTTTTTTGAAGGAGAGATAATACAGGGTGATTCATAATGAAGTATAGTTTCCAGATGCTGTAAGACAGTAACAGGCAACAACATGGACCACAATTGCAAACTGTGAGGTAGATGTACTCATAAAGTTTGTGTTCTGCTACTGAGGGAAATGATGTAGGCGATAGCACATGTGTCACGTGACTAGCCAGGCAAAATGGCTGCGTCTGCAGTGGAGAAGGTGTTTTGTGTTCTTGAATTGAGCAAAACGGAATCTGTTACTGTTGTGTGATGGCATTTTCTCCTATGATTGGCATGAAAAATTTGAAACTTTCTTCTGTGGGGGTACGTAAAGGACAAGGTATTCACCCCTCCCCTTCCTGTTGATTTAGCGGAGCTGAAACAGCATATCACAGCCACTTTCACTGCACTTAATTCAGATATCTTAACTCGCATTTGAGCAGAAATGGATTACTGGTTTGATGTGTGTTGTGTGACAAAGGGTGCACACATAGAACATCTGTGACTGTTTCTGAAAAAACTTTAAACATTCCCCTACAATTCTGTTACAGGTAACATAAGATGTATTGCATTCTTCTTCTTCTTCTTCTTCTTCTTCTTCTTCTTCTTCTTCTTCTTCTCCTCTATAGTGCGTTGAAACTGTATACTTCATTATGAATCACCCTGTATTATTACCATATCAGACCAAGATCATATTTGAGCATTTGGGCACATATGCCTAAATGTGAGGCTTATATGTGGGTGGAACAGTGTGGTGTAATAACTATTTTTGAATGTTTGAGGCCCAGGTTTGAAGGTGTAGTTGAATAGCTATCAACCTCCCTGACAGTTTTGATGAAGTCACTGTCTCTTTCATAAGCTAGATTCAAAAACAAAGTGTTCCTCTGAGCAGGAAGAGTGAAAGACAAACAAGGTAATAAAAGCTGCAAGAAATATGGCATGTTTATACAGTTTGCGCACTGTTTTAGGAATGGGGAAAATCAGTGCTTTTTTCTAAAAAAAAATGTTTAGGGATACTCTCATTTTCCTACTCATATTGAAATACCGCCCCTCAATGAGGCCAAACTTAGATTCACAAAATGTTTAGGGGTATGCGTACCCCTGCGTCCCCCCAGAAAAAAAGCACTGGGGAAAATATATCTGGAAAGAATTTTACATTAGAACAAGACAGTGAGCAATCCTGGAATAACCACTAAGCAACCAAAGTTATACTGTTATGTACTCAGTGGTCTGTGTTGCCTGAGTTTGAGTCTGAACTAAGGATTCTGAGCCCCTGTGTTCTGATTCGATACATGATATCCAATCACAGAACACTTCAGGATTTGGGCCTCTGCCATTGGCCCTTAAACTCTGAGTTACAATTCGCAGCTTGGAAGTTTAGACAGCCAATCATGTTGGGAGTGGGAGTGGCCCAGGCCTTCAGAAATGTATATAAGCACTTGCTTTGCCCTTGTTTGTTTAGTTCTGTTAGTTCAATAAAGGTTCTTGCTGTTATCACCGTGTCTTGCGTCCTGAGAACCCACCTACACTTCATATACCCTGGAGAAAATTGCTGCTTTTAAGTCCTTGGCCCTTCTTTTAAGGCTAACACTCTTGCTGTTTATGAGAGATTGACACTTACAAAAACATTTACTTGCACTAATGAGCAAAGTCAATGTTCTAGTGCCCCTTACAAAATTTAGGGTAGTAGATTTCCTCCCTTCCCTTTCACTATTGCAATGAATATTTCCAGGGAACTTGGGGCCAATTTATATTGCAGCCATGTGTTCAATAGCCTCATCAGTGTTGATACAGAGAGGGCTGGAGGAATTGCTCCATGGATGCCTGCAGCAACCGGAGATGAAAGGTGCTACAGGCACTTGTAAGCTTTGGACATGGGAAGGCTCGTTTTCAGGCAGATATATGCATACGTCAATAAATTCATAGCTCAAAAATATAAATGGAGTGATTTCTTCCAAAATAATATCAAATAGTTTTCAGTTTCAATGTCATTTGTTTATCAGATGATGAAAAGAAATCTAGAAACCTGCCATAAAAAGCACCCTGCAGTTCCTGCAGACCTCTAAGGAAGACTTCCCTTAAGTAATCATTTTTTCCTTCTTGCTGAGACTTGATAATGCTAACTATAGAAACAGATTGCTGTGTTCTAACTTTGTTCTAAAGGAAACTTTTTTCCCCCTGGCTCTGGATCAGCATCAGACGGAAATACGGCTCACTAAGAAAGCTTATCACTCTCACAGAATTTTAAGCTGGGGTATGTGCTGTAACAGATTGTTACAAATCCAAGATAATTTTTCAGTCTGCACTGAAATGCACTGAAGGGGGAAATGTTTAAAATAAAATTTAGCTGTACTGAGGTAAATTATGACATAAAAGCCACTCTACAGCTCTCCTGCTCCTTTTACTTCAAGATGTTTACTTCACAAACAGGGATAACGGGGGTTGGAGGCTTTCTTTTCCACTAATGTCTCTATTTCTGGGGGTCTTAATGTGGCACCTTTGGACACAATTGCAGCCGCAGAGACCTACCAGGTTGCCCATCAAGCTCTTTAGACCCCCTCTGGACCAATTATAAATTATAATGGCCACACAGTCCAAGTTTCTCTTCACTCTCTCCCATGTTGTCTATGGAGGCCCTGCTACCATTTTGATTAGTGAGCACACTTGGAAAAGAGCAGAGAAAATAGCTCACTGCTGGTGGCATCCAATTACAACTGTTGACTCTCCCTTTCTCTGCAGGTAGCATCCAATTAGAAGAGGGAGAACGGTTCTAATAGGATGCTACCTGCAGGGGGCTTTTTGACTCTAAGGAAAAGAGACAGCAAGAAGGTGGGATTTTTCCTATAGCTGAGTGCAAAAAGGAAACATAGGTGCTGAGAGAAGACTAAAAAAAAAAACCAGATCACCAGGGGTTGGGGGTGGGGGAAGGTGTCCATGTGTGTATAGGTGATCAGGACACATGGAGAAAAACATATGGGGTAAGGGTAAAGTGAGAGGGGGGGAAGAAATCTCGACTTCTCTGAAACTGGTGGTTTGCTTTCTGTAAAAAGTGTGTTAGAGAGTAGAAAACTGTGGGTTAAAGGGGACAATTTTGTATTTGGGGGCTCAGACTACGCATCTGTACTCAGTTTCATGGGCAAGTTACTTGATCTCAAGTTCATTAGTTTGACATCTGTGGAATGGGTAGTTCTGACCTCACACCCACCACAGCAGCTATTTTGTGAGTGGGCGTACCTCTGTGGCAGCCATTTTTATCGTGTCAAATACATTCCCAATATTCCAAAAGTGCCCATGGGCCCAAAAAGGTTGCAGTCCATAGTTTATCAATTATTGCCAAGTTCATACACAACACTAGTAACTGTTCCCATGCTTCTATAGGAATGCATTCACTGGGCCTTAAACATGGCATATAAAGATGATTCCGTTAGTGTTCTTTAGGTCTCTTCTAGTACACAGCAACACATTTCTGTTTCTGATACTGCTAATTAATGCTCTGGGCTTTCCAAAATCAATGGATAATTGTAATATATTTACCTAATTCTAGGCACCAGTGCACACCCTCCAACATTTCTCCGATGAAATAGGGATGTCCCATTCCATAATGAGAATTTTACTATTTATACCCCACACATCTTACTGGGTTGCCCCAGCCACTCTGGGCAGCTTCCAACATATATAAAAAAACATACTAAAACATTTTTAAAAAACTTCCCTATGCAGGATTGCCTCCAGACAGCTGAGGGATTGGATAACTCCATACCCTCTAACATTTCCCCACTGAAAATAGGGACATCCTAAGAAAAAGTGAGACATTCTGGGATCAAATCAGAAACCAGGATAGCTTCTCTAAATCAGGGACATCCCTGGAAAATAGGAACACTTGGAAGGTCTGCCAGTGACTTTCCAGAAGTGGGAGAAGAGAAAAAATGTTTCACGTTCAACTCTAGGTCAAGATTGGGGAGTCTGTGTCCCTTTATATGTTGTTGAACTATAACTCCCAAAATCCCTGACTGCTGACCATACTGGTTGGGGGTGATGAGAGTCAGAATTCAACCACAAGGACATCCACAGGTTCCCACCACCAGCTATAGGTCTTCAGCACCATGATACTGGTAGGTAGATTGAAAGTGATGACTGCCGATTCATATGAGAGCAGGTAAGTAGAGACTGTTTATAATGTGGCATGAGCCTTTCCAACAGCCATGCTTTCCCCCTTGAAATGGCTTCTCCCTAGCAGGGGTTACTTCTTGTCTGGGAACCCCATGTTCAGGGGGGATGTCTGCAGCAGAGCAATTTTATGGGGAAACAAAGCCAGGGGAATAGCTTGGCTCTCTTCTCGCACCCACACGTGCTCCACAACCTGGCTCTTACACACAGGTCAGCTGCTATGACATCAAGTTCCATCCTTAGACATCAGAAGGACTTATATGGCATGGGTTCTAGTAAGTGTAAAAAGCAAGAAGTGTGTGCAAATGTCTAGTTAAATAAAACATAGGCTCAGGATCAAAATATAGACAGGGTGCACCCAAGACATAATGCACTATGGTTCCCCTACACCTGAATGTCCCAGTCATATTGTGGACTGTATGCATGGCTGACACTCTTCACTCAGATTCTCTTCAATATGGGTTTGGTATTTTTTATATATATAGAAATGAGAGCATTCAGTATAGATAAATTGGTCTGCTTAGACTAGGGAGACTTGAGATGCCTCAGACGAGTCACTGTCTCTCTGCCCAACCTCCCCCACAGGCTTGTTATAAAGTGAAATAGGATAACCCCCATATATATACCCTGGAGCTTCACACCAGTGAGACTTAAACTAGTTGATGCTTAAATTAATCTACAATGAAACCTTCAGCCTGGAATATATCATTGTCTGCATGCTAGTCTTGCATTGAGAGCAGTGGCAAAAACAGTCACAAGAGATGCTAAAATGTCATTTGGGGGCTGTAATCCTAAATTCACTTACTGATAAGTAAATGAACTCAATCGGGTTTTCTCTGGTGTTGATATGCATAGGAATGCATGGCTGTATCATGAGTGGAAATAGCAGAGCCTCAAATTTAGAAGGCTCAAAGATTTAGATTTTGCTGGCAATAAAACTCTCAGTGATTATTTCATCAACATGCAAGCAGCAGCCAAGATATCATTGATCATGACTCCCCAAAAAACAGAAAAGAAAATGGTTCTAACAGTCATTAGAAAGCAAATCTAATGAGACTTCAAGAACTCTTAAGTACAGCATTAATTACTTACTCCCCAGGGAAGCTCATACAGCCAGTTCCATTGCAGTTTTCAAGAAAATCATAGCATTTTGGAGTGGGTGGGTTTTAAATTGCTGCGTTGGCTGCTGGTCAAAATTGTTTTTTATATTGTTATGCTGCCTTTGCTACGGCTGTGTTATTTTTCTATTTCATTTTAAAATGATGGGTATTTAAAGTATCTTACTTATGAAGATTAATTTGATGTCTGAGACTTCTTTTGGGCATAGGGAATAATGTCAAAGAAAACATAATTTACAATTCCCTTGACAGAAAAATGCTGACAGTGAGACCCAAAAAGAAATCATGTTATCAAATGATAGGGAGACAGTCATTCCATAAAATCCAGGTTGTCATAAAAGTGATTCTGAAAGACCAGACTAATTATAGTGATTCCTTCTAACAGCTATGAAGCTAGAATCTGCATACACAAAAGTAAATGTCACTTTAAAAGTAAATGCTTCAAGGAAGGAGAGAGAGGTAGCTGGTTAGGAAGGGAAATCATAAGCTTTTGCAGAGAGATCACTACTCTTCTCTTTAAAATCCTCTGCAAAAGATGACAGAACTAGGGCATGTGTTAAAGAAGAGTGCAAGAAAATCAGATGGTGCAGGCTGGCCCCTAGGCTAAAAAAGCACACAAAAGGGCCTGTCAGTTCTGCTTGAACATGCATGTACTGTATATTAATTCTTTGACCATTTTGATGGTTAAAGCAGCATAGCACCAAGAGTTGTGCCTCCCTTATGAATTATTTGGAAGCACATAATGTGCAGAATATAGGCATCCAGGCCCAATTGGTCACTTGGATGATAAGCCACTCTCCCCTACATCCTTGTGCTTTCTCTGCCCCAATCCAGACCCTCCAGAGCAGCTTGAGAGGTGGCACAGGGGGCTCAGAGAATCTGCAAAAACTGCCTCCCTTCTTTTCTTGATGAGGTCAGGGAAATGGGAAATGAAACGCTGGGAAAACAGAATGCACTGCCATGTGAATGCAGCCTATGTGACAAGCTTTCTTGAACTACGAGTCCCAACATTCCTTCATTCTTGAGCGCATTTTTATAGCCAAACACAGCACAGTAGCTGTTAAAGTGTTTTAAATTCGCTTTAGACACATTTTTCTGCCCTGGAATCTAGTACCAGTTATTCTATGCATTCTGGAGACCTTTTGCCTATCTTATTTGCTCACATATTTTCTGAAGCCTTTCAGTTCTATCAGCAGCACAGACATTTGACTGCAACATTCCCAGCATTACGTTTTTGTCACCTTCCTAATGTCACACTTTTCTGACTCCTGCTGCCTGTTGTTCAGAGAAAACGCAACCCAAGCAACCAAATGTTCAGCTGTGCCTCCAAAACTCCCTCTTGGGCACATGCTACATCTTTATGAGCTATTTTTGGGGTTGCTGGTTTCTACTGTTCCTTCCACTTGCGTTTTGAAGCTGCTTCAAATAGTGGAACACTTGGAGTAGGAATGTGTTGAATAAATAAAGCAATCAATCAAAACCAAATATGGAATGGGCCTGTATTTATAAGAGAGCAAACTTCTCAGCTCTGTAGGAAGTTACCCATTACCTTTAATCAAAGCTTCCATCTTTAGTTTGAATTTAGAGAGCTTTTCTTAATCTTAACTAGGTGCTAATACAATTTCAGGAATAATCACTGTGCTCAGTGATATAACAACAGCAGAGGTGATACAGCCATTGCCCTTTTGGAAACTGCAGATTACCCTTTCTAATGCAGAGTGCTCAGAGCACAGCTGGATTCTGACCTATTTCTAAATCTCCAGGCTTTCTCCGGTAGAGATTATGCTTGTGTTGTATTTCATGCTGCCAGCCCAGGTTCTTCCTGGCAATTCCCGAGGTTGCTTTTCAACCTGGCCTATTTTTAATTAGGGCAAGCTTTCAATAGAAAGTAGGGCACACCAACCTCAGAAGGAGCCCAGTGGGTTTTGAGGACTTGCATCACAGGTGATGGAGTGTTTCCATTCTTGAAAGAAATTGTGCTTTACAAACAATGTCATAGCTTTCATGGCCACAGAATCAGGCACAATTTAGCCAAACAACAGAACTTCTGGGTCCTGCAAGGTCCAGAAGTATTGTGTGTTGCTGGCCTTCCTGAACTGTACTGAAGGGAGAGGGACCACATATTGAATGCCTTGCAACTTCCAAAATTCCCTCCCTAATGGAGGGTGGCATATCAGGAAGCAGGACTCTCCCTGGCATTCTAATTTCTTATGTACAGGAAGTTCCCTCCTTGACCTGCCCCCACATGAGGTAGCGTGCAATTCTCTCCAACCATTTGATATAGTTCTGCTATGTGACAGTTTTGAATGCATAGACTGGTTTTATTACTGATTGGGTATATCCAAATCACCCAATTTTCTTCTTTCAGTGGTCTGGCTGTGTCAAATAATTAGGAACCTCAGGTAATCCTAATTACGTTTTAAAATTCATAAACAATTCCCAGCTAATTTGTAAGGATCTAAATTATATCCATAAGTTTCTGGAATAAACAGTGCCACTCACGTCGCCATAAAGCCAGTGAGTTCATGGAATCATTCTACTTACCTGTACAGGTTGTTATGAAATTTGTTATAGGAAGACAAAGTAATCAGGCCACCCCATGCAGCAGACAAAGAGAAAAATATTTGAGTGGCAGCATCTTTCCACACCTTAAAAAAAAAAAAAAAGTGCCATGAAGAAAATGAGCAAACAAACATTTTTTCAGCAAGTTATTTTAAAAATCAATAGTGCTGTTGACTATGGGAGCAATCCTATCTCAAGATACACCAGGATGAGTGGATTAGGATCCAGAGATCTCCAGCTGAGTCAGGAGGTTCCTGTCACAGTTGGGTTATGGAGGCTTAATTCCCTCATCTTCGACTCTGCTGGAGAGACATTAGTATATTTTCCAACCAGCTGAGCCCACCATGAAGGATCTTAAATTGACATAAGCCCCCACAAAGGAGTGTGTTGGGATGGGACCAGAGGGCTGGGGTTATTTAGGCTGGATTCTAAACCCATTCTGTTTAGTCACATGACCTGGCAACTTGGGCATAGGCAGGATTTTTATTAGAGAGAAAAGAACCTCAGATTTGCATTGATTTGTATTGATTTGGAGGGGTGCAGCTGCGCCCCCCCAGCTATGCCCCCAGCTATGCCCATGCCTGGCAACCTAGTGTAGGTTAAACTGGCAAAAAGGATGGTGTAACTCGAACTTTGTTTTAAAGGCTTTGTTTCCCTCTGCAGGTACAGGCCAGCTTAGGCAGCAGTAGCCTTGCTGCTGAATGGAGTCTGGATCTGGTGTAACATGACACCAGCTAAACTCACACTGGCTTGGCTTTACACCAGTTTCTTGTGTACAGGGTTGCTCCCTACAATTCAAACTGATTGTAAGAGTCCATACAAAAGTGGCACAGCTCACGGAACAAGAAGGAGCAGGCTGCTCCAAGCAGTAGAATTTATGGGATTGTAGGAAATATTGTAATACAAATTACTACTGCAAAATGTGGTGATGGACACACACACACACAAAAACGGATTAGCCAAATTTATGGAATTCCTATTGCTGTTGGGACCATTACACTGGAGCAGATACGCCTCGGACTGATCCAACAAGGCAGCCCAAATGTACTCTAAACGTCACTAGATAAGGAACAATGTGCACTGTAATCTGATAAGTGACCAGGTGAGCTGTTCTCTGGGAGTGTGTTATTTCATTCCACATAACACATGCAGCATGGCTGTGGATGTGCAGAGCTAGCTCACCTTGCTGATAGCCATGTTTCACTTCCTCACAACCAGAAAAAGTGTGACCCACCAAAACAAATGGAGCAATGTACTGAAGGACGTGCAAACGTAACCTTATTAGAACGCCTAATGTAATGGGTGCAATAGATTTAGCTAGATCAGCTTGCACGTAATTGAGTCAGCACAGCATAGCATATCTCTGTATGCTTTCTTAATACACAGCAAATAATAAATCTGTATGAATTATTCACCCTATTAGAGTGTTATAACTGGAATAATAAGCCCACCATAGCATCAATCAGTTTCTCCCACTTAGGTGTGATGAAGTACAATATTCCATTCCCAGCTCCTGGCAGAGTTACTCCTCTGATGAGTAAGATGATGAGCACTACATAAGGGAATGTAGCAGTAAAGTACACCACCTAAAGAGACCACACATAGACAAAGAATTACTCATTTGGGCGGATCCTATAAGTAGGCTTGCTGTCCATGACAATTCATTACCCAGGCAGAGTTAGTACACAGGCTCATGGGAATGTGAGCAACCTACAGAGATAAAAGGATTATTAAAATGTTGCTATCTATGAAAAACCACAAGCTAATAAAATAGCAAGGTTCTGGGATAACAATAACAGTATTTATGTGTAGCTGATGTTTTTCCTATTCATACATCTTATTACTATATGTGACCCTTCAAACCAATGAAAATCAAGGTAGTTTTTCATAAAATGCAGTGCTCTGTCAGCAGACACCGCAGCCATTTATTTAAGATCCCATCTCTCTCTATACATACTGATGGTTGTGCTTGATTCTGCTTCCCCAGTTGCTGCCCTTTGGTAAAAGGACCATCTAAAGCAAGGGAGGGGAGCCTCACTCAGATCCAGGGGCCAAAAGGAACCCTCCAGGCCTCTCCCTCCAGCCCTTGTAACTTTCTCCAGGCCACACCGCTCTCTGACCTTGAGTGGTTTTGCCTGGCTAGATTTTGTCCTTGAACGCCTGGCTCAGTGGAGGACAGGAAAGGGTGTTTGAGTATGTGTGAAAACTAGCCTGATCTACAAAGATCAAAACGACACTAATTGCTCCAGCAAATTGCGGTTGCCCAGAAGTGAATGTTGCAGTTGGGCTGAAAAAATGTTTCTTTTCCCTCTGATCTAAAGTATTTCATCCACGTTAGCTGCTGTTACATCATGGTTAGCACTCATGCAGGTGAGGTGGGCATTACCTGCATGCTTGTGAAAAAAGGGAGAGATCTAAGCCTGGAGCAGGGACTCTAGTCAAAGGGAACTAGAGCTTACCAAAGATTGGCCAAGGTGTTCTGAGCCCAGCATGGTAAGTCTGCTGTTGAAGTAAAGGGGGATTGAGAAAGGAGAGGGAGAGGTGTATAGATAGCCTTTCTTTATGACCCAGCAGCTAACTACAGAATCTTGCTTCTTGTGCATTGGGAACAGAGCTTCCCTGCAGAGGGAGCAGTCAAGTGAGCTTGAAAAGAACTAATATGTGGGGGAGATAAAAAGAGAAGAGGGAGAGGGAGCTGAGGCTGAGAGTAAAGAGGCTGAGCCCTAAACAAGGCTAGTTCTACCATTCTAGGACTCTCTTTTCAGTACAGTTGGGATATCTTTGAAATCTATTTACTTTTTTCATTTAATGATGTTCCCAACTCATTTGTTATGTGCCCTCACATTTTAAAATAGAGCAGTTTTATAATCAAACTGCTCAGCCTCTTGCATGCTTACGCAGACGTCATTTTATTAGAGAATTAATCTTTATAAAGTTTGTAGGGGTGGGGGGACACTAATATTTTAATTACCTTTAGGAATTAGAGACAATGTTGAAAAAAGATATTATCTATCTTCCTGAACTGAAGAAAGCTAATAGTGTTTAAAAGAACTAAATTTGAAGGCGATATGATATATTTTGTCTTGTTTTCCATACTGTACAAACTCATTAATTTTATTCCATTGCTATTTTTAGCCTCACAGAACATTGTAAAAACCTGCAAACCCTCCTATGAAGAGGGGATAGTTGAGCAAGTGTATACAGGCTGGGCAATGATGCTTCTGTTGTATTATATTCAAGGATTTCCACTTGCACAACAGAACTTCCTTCTCTTCCCCCTGCGTGCCCCAGATCCTCCCCAAATCTGCTCTGGAGGTTGTGAACTCCCAACATGGGTTTAACAGGGCTTTGGGGAGACATTCAGAGAGAGGAGAAGGAAGAGAAGTTCCATTGTGCAGCTAAATGTCCTTGCCCCAGTGTAAGCACTTTGTTGGGTAATCCAGCCAGCTGCTGCATCCCTTGTCTTTGGAATGCATATTTTGATAAAATGAATTAATCATACTTTACAGGACTCTTTCCGTTCACCTTTTAGGATGCAACCCAATATCAATACTGTAAGCACAAGGAATGTAGGCAGCATGCCATGAGGATCCCAAATTTGAAAAATAGAGCAAATACTCCTATCAATGAAACTTTTCTTCAGCTACCATGCAAGAGGATATGTGCTACGCTGCTTTCACATTTATCAATAAACTATTCAGTAGTTTGGTAATACTTAGTTCTTCAGTCATACAATACATCACTGAGTTCTGGCTCTGAATAGTCTAAAGAAAGATGCTCTCTTACTTTTCCTGATGTCTTTATTCCTTTAGCCAGGGAAGCATAGACAATCGCCCAAGCCAGAAAGAGAGAGAGTGCTAAAGGCCACCTGATTTCACCAGGATATTCGATTCCTGCAGAAATCTTCAATACAAAGTACCTGAGAATCAAAATGTCAATGTGAGTCATTACAGGCCCAATCCCTCCGGCGTTTACTTTTGTAATGTCAAATACACACACACAGCTTTATTGCGGTCCGTAGACCCAAATTACACAGTCTAACAATGGTATAAATATCAATAGTTATTAAGGCATAAGAGCGTCCTCGCTAGCCAACAGAGGAGCCTTAGGCCATACATACTGATTTCTGATACTTACTACCTCCGAGAGAAATTTTGCTACACCTAGTGTAATAGTATCAGTATTATCCTCAATGAAAACCATAACATAAAAGGAATAAGCAATTCCAGATTGTTCTGTTAATATGGGTTTGATTAGATGCTATCTAACCTGTTTATACAGACTACAGTGTAATAAAATGTGTTTCATACATTCAGCATCCTGGGAACTTGGGCACAGCCTATCTTGGTATGGGATGCCAGCCAATCTTCCACTCAACACTTTGGATGGGAAAACTTTTAATCTGGCTTTAGAAAATAGACAGTGATAGTTTGGTACAGTCAGTTTCTTAAACTAGGGAGCTGACAAAAAACCAAAACCCTGCAGATATCGGATTCCTAACACAGATGGGCCACAGGTCACATATGAGCAAGATCATAAATCACTGAGGGCAACATCCCAAAACCTGTCAAATATAACTGTAGTTGTGATAACTACATCCCAGCCCTCCCCAGCCTATCTGACGAAGGAAGACCTGGTCACAACAGAGTGTACCCCTCTCTTGTGCCCTCCCTTTCCCTGTTTGAGGTACGTGCCAGCTTCAAATAAGAGATTAATTATTTAACAGGCTGACGCTTATCAAATAGCCTCAAAAAGTTCCCTAGGGTCTCTCTGATGTTTCCTTAGGTACTGTGTGGTTAAAACTGTAGGTGTAAGAATATTTGAAATAATCTGAGACAACACAGGGTTTATAAAACAAGAATTGAGTTTACAAAGATAAAAGAGAGAGAGAGAGACTGCCATAATTTTTGTGGTGCTTTCACTCTGACCAGTATCCTATGAGGCAAGTCTACCAGGACTTGACATGATGGCAGCTTTAGGGAAGAGATACCGAAAGATTATGTGGTGGGACTTGAACCCAGATGCAATCACATTCAAACCTCAGGACATCTACCTCCTGAATGCCAACACAATGTACTATTTTCCTGGCACTTGTTTTGAAATGCCATCAAATTGCTTCTGTCTCTGTAGCAGGAGCAATTAACTCATTAGTCAAGTCCCAATATATGAAAGACATATCTAAATGACTGGCATAAACACTCAACTAATGAACAGTAGAGAAAGAACCTACAGACAATGTAATTACAATTTTTTCATTCCGTTGATAATTTCATGCATTACCCTGTGACTTTCAAATGGAGATTTACTTTAAAATTGTTCCAAAACGTGTGTGTGTGTGTGTGTGTTTTGTTTTTGTTTTTTTAAATCTTACTTGAAGTACTCTTCACTGCCACTGACAAAAGTTTTGTTGACATGGCTGGTATAGTTTACCATTGTCAAATTTGGATAGGCACTCATACAGAAAGTAGAGTTCTTTATTTGTAATTTGGGGTGGTCACCAATGATGCAGGAATCTGAAAAAACACAAGTCAAAAGAGCAATTACTGAGCTAAAATTCATCTAAAGACTTGGGGAAAAACAATTAACAAATAACAGCTTGCATTGAAGTACATTTCATTCAAGCATTGAAAATTAATTAGGTTCCTCTACCTGGTTGAACAAAGGCAAACTATCTTCCTTTCAACATTAATCACATTTGAGCCTTCCTTTTCATTGATGAGTCTAGTCCAGACATCCTCAAACTTGGCCCGCCAGATGTTTTGAGACTACAGTTCCCATCATCCCTGACCACTGGTCCTGCTAGCTAGGGATCATGGGAGTTGTAGGCCAAAAATATCTGGAGGGCCAAGTTTGAGGAAGCCTGGTCTAGTCCATCTTGGCCTTTTGTTGGGCAGGACTTCTGGCAATTTGTTGTGCCCATGCAAAAGCCCCAAACCCACAGAATGAGCTCATAGCTCCAAATGTGGGTGCAAGTCTCAGTTTTAGAGACAAGTAAATGGGGCTTCCTAGAATTGCCCACACTCAGGCTTGTGTGATCATTGCTACGATGCAACCTCTGCTTGCAGTCTACTGTGATCTGTAGACTATTAGCTACTCATTTGTGGCTCCCTGAGTGGTTATTTCATACTGTGCATTTAATGAGCTGTTTTCCTCCTACTCAGTTTCTCTGGACATTTAAAAACAATGAACAGCGAAATAAATACAAGTTCACTAAGTGAAACATTGCTTTTATACATGTTGCTTGCAAGGCTTGTCAATCCGAAGGCAATTTGTAACTTATATTTGACTGCTGCATATTTGTGCATTTGAACTGAAATTCTGGTTTTAAAGCTATTATTTGATTTTAATAAATGTATACCCCAATTTTCCATCTGAAGATGCCCAAGGCAGGTAACGATAGGATATAAGCTGTTTTCTATTAAGGAACACTTAAAAATATATATCCAGGGATATTTCCAAAGCCAAGCCAGTATGAACTATGTGCAATCCTACTGTGAAGCAGTGTCTAACGTGAGGAATGGGCAAATGTAGGTGGACATTTTCCATGCTATTGCTTCAGCACTAAACTGGAAGTGTACAAAACACAGTTTGAAAGAAAGAACAAACTAATATCCTGCAGTAAGATCTTGACCCATCAGTACTGACTTGATCTGTCTTGTGGATCAGCGGCATAGTTGACCCAGAGCAAAACTGAAACCCCCATGTCTGAATCCTTATGCAAGGTTCATACAGTAGATTTGTTCTCCCCATTGGGCCATCTTTAGGCAGGAACGGCCAATTTCCTGGCATTAAGGACTCATGAACTTTAACAGTTGTGCATTTCAGCAGGTATAATATGTGAGAGAAAGCTAAGGTAGAGGTGTCCTAACGCAGGAAGACTGTACACATACAAAGCAACCACACAGTCTAAGAAAAATAAGGCATAGAAAACTGGCGCGGTACTCTGAATGTAAAATGAGATAATGAATTTTGGTTTTTTGACTACAGCCAACAGACATTTAGAGGAGGGATTAAGCATTTAAATGTGCCAGTCAGTTGTTACATTTCAAACTTTACAGTGGAACCTCGTGTTACGTACCGTCCTCCTTACTAATGCTTTGGGTTACGAACTTCGCTAACCCAGAAGTAGATGCTCCCAGATGCGAACTTTGCCCCGGGATGTGAGCGGAAGTCGCACTCTGGAGGTGCAGCAGCAGTGGGAGGTGCCATTAGCAAAAGCACGCCTCGGGTTATGAACAATTTCCAGTTATGAACGGACCTCTGGAACGAATTAAGTTCGTAACCGGAGGTAGCACTGTATTAGATTTTTCTATTGAAATGTCACTTCAGGACATACTTCTGAAAGTCTTCAGTCTGAGCAGTATAATATTGTAGATGTCTACTGAGAAGTCAGTTCTACAGAAATTGATTGGGCTTACTGCAAGCCAAGCCTTGTCAGATGTATTTCAAGCATGGGAGTTAAATATTAAATTGTCAATGTTTTCAGTAAAACTACTACACCCAGCAATATCCATACGGAGAACACTACTCACATTCCCAGGAAGAACTTAAATTCACAGCTCTGAAATCAAGTTCTAATGAGGAGAATTGACTTTTGAGTTCAGAAATTTGTTTCAGCTCGAGCCTTGGTTGTATGTGGAGGCCAGACTGTGATTAGGCTTGATCCAAAGCTACTGATTTGTGAATAATACATCAGCTATGACTTGCAGCAATATTCATCCTGAACAGAAGTTTTTTGGTTACAAGGTGCATTTTAGGTGCATTAGGGCAATCCTCATGTGCACCTAAAGACAGCAAAGATCTTGAGAACATAATCAGCGTATTAAGAGAGTGGTATTTAAATTGCTCAGATTTAATTATTATCCACAGAAATGAGTGCGGTCTCCTAACTCTCTCCGCTTAATCCGAAGCCATGCCCTTTCTGCTAATTGACAAAAGCACATTGTTGCTTTTGAAATTCTCTCTTAAAAGTCGGTGAAGGCTACTAGTGATGCAAGAAGCATAAAACAGGAAAAGAAATAATTGCTGTCAAATGATCCCTTTGTATGTCCCCTTGTTCTGTTAATCTTTTAATGTTCTATCAATGTTCTATTAAACTGTGCTGTTGCAAGCTTCCAACTTCGTGCAACCCCAGCATTTTTGGAAAGGAAAGCATTATGCCCCATGTCGGCCAGCAGAGGGGGTAGTGGTATGTTATCCACCCATTCTCTCATTTTCTGCACATCTCTAGATTTAGTTGAATATTACTGAGGAGTTGGTACTGTATTTGTGTACCTGGTACCCTGTGTCTCATTGTCTGGACCTTTCAATCAAATGCTTATGGAAAATAATACACAAATTCTAAGGCCATCACAATCCAATACAGAATTAGTTGTAAAGCCCATAGAAAATGGTTGTAGTGTGTTGCTAACTCTGTGTTGAATTGCAGGGTTTGCAATAAAGATTCCACACTAGTAAATATAGATATAAGAAAATAGCTTGGGGTTGTTGTTGTTTTTTTAAAAAGTGGGAAATACCCCAAATTTGGAATAACTGTTGCTTTTTAAATACCCTTTTCAATATTGCGTAGCTAGCTATGAAAGCTACTGAAATAAAAGGCATTCCCCCCCCCAAAAAAATGTTATTTCTCCTACAAGAGTCTTTGTGACCTTCCAAATAAATAAATATATGTTACAAATATGTTAGATTGAGCTGCCCCCCCTTTTGCTTCCCAAATGCTCCTATGCTGTGCTGCTGCAAAGACAGAACACACACAAAATTGTATTTACATAAGGGTAGTAATATTCCAAATGTATTCAGAAGAACACTCTTGGAAGACTGAATTGTGCAAAAATATTATCGCACATCATCTCTGCTGAAAAATAAAACCTACTTATAGTGCAATCCTACGCATGTCTATTTAGAGATAACCTGCACCGAGAATCTTGGATACAGGACTGCAGTCTTAACAATATTGTATTTCTGAGAGCGCATTTAAGAAATAGGCAGTTCTGACATCAGTAGAACAGAACATGTTCACCTGTATATGCTGGGTTGGTTTTGCCTTGTTTAAAGTGTATAGAGGCATGAGTGAGATCAGAGGATGACACGTAAGGTCACTTTTGCTGCACTGCAGCAAGCTTTCTTTTTTTAAAAAAAAACAGCTTCGCTTTGTAGAGCTGTTGGTTTCCCTGCACCAGATGATCCTGATCAGCAGAGGGCGCAATCACTTTGCAGCAGAGGACAAACAAATCCTCGCATGCAGTGCTATCCATCAAACCTTGGACGCTAGGCAGAAAATAATAACTACACCGAACCAGAAGGTGCTAGCATGAAATTACATTTACATGGACAATTGCTAATAAGTAAAAGCATCCATTTGTAATCTAAGGGAAAGGACGGCCCAACTGTGCTTGTGTTGAAGGGAGGGAAATGTTTACACACATCATTCTAGCCTTCAGATATTTATGAAGACTCCGGGGGAAATCAAAACGTTAACAAGACTGCAATCTCATGTGTCCCATTGAAATCAGTGGATGACAAAATATATTTCTGAGTAAGCATGTTCAGGACAGGAGAGCAAATCTGAAAAACAGAACAAGTTGAGCAGCATCTCATCTCACTAGAACAGATCTCAAATCTATAGCTTTACATCTTTGCCCTATAAGATCTTTTTTTGCCGCTGCAATAAATATAAGAGAATCCAGAAAACTCGATGTGCTCTGCACAAAACCAAACAACCTTTATTTCCTTTGGGCACTGCTTGATCACTCTTGGTTTCAGGTACAGAGGGGTGTGTGGGTGTGTTTCAACTCCCTGAATATTTCTAGAAATGCCCAAATTGCTAAAAATGAAAAAGGCAGCCAAATCAGCTTTTATCTCTTTTTTCTTTTGCCTGATTATTAAGGAACTCGTTTTTCTTTTGTTACAGAAAGCCAGGCATGCTGAAGGATGGGTAATCACCTGTAACTTACACATCTTGTCCGCGCTGATAGAGACTCTTTAAATGGATGCCTGTGCAAGCCTGCAGACATCACACCACTGAAGAGCTTGAAAATATCCTATGGCTGTTCTAACCCAGTGTCCTGTCCCTGATAGTGGTCAGCATTGGCTTTTGAAGATGAAGTAAAAAACTGCACAGTGAATTGCAAAGCAACAATTAAATTGCGTGCTCTGCAAATGTTACAAAATCAGCTATGTGGACAGATGGCTCATCCATACATTTAAAGTGAACAGTAAACTTCCTGTACCTCCTTTAATTCTTCATTGTCCATATGGCTTTCTCCTTTAAATCACTGCATTCCCACATTTCCCCCTCCCTCCAAATTTTCTCATACCCTCTCCTTTTCAGAGTATCCCTGGTATGATACAAGCATGGCTGAGTGAAGGAAGCGTGCGTGAAGGCTGCGATTTGGCAAGGAGGTTGTGTGGACAATGGAGAATCAAGGGAGGGACAGGAACCCTACTGTCCACTTTAAACAGTACTATGAAGTGCATGAGGAGGAAGATGCACATAGTAAGTAGTTCTATACTATGTGGCAAGGGGAGCCTTCAGTTGCTGTCAGACTATAACACCCATCACCCCTGACCATTGGTCATTCTGACTGGGGCTGATGCGAATAGTCAACCAAAACATCTAGGGGTTACCATGTCCACTCCCTCTGCTTTACAGCTTGGCCAAGGGCAACTCTCCATGGGGAAACCATTTTCAACAGCATTCCCCTGGTGACTGTTCTCAGGCTCTGATAAATTAGCTGTACGTAGTTGGCATATTTTGAAGAAGCAGTGATGGGAGAAGATGCACAAGTGAGATGTGTTGCCTCTTACTGCACTTACTATCTGGAAGGTGTGAATCTTGGGTGCTCAGATAGCTTGTGCTCCCCCCCCCCCCACTTTGTATTTTGCAGAAAGTAACACAGTAAAAACTTACTTTAAGGGTGTGGTAAAAAGCCCGTCTCATGCACATTCATTCCCATTGTGCATTTATTTTATGTAGCTGACACCCACAAATTATAGTTTGGAAGAGGCCAAGCAAACACCACCCTGGGCATCAGTGGCAACTAGAGGCAGGGATACATTTGAAACTAGCTTTCATAAACAGCCATGCAAAGGCCCCCATTTCTAATTATCATTCCTGTGGTGGGAAATAAATGTGAAGAAGATATATACATACAATAAAAGGAAAGGCAACAGAAATATTGAATGGACTGACGAGTCCATCTTCAATAAGTTGGCTCCCATGGCACATTTTAATGGAAGATATAATAAAAGCTCAGGTGGATACAGGTCTGTGTATTTGTGGAGCATATCAACCATTATTTTCGATATGTTGCTTTTCCCCAAGAAAATATTCATTTTATGTGTTTATAATAGATATGTTGAAATGTGTCACTTTGAAAAAAATATATATAAACGTTAGATAAATAGGCTAGCTACAAGATGGCCTTATTCATACCTGTAACCTAGAAGCATTTGAATGGCAGGGGGAGATCAGGGGTCACAAACTGGGGATTAACCACCCCACCCTGCTGCTGTTTTAAACAAGCCATCAATATAACTGGAATTTACTTCCAAGTAAATAGTCTTAGGATCACAACCGCAGAAGTTTCGTACTAGCAAAGAAGTTTTTACGGTATAGTATGGTATAGTACATTGATTAGTGCAGGAGTTAAGAATGCTATCTTAGAATTCCAATTCTGATTCAGAAGTTTTATTCCAGTGGAGTGATGGGTCCTGCCATACCCCAGGGATGGGGGACCATTGTCCCTCCAGATGTTACTGCATTTTCAACTCCCATCAACTCCAGACAGCATAGCTGCCATTGATGAGGATGCCAGTGGTGAGGAATGATGGGTCCCACAACATCTGAAAGACTGCTGAGTTTCTATCCCTGCTATACACAAAAACAAGATGTTGAGTGCTATTGATTGCAAGCCTCTGCTTAAGATAACCACCATACAGGATTGACCTGACAAGAAAATTTTCTGCCTGAGGCAAACAAGACTGTGCATCCCCTCCTGCCGCTTCCATGTACAGTGGTACCTCGGGTTACAGACGCTTCAGGTTACATACTCCGCTAACCCAGAAATAGTACCTCGGGCTAAGAACTTTGCTTCAGGATGAGAACAGAAATTGTGCAGCGGTGGCGCGGCAGCAGCAGGAGGCCCCATTAGCTAAAGTGGTGCTTCAGGTTAAGAACAGTTTCAGGTTAAGAACGGACCTCCGGAACGAATTAAGTTCTTAACCCGAGGTACCACTGTACTTAAGTCAAGTGGACTGGCAGTAGAAACTTACTTTAATCCTGATTACAGGACAGTGTCCTCCACCATTCCTGAGGTCTGCAAGCTAGCTTTGGGGCACAGAACAGCACCTGTAATACACACAACTCTGTTCTGCAACACCTCACAACTACCAGCCAGCATCTGCTGCCAGAGTCAACTATCTCACTCTGCTTAATGGTAGAGCTGGTCCTTCTACTAGATGGAGATGCAGAATAGCTGCATCATTAAAAGTTATATAAAAAGACATTTAAAACTTACATCTCATTATGCTAATAGCTGCCTACCTGCTAAAATCCTTTCTACCAGTACTGATGACACAGCCATGTGTTCATATTGTAGTCATTTTAATTGTAAGAAAAATCCATATTGAATATAAAATCTGCCACAGATCACTATTCAGTCACTCAGACTGCAATCCTCAATAACCTGTTGTACTGAAATCCCCACTAACTTGCAAGTAAATATGCACTGCCAAACTCTGGCATCCTTTGCTCCTGGAATGTTCACTGAAAACATCACCCTATCTTATCTTTGAAATCTTATTCTGTGTTTGCCTATCTGGCACTGGAGTCAATATTCATGACAACATTATTAATGAGGTTCTTATCCTGTCGCTCCTCTTCCTAGATCTCTTGCCATTTAAGCAGCATGCTTAAAAAATTAGTTCACTGATAAGAATGAAACTTCAGGTGAATTGTGGGCAAAGCCCTTAACACCCATGTGGGATCATAATAATGCCCTACATCAAAGGACACCTTCCCACAGCAAGAGTCATTGACAAGACAGAGGCTGAAGTTGTTCTGGGAAGGACTGTGCAACCATGACTGGACTGACCGAATGACATTGCCTTAGCTTCATTGAGTGGGAACTGCTACTTATCAGCACTCAAACTGCTAGCTAGAGCTGCTGGTTATAAAATAACATAACGAAACCCTATTCTTTCCCTTCCAAGTGAGACTGTTGTATCATTTGGTGTGGAGAAAGTGTCTTGGCTCGCATACTACATAGGAGTTAGATAGGAAAGGGGCATCTGTGGCTCTCCAGATGTTGGGCTATAGTTCCTATGAGTCTCAGCCATCATCCCTCATCTGCATGCTGGTTGGGATTGATAGGAACTATAGTTCAATAACATCTGGAGGGCCATGGGTTGTGGTTCAGAAGCACCTGCAGAGCCACATGTTTCCTTCCCCTGAGTTTAAAGGTGTCTGTGACATCGCTGCAAGTCACTTTCCACTATATATGTTATTTTGAATAGTCATTTGAAAACCATTTTCTTCCATTTTATTTCTTTGCATTAGAAATTGAACATCACCATCTTCAGTACACAACTCTTTCTGTTGTTTTTTTAATGTTCTCTCCCCCTATAACCAAACTTTTCTTTTGTAGGGGATTGCGTTCTCTTTCATTACATGAAGATTTAGCTGTTGTGGTCAACAGCTAGCACTGATTCAGGAGTAACAGAAAGTTGACATTGCCACCAAAGGAAAAACCCTCCTTTTTAAAGTGCCAACTAACATCTGATCTAACCTGGACTCCTAAAGTAAAAAGAAAGAAAAAAGTTGTCATGTTTTTAGTAAGATTTAGTGAGGCTTCTGAGCAATCCTGGGTATCTTTCCCAAAGAAAGAAAGACAGGATAGTAAAGTTTTCATAAACAACTAAATGGAAATATGGAAGTCATATGGAAATATGTCAGACTGTGTGACCAAAGCCACACTTTGGAATCTTGAACTTTAATCCAAATTGTTGGGGGCCAAAATGTCCCCCCACTTTTCATTGTGCAAATTTCATAAATGTCATACATATTTCAGCCAGTTTCCACTTACTGTTTCCTCAAAAACACAATGCACCCTGCGGAATACAGTGTGGCATCACTGGTAGTTTGATACTGTACCTGACTTAAATGATAAAGATGCATATATATGCTGCATCCGTTTTATTCCTATTTGTGAGTGAATCCCTCATGTCCCCAGTGCACAGTGGTATATCCTGTTTGAGGCTTTGCATGAAATCTAGTTAGCCTTAATACTTGTTTGCAAGTATTAATGTCACCCCAAGAGAAGACTGAAAGTAAGAAGTGTTTACCAGAACAATCTCTGGTAAACCATGGCCTGATCTATAGAAGTGGAAGATGCGTGCAATAAATCTTACTGATTCAATTTTAGCTCTGGGTCAAGGAGGCTGGAATTCTTGACATACTTTCCTGTGAGTAATCCCCACTGAACACAGTGAGACTAATTTCTGAGTAAGCACTGGAATGAACCGCTAATTAGATCTATTTAGTGCTACTGCTGCTTCCAATAAATTAGTTCTGCAATTTAAAAAAGTATTTTTTAAAAAAAGGATAATCCTGCTTCCCAGAAATACTGTACTCCCAAATCAGTTTTCCAAAAAAGCAGTAAAGTTGACAGGCATGTGCTGGGTAATATCACTACTTTCTCCATTTGTGGAGCACTGTAGTCCTGACTGGGTGAGCTGAATTGTGGAAAATTGATGTAAATATGGTTTTGCCTTGAGTTGGACTCAATTGGCCCTTTGGATTCCTTTCTTCTATGGTTTGCAGTATATTCTGAAGTTACTATGGCACTATGTTGGCAGAATCAATAAGCAGATAAGGAAGTCTAAATGAAGGTGTGAAAAGTTGGTGTAATTGCAGAATTCATTTTTACTACAAACATTTACAATAGAGACATACTTGAGAATATTCATTGCTCTATATTTTAAGGCAGAATGGTCAGATATACAGATGTGAGTGTACAGAATGGTCTTATATACAGATTTGAAGGGAAAGAATACTCTAACTTACCTAATAAAAGTTTGTTTTTATCTCTACAATCCGGTGTGTTCCATGGATTGTTACATGAAGCCCAAGGTAACACTTGTACAAGGGATGCAAAAAGGTAGAAAAGTGTGTAGCACAATATAATATTATAATATATGGCTATTAGGACAGAGATAATCAGCATAGCAATGCCACAGCCTGAAAAAAAAGAGAGGATCAAGGATCAGGGAGGATCACAATTTAAACTACTAAAAATACATAGGCTTGTATCCAACTAGTTCATACACAGAGTAGAGCGAAAGAAATTAATGGACCTAAACTTGCCACATCCCATAATTTGTATGGGTTTACTCTGAGTAGGGTTAACATCGAATATAATCCAGAGTGAACTAAAGGATAACATTGAGGCTGCCTAGTCATATACAACATGAACACATTTTAGTTTAAATAGCATCTTGTTTTTCAGGCGTTTTCCTTTTACTGAAAATAGTTCAACACGCCATGCAGCTCAGTCCTATCTATTTTTAAGTCCCACTGAATTCAGCTTGGCTTTCTCCCAAGTAAATGTTGTGCTGGAATGTAATTCATAGTGGTTAACAGAATATTTTTGTCTTGGCACAAAATCCATCTAGGATTGCCATATAAGAGGGCAGTGGAGCTGTCACCCCATTCTTGAAGACCACATGTGATTTATTACTCTATGGGATCTACATTTAAAGGATCAAAAATAAATGCTTTCTACAGCACTTAATATCAGCACTCTTGCTTCTACAAAAATAATATTTCCATTATCTTGATTGATCTTGGATTGAATCTTTCAATGTTCCAAAGTAATATCTAATTCTGCATCATGGGATTATAATGATAAGTTATCACTTAGTTCTTTGCCTTGCTGGATTGTATAATGCTTTGATTACTCAATAAAGTCTCTTTTTTTAATGCTTTTAAAATACACTGTTTTGTTGCAATTCCCTAAGAGTGTCAGAAGAGCCTGGTGACTCAAGCCAATGACCCATCTAGCTCAGAATCCTGTTTTCACAGGTGACAATCAGATGCATAAGATGCATACCTACAAGCAGGATCTGTACACCAGAGCACTCCATCCTGCATTTTCCAGCAACTGGTATTCAGGAAAAACATATTGCCTCTGACCATGGAAGCAGAGCAGAGCCATCAGGTAAGTAACCATTGATAGCCTAATACCCTCCACCAATTTGTCCAATTATCTTTCATAGCTTCTTCTCATTTCATGTTAGTACATTTGTCACCACCACACCAGCCAACATGAACCTTGAAACAGCTCTCCCCAGTGCTGCCTATACAAGGGAAGTGGGAAAGTACCATGCGGCATGGTATGTGCGAGATACTTAGCACTGAAGGGAAGTGCTATTTTCTTATGAGACGTACGTGACACCATAAAAGTGATGCAGCCGTGGAATGCTCTCCTCCTGCTGGGAAGTGCAGCATGGATCCACTAAAGCAGAAAAGTGCTGCATTACTACTACATCAGTCATTGCAAGGTCACCTCAAGGTCAAAGTCAGACTGCAGCGCATCAGCCACTGTTCTCGTAGCAGTGCCACACAGAGGAGAACCCATGTCATCTCTCTTGCTTTGAACTGAAGGAAAACCATGATCTCCGAGTTTAAAAGACACACACACACACACACACACACACACACACCATGCACACAAAATGCCACAGGACAAGGCATTGTTTCTGCTCAGCTCACCTTGTAAGGCAGGGATGGCTTTCCAAACAGACACAGGTCCCTGACTAGCAAACTGCCCCAGAGAAACCTCCAGGAAGAAGATGGGGACCCCAGCCAGAGCCAACATTGTCAAATAGGGAATAAGAAATGCACCTAATGGAAGAAGAGAATACAGATCTCAGGGACAGCATGGGTGGGAAAGGGCACAGCCCTGACATTTTGTAGCTGTTCTATTTTGTGCATTGCAAAAGCACTTTACGACCCTTTCCCCAACCCAAAACCCCTGCAGAGCACCACCAAACTTTTTGAAACTAATGTATTTCCTGTTTAGAAACCCTTCACAGAGATGCTTTGTCGGCAGAAAGCAGGGCTCTCTCCCTTGGGAAAGCTTTGCATGTTGGTCAGATTGGCAGAAGGTATTTTCATGCCCCATAAAACCCCCAGTTATAATTACCAGGGCATATTAAAACAAAATTAGGCTGATCCTAACAATCCTTATTTTGAAGGTAAAGAAAGCAGGCTAAAGAAAACACATTGGTGCCCACTCCTAATATCTACCCAGAAGCAGCCCCACTGAACTCTGCAAGGGTTACTAAGACTGCATCCACGAGACTTCCAGTTCAAGGGGCAATCCTGTGTATACAGATGGTTGTAAATCCTATTAGATTTAGTGGAACTTAATTTCCTGGCAAATACGTGCCAGATCTCAGCCTGTGCAGGGCTGCTCCCCCTTCTAGCCACCTCGACAAAACCTGCCTTGTTCAGTTCAACCGCTCCTGACCCGCCTTCTCCTTGGGGCATATTATGGATTTGCTTCTGCACCGTGTCAAACAAGGCTGACTGTTCGGAGTGGAAATGGCTGCCAGACTTGCTGCAGGTGGTGCAGCTAATTCAATTACTACTCATAATTTCTCTCATCATCACCTACAACTGCGTCTCAGGGCTTCCTGGAGTGTGTCCTGGGGAGGGAAGTCAGCGTTGTTTTTAAGAGGGGCGGGTGAGGGGGGTGGGGATTGCGCTGGAAACAGCCGGCTCCTAATTTCAAATTTTAAAATAAATCACGTTGGGATGGCATTTATGCATTTGACAGTGAAGTCTTCCAAGCAACTGTGTTCGTTACTTGTATAAAATATAGCCCGCAGCCGCTGCTGTTGACTCACATTAGGAGGTAAGCTCAGCAAACCTGGACTCCCCACGCTGAGACTGCTGTTCAGAATTCTGTTGTGAAATCGAAATCAGGAGAGCTTTGCAATGATGCCAAAAAGACAAATTATTTGCACTGGACCAGGGACTGCGCCTGCGCAAACTTGAGACGCAGCTCCTTAATCTGCTTGTTCTGTTACCCATATTTGGGAGAGATCCTCAATGAACTCGGTAGAATATATTTCTGGGTATACTGGCTTTGGATTAGGTACAATAAGTGCGTCTATGTGGTTTCCTTCGATCCCACTGAATTGGGAGTAAATTTACTGAGATCCCAAAGCAAATGTGTTCAGGATTTCAGCCCCAACCCGAATTCAGCAACAGTTTGGCTAAATGGCATGTTGGGTAAATCACGTGTATGGAATAATGGTGATTGATTGATTAATATATATATATCGGGTATTGATAAAAAATACACCCTGGAAACCTTGAGGTTTAGAATAATCAGAGTGGAGTCCCCCACCACCACCGTTTGAAATTGAATCATAATAAACAACCACTTCTTGTAGATTTGGAGACAACCACATGTTTTTGTTTTATGTGAAGTTGAAAGTTTTCTCCAAAACCTTACAATCCTGTGATTTCACTCAAAACAGAAAAAGCTCAGCGGTTGGAGCATCTGCTTCGTATGCAGAGGTCCCACGTTCAAGCCTCGGCATCTCCAGGTGGGGCTGGGAGGAAACCCCGCCTGAACTCCTGGGTTGCTGCTACCAGTCAGTGTAGACAATACTGAGTTAGATAGGCCAATGGTTTAGACTCAGTATGTGGCAGCTTCCTATCTTCCTAAGAAAGGTGACTTTTGTGGTGTTGGGTGTACTGACTACACCGAGACATACAAATGAGAAAAATATGTTAACATGCAGCGTTCAGCAGAAGGTGAGGAATTGCCGTTTAGGCTTAGTCCAATTAATCAGAGCGGGAAAAATATATGCACTTTTTCGCTCATGAAATTCTAATATCTGTAAGGCTGGTCTTGTACTCTCTGTATGTAATATACGGGTTGGAAAGGAAATCGCCAAACTCCGATAGTAATTAAAGCAACGTCGAGATTAATGGCAATAATGTACTATGAGAAAGCTGGATTGTTTTAAATGCACATTCTACTATTTTCGTTTGTGATTGTGAGAGGTATGTTACATCTCTTTCATTTCTGAACGGGGGGGGAATCATTTTGGTTTAGGCGTTGTCTAATTCTAATAAATGAAAATATTTTTATCTTTGTGGTTTCCCAGTTTGGATGTTGCCCCCCCCCTTTTACTGTAGTCACAACTGGTGGGAAAATATTTCCAAATTAGGGTTTGTTTGTTTTCCATAAAGCAAGAAGGTTCGGTGGACGGGACTGGTAACAATTCTCACGCAGTTTTTCAGGGCTTGATTGCCGTATCAACTATATTTTATTTTATTTTTCAGAGAGGTCGGTAGAAAGCTTTACTGTCTCTTCACTTTCCAGACTCTAGTCCCTAATCCATTGCCTGTTTATTTTGAAGTTCCCAAAAGAAGGAAGAAAAGCTGTTTGGGGAGGACAATTTGGGGGGAACAAATAGTCGGAAGGGAAAGGGCTAAGGCAGCAGACACTTCTCCGCCCCCTCCGCTCAAATTGGCAGCCCCCCCTTGATGCATTTCAGTTTAAAGGGGGCGTCGGGAGACCTTGCACCTCTAACGTGCAGTTTGGGCCCAAAGGGTCCCATTAGTTCAAGAGGGCTGGTTTCTGAATGACTGCGTCGAATTGCAACCATGATCACCTGCATGCAGACTCTTTCCGAAGGATTTGCTGCGAAAATCTGCTCTCGCTTGCTTTGCTCTTTGAAATGATTGCCTCGCTCCCTTTACTTCGAGGTAGTCACCCCGAAACATTTGGAAGAATAAAAGGTTGGGAGATCTCCAACGCTTGTTTACTCAGAAGCAAGTCTCTCTGAGCTCAGCTGGGTGCACAGCTGGAAGATCGCAGCCGATCCTAAGCATGCATATTTGGAAGCAGATGTCATCGTTTCAAAAGAGATCCATCCAGGACTCATTCAGTCCTTTTATGTTTTGTTTATGTATACTGTACATTCTGTTAGGTTTCGCCAAGGTCAGTTTCAGCAGTGGCGGCGGCGGAGCTTCACTGCAGACCTTAAACCAAACGATTTGCTTTTAACTGATAACATAGAATCGCACACTTGTCGTCCGCATCGGGTGGAATAAAGACCTTACTTCGGGTTACTAATGCGGATTAGAATTTACTTCACCCGCAGACATGCCTTGAAGTCTATTTTGTTCATTTTTCACGCAGATTATAGGATAGGGGCGTGATATGGGGTGCTTAATGGGTACTTCTAACATAAGGTGAAGTAACCTTTCCTATGAACACCAAGATCAAGAGATAGTCACGCTTTTAAACCCAGGGGCATCGATTTCTCTGGCTGCTCCGGTTTTCTAGAACAGGGCTTGCGGGTTTCCGACGATGGACAGCTTCTGACCCCGCCCCCTGCCCCGCCCCTTTCCCCCTCGCCATCAGCAGCACCCACCCCTTTGCTTCTAAGGCACTGGCTGAAAGCCCGATCCAGAAACCAGAGGGAGTGGGGAAGCTCGAATTTAAGCTGACTGAGGAAGCAGTTTACGTTCAAGCTCAGCGCTCCGTTTAACCCGGCTGGTGGATCAAAGGCCCCAGCGTTACCCCTTTCTGAGCTGCAGGGTGTAAAAAGAGAGGAAAATCCATACCTCCCCCATTCTTAAAGGCCAGGTACGGGAACCTCCAGACATTGCCCAGCCCTACTGCATAACCCACCATGGAGAGGATGAAGTCCAGCTTGCTAGACCAGTTTCCCCGGGCTTTATTTTCGTCCCCTTCATCCTCCTCCTCCGGCTGGAGGGAGACAGAAACAAAAACACAATTACATCGACGCGATAGCACACAACGAGTTCACATGCGGAATGTCTGAGCTGCCATCCCTAAGCAAACTGTACCGCAGTAGTTGCAGTAGTAATTGGTTTGATAATTATATACATAATAATAGATTATTATTATTATTATTATTATTCATCAGTCCATACCATAAACATAAATTGCAGCGTCTATTGGAGCAAGAAAATACAGAGGTCTTATGTTTAGGGGACCCTTGAGAGCTACAGCATTTAATCGTGGCGTGGGGAAAGAATGAACTGAAAATGTCCTCTAGGAAAGTTAGAGGTGATTCACTCACACAGGTACTTCGCTGGGGATCTTAGGACTCGCTGATCTGCAGTTGGCTCTGTCACAAAACAAGAGAAAGCCCCAGGCACTTTTAAGTCCCATTGGCAGAGTTATGTATGTGTTTAAATTTCTCCTTGTTGAAATCGATGAGAGCTTAACAGTGACTTCTGATCACGTCCTCCTCCGAGTTTGAGGTCATAAGAAGATCCCTGGCCAGCTTCCCTGCCTGCACCCCCACGAGTGAATGTGGAAGGCAAACTCCAGTGGTATTTGGAGCAAACATGCCCTGGGCCTGGCGCGCATCATCACCCTTTTAATCGGGGCAGGAATGGGAAGAAGTTTAGAACAAAAGCGGAAAACCTGACAGTGCCTAAGGCGAGACCGAGATGCGCCGAGGGACCCACTTCAAGGCTTCATGTGGCTGAGTTAAGCAGTAAGCGATTGGGAGAGGCGAGCTGGCGCCGTAATGACTCGCGCCGGCTGTCTGCTGCGCACAGCGCTTTTGGGAGCATTTGCCCGGGGCGCGTGAACTGTCCCCCTGGTCGTTTGCCATCCCTCAACCCCCAGTTACCACACGGTCCATTCTCCCTCCAGTCACTGCTTAGGGAAAGAAGAGCAGCGAGGCGGGAATGGGGCTGTGTGTGTGTGTGTGTGTGTGAGAGAGAGAGAGAGAGAGAGAGAGGCGCTTGAACTTACTGAAGAGCTAAAGAAAGCGGGAAAAGAGGCCTCTGGCGAGGAGAAGCGCCGGTTTGGAGCTGGTCTGGGGCCACACAGCTTCAGTCATACACAGGGACGACGCTTCGGTGGAGGGGCTCGGCCGAGGGGAGGAGGCAAAGCATTTTTCGGGGGGAATGTCCTCCTGAAGACCACTTGAAGGCACTGGCGACGCTACCAGACCCAACTCGGGGCTTGGTGAACCCGAACGGGAGCGCGCGAGGTGATGGAAGTTCAGCCTAACTAAACTCGCCACACGCGCGCGCGCGCGCCGCTGAGGAGGGTCCCGAAGTCCTAAGAAAAGTCTGTCCGGAGGAGAAGGAGGAGGAGATTCAGGCTTCCTCAGCTTCGCTGGGCTACAGCAGCAACCGCGTCATGACGCACGACCTGCGCGCTGGCCTTTGGTTCGGCCCGCCAGGGCTGAGTGGCCGCCATTGTCTTCTTCCAGGCCTACGCCGCCCCAGGGCCTGGGATGTGCCCTGTCCGCAAGGCATAGTCCCTCTGTCACTGAAGGGCTGAAAGTTTCCCTTTCTGGACGAACAGGCAACTCCTCAGGGCCGAGGCGAGGGATCTTCGCCCCCGTTAAATATTGGGGGGTGGGGCTGCTTCCCTAAGTTGATGGGCATTTGCCATTCAAATACTGTGCGCGCACCGTGTCATATGATCGATTATGTGGGGCCGGGCCTACCTCCCCCCTCGCCAATATTTTGTTCAAATTGGTGTCCTTGAGCCCAGCGGTTAATCGGGACTGCGGGGAGAAAGGATGAAGGTTCTCTTCCCCACGGACACGATCCTGCTCCCCTCCCACGAACACAACAGATACAGTGTGATCAAGCGGTGCGCCGATTGTCGAAATCAAATAGATCAGATGTAATAAAAGTTGCGGCCCTGAAATGTAAACTCCGCCGCGACTGAGGGCGAATGATTCCTTGGCTTGAGCTTAACTGGAGCCGGTGTGGTGTGCTGTAGTGGTTAGAGCAGTGGTTCCCAACATTTTTTGGCCATGCCCCACCTAAGCATCTCTAAAATCTTGATTGCCCCCCCCCCTATAATTCTTATTATTCAAAAAGTGAACTCCTATTCACGTGGAGAAAGCCATTAACTTGGTCTAAACAATCTCGTTGCCCCCCTTAAAAATCAAATTGCCCCCCTGTGGAGCGTGTGCCCCATGTTGGGAACCACGGGGTTAGAGCGTCCGGCTTCGATCTGGGAAGACCAGGCTTCGAATCCCTGACCTTGGGCCGAACATTATCGCTCCAAACTAACCTCACAGGGTTGCTCTGTGAGGAGAAAATAGAGAGGGAAAGAAGCAAATACGCCAACTTGAGGTGCTTGGAGGAAAAGCGGAAGATAAATTTAATTTTAAAAGTGTACGAACTCAGTTCCTTTTTTCTTTAGATGGACACCAGTTTACATTGTAGGGAGGGCAAAGAGGACACTGTGTCAAACTGTAGATTATCCGGAAACGGATTAAAATACCCAGTTTCTCGTGGGTAGCAGGAATCAAATCGCAAGAATAAACAAAAAATGCACCGCGGGGACTGAATCTTCAGATTTGCTCGCTGCTTAGGCAACGTGGTCCACCACATGCAGCTGAGCCCACAAATGAACCATCTCGATCTAACTCAGCGGAATTTCTGAAACGTAACCCAATGTAGTTCCTCTGAGTACTGACACTTGGATCGTTTTAAATCGTAGTGATGAAACTTAATTGTGCTAAGTGGGCGGATATATCTGTCCTTCACTCGAGAGCATGTGATAACAGCATTTTGAAAAGTGAACACATTTGCGTTTGATAGCTTCTCACGCGAAACTTCAGTCGTAACCTTCACTGGTTATAATGTACAGTCAAATCCGGTTTTGCAAACCACAATAATGTACATGCCTTAACTGCACATCTTAAGCCCACGGGGAGCCAACCACATAATCTGATGTCTTTGCACTTGTACTGCTCACGAGGGAGCAGTAGGATGCTGTCCTCACGACCAGAAAAGCAGTTAAACGGACACCTTAACCGAGACTATAGATGCGCTGCTGCGGATTGTGTGAATGCGGACGGGAGGGCGCAGCATGCTCTACTCCGCACCAACCCCTTCAGAGCGGAGAAAGACAGCGCTGCCTCTAGCCGTGGACGCCTCTGTTTCTTAGCAGAGGCCACTGTCTTGCCAGGGTACCAGGTGCGCGCTTTCACCAGCCCGGCCCCATTTCTACATCACACCGCAGTGCCCGGGACTTGCTCACTGACCCCGAGTGACGATTGAACTGTCTGAGATGGAGTGATTGATCACAGAGCCCGGGCCCGGTGGGGCTTCGAGCAGAGGGCCTGCTACGGTTGGCTCTTTGCTTGGGTGGTTTTTTGTTGTTCGCTTTGATTGCCTTCCCCGTTTGCTCGACAGGCAAGAGCGCTCCCCAAGGGTCCCTTTTGGACAGCGGCGCTGGGGACGCTCAGAGCCGGGAAGGAAGAGTGAACTTTGGCAAACTGGAGTCGCAGCTACAAATGCTCCTCTGAGGGGGAGGGGGACTCTTCTCGCGCACGTGCCAGAGAAAGAGAAAGAGATCGGGTTAATTAGGTTAATCAGCTATGAATGGCGCTCAGACAAAGCGGTGCAAGGTAATGAGTATTTTTCGATTGGAGGTGGCAGGTCCCGCCGCAGCAAACGACAAGAGGCCAATGGGACTTAATCCTTTTTTGTTATGGTTTCTCTCTGCCAAGCTAGCTAGAGAGACATAATCACAGAAGTAGGTGGAAATATACATACGCCCGTGTGTTTTACAATTGTCATTGCCCACCAAAACCTTGAGAATGGGTCGGCTAAGAAATTAATAAATACTCATATTTGTTTGCTTTTGCGTGTCAGTTTCCCTCCCAGACTCAGGCCAATACTGAATGACTTTTTGCGCAGTTGATTGGAAGGAAATATATGTGCGTTGAACAGGGTGGTTACGCAGAGTCAGTCTCAGGATGTTTACTCGGAATTAAGTCCAGCCTGTTCAATAGACTTACTCCCAGGTAAGCAACAGGGAAACATTTTAGCTAATTTCTATTTCGCCTTATAGATCGATTTCCCTTTTCGCGCTCCAGTGTCCAATAATGGCCACATTTTATGATCTGTTGGAGGAGATCCACTTGCCTTCTCCTAATTGGTGCCTGAGCCCCAGGAAGGAGAGAGAAGAGTTATTTCGAGTCTGTGTGCTTAAGAGAGAAGAATAACTAGTTCATCATTGTCATCATTTCCAGACCCTCGTTTTCCTTCTTTCTACTGCACGCAGGAGGAGGACTACTTTCAAGATCGCTCACTGCCAAGCCTAGATCTGATTTAGTATACCCGAAGTTTCTATTAGGGATGCATTTTGCGTGGGAAGTGGCATTGGTGGACATCCGCCTATGTTCAAACCACTTGTGTTAGATCCGAAAAGGCATGGGGTGGGGAAGAGACGGAGAGGAGAGAGAAAGAGAGAAAGAAAGAGAGAAAGAAAGAGAGAAAGAGAGAAAGAGAAGGCAGTAACAGGGGGAAACGACTTACCTCAGTGACCGCACGGCCAGGGAGAACAGACGTGATCCCATCTGTGCCCAAGACCACGGTGCTCTGGCTCATGTTCACCCAAGCGCCCTTGGCATTGTTTTGCTCCAGTGTGCTCTTACCAATACTTTGATTAGCTTCCCCGTCTGTGCTTTGCAACGGGGGGATTTTGCAAGGGGCAATGTGGGCCTGGAGGGTGTTCCCTGCGCTGGGGGCGTTCTTGAGAGGGAAAGGGTCTATAGAGTCTTGCACGGGGGCGAGTTTGCAGATGCCAACTTTGGTCCTCTCGGAATCATTTGCCTTGGCTTCGTCGGGTGGCAAAGTTTTGTTGTCGCTGGAGAGAGCGGTGGCGACTTTGGCCAGCTGGGACGGGACTTGGGACGGCAGGTTCTGCGGGTGCTCCGCCTCGGGGCTGTTCCTTATCATGCCGGCGCTTTCCAGTGGCCCAGAGGCGGCTGACTCGGGGCTGTTCACCAGCTGTTTGCTCATCTCCTTTTGACTGGCGTAATCCTGAAAGAGCAGAGGCACATTGAAAAGAGTGAAGCAAAAGCGGACCTGCCACAGGACAAGGGGCCCGTCCCTGACATAAAGTGTTTGTATTGTGGTTGCACTGCTAAAGAAAATCGCGAAGGCGTCGCAGCAGATTCGGTTTAGGCAGCCCTCCCCTCGCTAATCTTCATACTGTAAGCTAGAACTGCATCGGCGCCCTCAGATTCCAGTATTAGATAGATGCAATATCGCTTCCAGCTCTCTGCTTGCAAACCTCCTTGATTTTCTCATCACGACTGTCGGATGCTCTTTTCTCCTAGCACCATTGTAGAAAGATTCTTTAATTTTACGCCCCATTTCCTTTCTGTCATTCAGCAATGCACACTAGCTTTGGATTGGGGGGGAGGTCGGCATTCTGCCTTCGATGCAGCTAGCGAGACATAGCGAAACTCAATAATATTGGTTCCTATATTCCCTCAGTAATGATTTTTCTCAATAATTTAGTCTAATGGTGGAAAAAAGAAAAGGTCTGCAAGAAGCGTTAAAGGCACATTATCTATTACAACAAATGCTAAACTGTATTTTCTGAAATTCCAACCCTCAGCATATTACTCAGAAGTAAATGGGATTTATTTCTCATTCAGCACAGGAAAATCCAGAGGTTTATTTTTTAGGCCGCAATTCATACTATACTATACTATACTATACTATACTATACTATACTTGGGAGTAAGTCTCAGTTAACACAAAATGGCTGAGTAGGCATGTATAGTATTAAATTGCTAATATTTAAGACGTCTGTACTGTACCAGTATTAAATATTGGCCACATTCTTCCAGCCTGTGTTTTAACTTTTTACATCTCTTTTTACATCTCTTAATCCTTTTGAAGGTGTGTGTTATAATAAACAACGGTGCTAACTAAAATCACACAACTTTAGAAAGTCATATTTTGCTGCCCTTAAAAGAATAACCCTTTACGACGCTGAAAAGCAAACACGTAGGCAGTTTCTTGTCCGCATTTGGATTTCAGGGTCGAGAACCCTCAAAACGCTCATAATTAATAACTGTAGCTTCAGAACTTCAGTAAAGAGAGCAAATTTTACTCTTGCACTGAAATACATCCACATTTTTGCATGTCCTCCCCACTTTTCCTTCCCACTGCCGCTTTAGTATATAGAGGAATGCGGAACGCTCTCTACACAGGAATGTGGACGTTCAGGACCCTGGACAGTGCCAACGCCTCCACTCGTCCCCTCCCCACTGCAGTCGACACTTTCCCAAGTCTAACAGTGCGCTGCTTATGTATGTTCCACTCAGAAGCATCTTCCACTTTGTACAGTGGGGCTCACTTTCAAGTTAGTGTATTCAGGGCTGCAGGCTGAACCACATCCCCAAACTTAATATGCAGCCACTTTTCATTTTAAGAGTAAAATACAATTCCCCCGCAGCCTAAACATTCCCAAAAGAAACAGAAAAGAGAGGGGGGAAACCCAGAGCACCATCACTTACCATGTCTAAAGTAGCATCAGATAGAACCCGCAGAGGTAAAAACAGCAGCACAGGCAAAATGGGTAGACTGGGTTTTGCTCCGGCAAGACCAAAGCTTTCTATACCTCCGTGGGAAAGACTGGGTTTGCGTCAGTGCATAGCAAGGTGCCCTTCGTATGACATTTTCTTGATAATACGAGCTTGATAAATCATTACCCTTGGATTCGGATTTTAAAGGGACAACAAGAAGCCTGCGCGCCGGCTCGCTGTCACTCAGGCAGCGGTTGAGATTACGTGTTCGGTGTGACTCATTGGGGAGGGGGGATATGCTGAATAAGCCAAGCCCAACGAAAGCAGAACTTTCTTGCTGGTAATTAGAAAAAGAACATGTGAGGAACACGTCCTATTGCACCCAAAGCACAAACGCGAGCCGCGAAAGACCTCCCCGCCTCCGCCTCCCTCCTGCGAGCACCGCTCTACGTCTCCTTACGCTTCAAGCCAGAACCTCTGCAATGGACACACCCCATTCCACCACGTCTTTGGACTTTTTTTTTAGACGCTTCAGCCCGTGAGCCTTCTTCTCTCTGCCTTTCAGCTGCAGGCTGGCCAGGGCAGCAGTTTTGATTTAATGTAACAGATCTTCAGGAAAGGGGAGGAAACTCCCCTCTCCCGACTTCTTTCCACAAAACGCAACGGGAGACATAACACAGACGAAATCAACCCAAGCAGCTCAGCAATGTGTTAATATCCATCGAGGTCATCTTTAGGGCAGTGGGGTGAAGAGAAAAAGACATGCCGAGCATATTTGATGCGTTTAAAAAATGCTTGAGGTTGAGCAGGTAAGGAGGAACTGTTGGATCCAATCTTCGTGCGCAAAGTTGAAGCGCCCTTTGGACAACTCTGCGCATCCTAGAGAATTCCCGAGATTCTCTAAGCAGCTCTGGCTCATTGTTTCCCATGTAGCTTCGATGTGTAAGTAAAAGCTTTAGTTACAGAACAGCAGCCGTAAAAGGAACACGATTATAATTTTTGCACGCTTCCCAAACTGGACAATACAGGGTACATGCTGCGATCCTAACCAGTCACTCTTATGAGGAAACAATTTCCCTTAAAATCAATGCAGCATTATTTCAAGCAAACGCATTTAGGATCAGCGTGAATTTTGAACGTATATGTACGTATGTATAGTGGCCTTGTGCACATTGTGGAAAAGAATATTTCACCCGCCTTTTATGTATCTCTGTGTATAAAATTATGAAATGCACACTTGCAGTTTAAGAATACAAGCAATGTCCTGCTTCGTTCGATGCCCTTCAGATGTCTAGCACGGATTAGAACTGAAGACATTAGCAAACTATTAACCCACATTATCTCAGAGCTGCAGCAGCAGGTATGCTACTAAAAAGTTGGGCCGGCAGCTCTCTTGGCCTTTTAGGAGTCAGGCACGCTTTAGGAATTGAGGCACACTTGAGACTCAACCGCACTGAACAGTAGGACTTATTTCCGAAGGCACTGCTGTGTGCTTAAAATAAAATAAAAATCGTGAATCAAAATATACGATTTTAAAAAAAAATGAAGAAAGATGTGGCCCGCCAACGCATATACACCAGTGGCGGTGGGAGTATTTATCAGAACATAAATAAAATAATTTGTATCTTGCTTTGAAATGTTTTCCTTACTGCGTTTCTTACAGCGCAGTCTTGTACTTACTCAGAAGTGCGTTCAGTGGGGCTTACTTCTAGGTAAGAGTGCATAGGACTTCAGCTTTCAGCAGGAGTAAGTCCCATTGAATCCAATGTTATTTGCCTCTGAGTAGACACGCTGTTGATAGCTTAGCTATCCTATTGAAATCAACGCCATTTAAAAGCACCAAGCTGTAGCTGAATCGTACCCAAGGTTTCAATTCAATTGCAGATACAGCTGTGGGTTACAGAACAGAGGTTTTTTTTTTACTCTTGGTGTCACCCAGACACCCCCCCCAAAAAAATTAGAGTAATCCCTTTAAAATATATGAACTAAATTAAAAGAGACAAACCATCCATCTTAAAGGACTAGTGTTGTTTGTCACAGTTTCACTGTCCGAAGCAGGAGACTTCAATAAATAAGGTAGGGTTCGAACTACAGGAATCTGCTCATAAATTTCTGGCCATTTTAGCGCACTGTTAATTTATTAAATTTGAAAGTGGAACAATAAAGTAGTAACAACAACCGGACATCTTTGTCTCCAGTGAAAAACACACTAGCAGAATTTTGTTAGCCTCGTCGATGAATTGGAAGTGGAAATTCACATAATTGCAAAAGGGTGATTAACTAAGTGAACTAGGAAGAGAGTTACAGGGTGCTTTCCAAGCTCCTAACATTTAACTTTTCAGAGCTTCCTCCCGCCCCTCTCTCACACACTTTTACCGAAGTCAAACAAGTCCATTAACGTCATTAGAAGTTGGCTGAAGAATAATATAGAGCTAGTTTTCCTATGCAAGAAGATCTCGGTAGTGGTTAAATTACACCCCCGAGCCTCCCCTCTCTCTGTATTCTCAAAACTAATCTTCGCAGCGCCCAAACTCACCCAACTACAATGCGCTGGTTCCACAAGAGAACCAAAGCAAGGAATGGTTGTAGCGCTTAAAGAAATGTAGATGGAAATAGATTCATTTTGTCTCCAGTGTAATCTAATTAGCTCTCATTTGTGCGGAGATATCCAGTGTATTATTCATCAGATTATTTTCTACACGAGGAAGAGTTAACGGGGAGTATCCCAAGCCCCTTTCTCACCACTCTCTAAGGTGGTCCAATGCGCGTCTATTTGCGTCATATTTAATAAAGCGGACATCAGGCGCCAACAATTTCGTACTCATTGATCTTCTTGATTTGAAGGGATGTTATAAATAGCTAAACCTGGTAAGCGCTCCCTCCCCTTCTTTAACTCTCCACAACCTTTGCCCGTTGCTCATCAGCTTCCCCCTCCCTCTTTATTTAAACCTTTCTTCCTTTTGAGGGCAAGAAGGGCGGGCAACTGCGTTGCCGAGGGGGGCCTGGAACTCGCGTCATCCCAGCCCGCTGCAGAGAGGAGTTTCAGAGCAAAGACCGCGGCAAGAAGGACTCTCAGCGCTTGGTCTGTGCTCAAAGCGCCTCCTGCGTCCAGGGAGCCTTTTGTTTCCGCGTTGCTGCAGAGCGAAGAGGGCTGCCTATCTGGGATTTGCCTCTTTCCAGTCAAGTTCACGAGCGGGACTGTCCGCAACGGGAGTTAGAGGAGGAGGAGGAGCAGCAGCAGAGATTTAGGGACTGGCGCATCAGTGACTCAGAATCCTGCGGATTTAAACCGAAGCACTTGAAGTTTGAAGCGCACGGCGTAAATTCCTGCAAACAAAAGCGAGCCAAAGTCGTGCTGTTTTGCTACCACCGAAGGAGGCGTCTAGGTCTGCACGAGCCCATCCGATACACAGGGGAGCAGCAAAACCAGGACTGGAGCCTTTCCCCTTACACCCCTCGCCACAGCCGCAGTTGCGCCTCGAAGAGGAGAGAGCAATCTGTACATGCTCTTTGGTGCAGTGGAGGCGGGTAGAAGTGGGAGAAGGGGAGACGGCGGCTAGAGGGCCAGTTTCTAGTAAACTCTGCGTCCCAGCTACAAAGTGTCAATTTCCACCTTTTTTTATTAAATATTTTTTTTATTTACAAAAGTGTGTGCAATGTCTCTCTCGTATTTTTTTTCCATGTAACATTGTTACAAACCAGTTTCATTTGTTGAGACATGAGGAAGAAAAGGGGGAAAGAGGTGGAGGGGGGCTATTTATTTTTTTTAACCCTCGTGGGATGGACGGTTTTCTTTTTTTATTGCAGGGCTAGATAGATCTCCGTGCCAGCTTGAAAGGGTCCTGGCCTGGAAATGAGTGGGAAGCGGGTGGACTACCTCTCCATATAGTCTACCTCGCTTAAAAAAAATCCCTCCACACACTTATGGCAGATCTGCACCAAGACTGCTGGCATTTCTTTCCTCTTTGTTAACAGGGAGCAAGAAGGAGCATGGGAAGTTGGCCAACGAAGCAGCAGTGGCTTTGTGCTGTGAAGGCAACCCTGTACAGACTGCTTATAGAAATTCTGACTGAAAGTTGGCCACCATGGGAAGCAGCTTGCTGGAAGAGATGGGCGCTTCTTCTGTTTTGATGACATGAAGAGGGTCAGATCCTCCTTAGAAGAAAAGAGGCAGCAAATAATAATAATAAAAATCAATCCCTGCCTTCAATGTCTATTTGGCTGATGTTCAATGTTTTCATTTTTTTGTGCCTTTAGAATTCCCAGAATTTGGGCCCAGAATTGGAACCTTGATGCTGCAGCCTTCCTGAAACTGGGTGAATATGATAATGTACCTGGATGGGAAACCACACTGGGAGGCCTATTTAAGAGAACATATTTGAAATAAGAGTAAGAATTTGACCTGGAGACTTGAAATGCATGGAACTCAGACATCACACTTCCTAAGGTTAAATATACAATTCTTCTCCAGCATTCAGGAAGACCCTTTTCCATATACCCTTGTTAGAAAGCACTCCTTCCTTTGACTCTACCTTTTGTTTTTATGTTAAAATTCCAGATATCTGCAATTAATTAAGGGGGGAGGGAGTGAAGGATGCCAGAGAACGGACTGAGGGTTTCAGTAGTCGCAAGGTTGTGAGGATTAAATGAGGGAGGGGAGAACCATCTGCAGTATACCATCTTAAACTCATTGAATAATAAAAAAGGGATATAAATGCAATAAGTTTTAAATATTGTCTGGATGCTAGGGCTACCCACAGATATACAGCAGTTCTACCTATGGCAAAACAGTGGAAGGATGAATCTGGATTGCAAGCTTGTCAGAGGCCAGATCTACCCAGGCCTCTCTACCACTGAATCACCAGATTTCCCATAATGGTACATCTGTTAGTTGATGCTAGTTATATTTGTTTGTTTCCTTTGCCCTCCCTGGAAACAATCATGTGAGTGCCCATGTGCCAGCCCCCCCTCCATCAGAAACATGTTTCCTGGCAAAATCAGTTGCAGACTAAAGGTTCTTTCTTTTTGTGGGATGTAATCCACAGGGAGCAGTCAAACACAACATTCCTTGTTTTCCTAGAGTGGACATGCAAGGGAATGTTTGGTCCAGCCAGTCAAAACTTCCTGTTCCTCCTGGCCTGCAGCATCCTTCCTTGCATGTGACTAGTGGGTGGGCGTGACCTTTCCAGACCCGGTAAAAGGCCAAGGCATGCTGCGACTCTCTCTCTTTTCCATCATTTTTCTGTCCTGCGAACTTCCTGGAATGAACTGCTGGCTGCCAGCCAAGCAGTCGCCCAGGTCATCTCCCTTATGGGATAAACCTGTTAGTATAAATTTGTATCTTTAAGCCTAAAGCCTGCCTACAGGGATCACACTGTGCTCTGCTTGATCATGAGTAAACTTTCTTTTTATTGCTTATGAATAAGACGGTGTTGTCTTTATTCTTTTAGGAGGGATTTTTAAAGGGGATCTTACCAGGAACATACAATTCAATCTGAGGCAGATTAAATTGCATAATAGTAAGAGGTTCTAACGAGCCTGCAACCAGCTTTCTGCTGTATGTGAGAAGGGGAATGTAAACTCTGCTAAGTAAAGGAACTTTCTATTGCAAGTTAGGAAGGATATTAATAAACAATATATCCTCTCCTGACACCCTGAACATCTCCACGCCTTTTTTCTCTTGAATTGAAAGACAGTAACAATTGCAACCTCAACAGTAAGAATAAGATCACAAACATGCACATCCCATCCAGCTGTAGAAGAAAAGACCCATGACTACCATGTAAGCTAACATCATTTTTTTCTTCTAGTAAGTAGAAAGAATAAACAATACAACATTGACCAAGGGCATAAATTTCCAGCTATACCAAGGTGTCTGTCCAAAAGGAACACTGAGCTGGCTGGCAGGCTGGCTGGATCTGGATTCCCTAGGGTTAGAATTAATGTAGGCGCATCCAGCCTTCAGAATAAGTGTCCCACTCAATTTCACCCCCAGACAGTTTGCATTGCTGTGTTAATTTGTCAGCCAATGCTAGCTGCCATATCCTGCCACACCGCCTCCCTTTATCAAACTGCCTGTCACTTCCCCCAAAGTGTGCAACTTCCATGAGAGCTGCAACAAGGAGGTGAGTTGTCAAAGTTTCAAACCAAATGGCCTTATTCCTCCCACGAAACAAAGATTTAAAAGACTAGCGCTGGACCCATGTTACCATGTTGGCCTCTTGGCACAGCATACTTGAGCATGTAGCATACACAACCTACCAGAAATCCTGAGACCTGCGACATTCCCATCAAAAATGAGAAGTTCCATCTTTGAGGCAGCCCATGTGGTGCACTCGGTCACTGATGTTCCTCAAACTGGTTACACAGAAATCTGCTGTGTTTTCCTAAGTGTGTGGTACATAGAAAGCTGCCTGATCAAAAGGCGTTTAAAACAGGGTGCCATGGTCTATTTTATTCTACAGAGATTATGTAAGAAGTAAAATTAGGAAACAGGCACCCATGCTATCATGCACTGTTTTGATGAATTAATGGCAAAATGCCCTTTTAAGAAACAGCTAATTGTATTTGACAAACTTTGTGTAGATTTGCATGACTTCGTGTCACAGTGTAAATTTACATGCTTGACATATAAGCTGAGTAGATCTCTGAAGGATTTGCATACTCTCTGTGGTATTGAGGTTGCTGGACCTGCAGTGAGTTCAGAATATTTCCAGCTCATGGCACAGGTGAATAGTTACTGAAGTAAATCTGCCCCAAATCTGGTTAAACATTCAGAATATATGTTATAAACTTATCCTGGTTGAAAAATCACTCCTTCTATAAGACAGTCCTGATAATGGTATCATGAAAGGGGCAGGGCTAGGGAACCAGAATGAGAACAGAGTAATCAGCACCCTTTCCATACTATGATTCCTAGGGTTCCTTTGGGGAAGCCATGACAATTAAGTGATCTAAAGCCAATATACATTTATAGTGTGAATAAAGCTTAAATGTGTGTTGTGTTCAAGAAGCAGCAAATAACACCACCATTTTACCCTTGGGTAGAATGCTGCACAGACAAACTCAATCTGCCCTCAAGCCTCAACTTGCCAGATTGGCCATATGGATTTACTCTCTGTAGTATATGGATCAAGCTTTCATTCTATAAGGAATTTCTGTATCTCTGCACACTGAGCCCCACCAGTCAGAAGGCTAGTGCTATTGGCTGTGATTGGGATGGGGAGGGGATGAATGGATGCAGGAACAAGTCCTGTCAAAGCTGATAGCGCTGACCATTTGTCTGGCATGGCGCACATGGCCCCAATCCAGCATTGGGCGCTGGACACACATCATCTCACATATTGGCTTCAGGGATCCAGTTGTGAGAGCTGTATGCACAGTAATCCTTTGCATACATGGTTTCCAACCCACTGTACATGTAAGTGTGAATGTGAGTGTTAGAGAAGATGAGGGCATCTCTCTCTCACCCCTCTCTTCATATGTGCTTTTTTCTGCCTCTGTAGCGCAGCCTGCAGTCTCTTTAAAAAAGGAAACACGTCCCCCTGGAGTGATTCCCTGCTCTCAGGCCTCCTGTTTGCAGTGGATAATCATTTCCCTACGCTGAAGCAGAACTGATTGTAAATCTGCATCTATCACCACAGCAGCCATTCGGATTGAATTAACAAGTCACTACAGCCTTAATTACTTTGTCAAAGATGAAAAATAGTAATTGATCTTGTCCTGGATCAGCTCGCATCTCCCCCTCCTCTCCCATCGGTACCTTGCCCCCCCGCTCCAAGTCCTTGCAGATAAGCAAATAAATAAATAAATGCAGGGGGAAAGAATCCTAATCGTATGAATGTTGGAGTTACGGAAAGGAAAGCTCAGGTTTCAAAATGCAAAACTGCAGGGGGAGGCCTAATAGTTCAGGAGTGGAGGTAAACAGGGAGAATCATTGATCAATAGCCTTGAGATACTGGGAGGGTGAAAAGTAACCCTATAACTCACACACTCACAAACTTCACTTTATCTCAAGGGTGGGGAACTGACCCTCCTGATGTCAGTCCCAGTCAATTCCAACTCCTGTCAGCCCCAGGGCCCATGGTCAAGAGCTGATGTAGTCAAGTCACCCTGGAGGACCACACATTCTCCTCCCCCTCCCTGCTTTAGCATATGGCTTGGATCACTGTTTTGGCGCTGTACGGCAGCACACCTGCTCTGTGATGTTGGCATGCTGTAATCTGGACTGAATGGCATTTGGGAGTGAATAGTAGAAAATGGGATTCTAAAACTAGCTGGTGTTTTCATTCCTTCAAGTTTTATGATGATATGAGAGAACTGCTGAAAAGGCAGAAGCAAAATCAATTAGGGCATTAACCAACCAGAATTAAACATGCTTAAATGCTAATAAGATCAAGGATTGTACATGCTTAGCTGTCTCCAACTGAAATTAAGAGGACATATAAAAATGTACACTGATAATAACACATATGTATAAAAAGTGATGTGCGTAAGCTTCAACAGATTTTTAAAATGTATACTACCCTGTGATCCTCAGATGAAGGGAAGTACAGTGGTACCTTGGGTTATGAACTTAATTTGTTCCAGAGGTCCATTCTTAACTTGAAACCACTCTTAACTTGAGGCGCGCTTTCGCTAATGGGCCTTCCACTGCTGGCGGGCTGCCGGCGCACAATTTCCGTTCTCATCCTGGGGCAAGTTCCGGGTTAGCGGAGTTTGTAACACAGTGTTTGTAGCCCGAAGCACCACAGTTTAGACATTTTAATAATGATGATGATGATGTACTAAATCAAATAACCCAGAAATGATTTAATGGATTGACTGCATCAATTGTGTGTGTGCATTTAGAATGGCAAGTCAAACATGCATAAGGGCATTTTAAATATTTGTATAGCCCAAACTTAAATGCCCTTTGTAGATGCAGCTGAAGCAGCATCCTAACTATCACAATGCTGAGATCTACAAATCTGATGTTCAAAAACTAGTGCAGATTGATCAGCCTCAATTACTTAGTGAAAACCATGTGCCTCACTGCTTGTTTCAGGTCCCACCATCTGACTCACTTTGTCAGTATTTAGCATACTACACATGATCACCATAAGGGGCTTTTGATAGTGACCCATTAGGCAGGATTTCTGAAACATTGGACAGTAACAGCTAAGTTCTCCTGGAAATGTTTTCTTCTCTCTTGAAAAGCAGCTTTTCTTTGCTTCCAGAAATATCTGATATTAGGTTAAAAAAACACAACATTATTTGTTAGTTTATTTTCTACAGTTCTTTCTCTTCTTTCTCTCGCTCTCTTCTTAGTGCTCTCATTTTCTTCATTCCTGAGCATTCTCAAAGGGCAGACTACAGTGAGAACAAGAGCGAGAGTGCGAGTGCAGAGATGGGGAACCTGTGGGCCTTCAGATGCTGCCCTTGGCCATTGACTATTGTGGGATGTATCATCACTGAAGCAGTCAAGTACAACATTTTCCTGTTGCCTAGAGTGGACACACTGGGGGATGTGGCCCCAGACAGGGAGGACTTCCTGTCATACCTATTCTGGTGCCTCCTCCCCCTGTGTGTGACCAGGTAGATGGGCGTGGCCCTAGCTGACCATGTAAAAGGGCTAGCCACGCAGCCATCTTCCCTTTTTCCATTTTCTCATTTCTGACTTCTCTCTTGGGCCTCCTCTTCTGGCTCTTAGCCAGCACATGGCTCATCCTTACAGAGGATGGAAGCCGCAAGGTAGAAAGTTGGAGGTGAAGTTCAGACTTCTTTTCTCTACAAATGTAACTGTAACCACAAGTTGAAGTCTGCCTTCAGATTACTGCTGTGAACTGAATGTAAGTAAACTTTACTATTACTTTTAAAGAAGACTGTCGTTTTATTATTATTTTAAGAGGGAAATAAAGGGGAAATTTACCAGGAACAATCCAGATTGGAAAAGCCAGACTGGATTGCTTAATTTAAAGGATTCTAACAAATCATCAACTTGCTTCCAGCAATCTGCAAGGGAATGTGCTCTGCTGCTTGCTCACTAGCGTGAGTGAGGAGGGTAAATATTGGATCAATATATCCTCTCCTGCCTTCCTCAACATTCCCACAACTATGCTCACTAAGATTGATGGAAGTTGAAGTCCAATGACAGATTGCCACCCACACCTATTCTAAAGAATCAAACTTTTCAGCACAAGCAAGAGAATGAACTGCAGCTCTTAGCACACCAGGGTCTTGCATGGTTCTGCTGTGAATGGAGCCAGAACAGCTAGAAAAGCCCACAAACACTGCCTGCTACCATGTAACTTCATTTTCAAGTAAGACAGGTTGCTAGCTAGTTGAATCACTTTGCCCTGCATGCCACACTGACCACATAGCTTCAGCTGCAGCATAATTTCCCCCCGAAAATACGAAGTGGGTGGTTTTCCTAAAGTTTTGTTAATGGCCCTTCAGAATGCAATGGCGCCATCTTTCACCAATGCCACACAAGTGTCATTGCATGGCTCTTAACAAGCTTGACTGGAGTGAAGGGCAGACAATGGAACCAGCCATGCCAATGGCAGGTGCTGCCGCACCACAGATGGCGGCTGTGAACAAGGTCCAGCAATGGCACCTGCCAGTCATACAGCTGGGCCATTAGATGATTTCAATACTGCACATCCCAGGAATTAGGAAATATTGCATAGCTGAGGTTACAGCTCATCTCTTGCGTTCTCTCTCTCATTCTGGCTGATCATTTTCAGGACTAATCTCAGCCAATTATATCTTAAGCAAAATCTACTTCTGATGAACATTAAATTGAATAACTAAAACAATAAACAAACAGAGGTGCATGAACATTCCTCCTCTTGCATTTTTTAAATGACTGGCTTGTTTTACCATTTGGATTATGAAAAGGGAAATAAGACTAGCATGCAATCAGTCATGCAAGGCTGTTTCTTGGATTTCAGTAGCTCCTTTTACTGCAGAACAAAGCCATCAAAGCATGGGGAGATAAAACAGACTTTGATAAAGGTGACACATTTCTTTGCACTTTCTCTGCTCTCTCTTTTTTAAATGAAAAGCTATATTTTTAAACTTTTCTTAGATATGGAAACAAATCATTAACCTGTTTTTAATGTAATGCTCATATTAAGAAATAATGCACGTTGGCTTATGAAAGTCCATTAATTTAATCTTTCTTCCTGAATTACATCAGATTATTATGACCTACCAATTTCCTGTTAAAAATGACTTTCTGCAATTTATTATATGTGATATAAAGCATATAGCACATGATTGTGTTGCCTACCACAGTGAGCTGTGGGTTAGATTGAAATTAATTTTGATTTGCTGGTGGTGGTGTTCTTATCGCGGTTTTAAATATGGCCGGCTGGCTTGAATATGAGTGCCCCCTTCTTCCGTAACTGCACAGAATTTCCTAGCGTGGGTCCTTTCAGTTAATAAAGAGCCAAGTCTCTTGGACAGGGAAATCATTACCTTTATAAGAGCTCTCTGATAAAAGTTCTCTCTCATTTCAGTTGAAATTATTCCCAGATAATGAAGGGTCTGGTAAATCTTTAAAGCATTAATTGCTTGTGTGGTTAGGCTTCTCTGCGGCAGCTTGTGTTAACTCATCAAGCGATGGAAGCAGGATGTGCACCTAGCTTTGTGTTCTTGTCTCCAGCGGCTTTAATTTATTTACACAGCAGCTGCTGGAATCTTCAAATACACATTCTGAATTCTGACACAGCTATGAATCTAGACAGTAAGAAGACTGTGAATAGGGGACTTGGCTTCTGTCAGGGAAGTTTCATTTAATAATATTGGAAGTTGGGAGCTCAACGGGATCAGGTGCACGGTTGTGAGAGGGACAGATGCATCTGGAGGAAGTTTCTGCATCACTGGCCAGGCAGTCACGCTGCTAACATCTATTGTCCCCTGACCATGTACCCTCTATGCCACCAAGGATTTCTGCTGGCCACTATATCATATTTCTAGAATACACGCCCTATAGACATCTGTAGTTTCAGCAAAAAATGTCAGTCAGGGTGTCAAACTAAACGGAACCCTTATTCCACCTCTCCCCTCAAGGCTGAAACAGAATCTAAGTTCAAGTAAAAGCTCAGAATAAGGGTTTATCTAAATAAACAAATAAACAGTAATAATGGTGTACTGGTGCACTGAACTGCGGGGCAGTAGAATTCAAGGTTGTTGTTTTTTACCCTACATGAAAGCTACATGACATGAAGGCTGGCAGCATCAACCCCACTGTGTGGGAATTCCTTGAAGATGGCTGCAGAGGCTGGAGGCAATCAGTCCAGCTGTGCATCCACAGCAGCGACTAGAGGAGGAATGACTGCCGGGAGAAGCGCAGAAAGAATAAATGCTGTGACACACCTACAACAGCACAACCAGACGCCTTCATCTGTCACAGCCGCAACAAAACATGTCTCTCCTATATTGGTCTCTACAGCCACAGCAGGCGCTGTAACTCTCCCTTAGGTGTTACTGGACTGCAACTCACAACATCCCTGACCATTGGCCGTGCTGACTGGGACTGATGGGACATGGAGTCCAACAACAGTTGGTGGGCCAAAGATTGCTCACCGCTGCTGTAAAACAAGGTGAACCCTTGGAAACAAGCCTCACCTGCAGTTTTCTTGACCAGCTATATGACCACTAAAATCCAGATTCGCCTTGACAAGCAATAATCTCTGCCCCAGAAATTTACTGAGAACGAAGCTATCTCCAAGTACCAATAAGTTCAGCCCGGTCCTCCTGAGGAAAATGGTTTGCTTGGTTCACTTTGAAGTGTGGTTTATCTTGCAGCAGAACAAGTGCTGACCTATTTTACACTGACAGGTTTCATTTCTCAATATGTGGAACGTGAAAGAAATAAGTCCTTAAGACTGAAATTCAGTAGGACACACACACACACACACACACACACACACACACACATTTTCCAACAGAAAGGAGTTTGATTTCTCAACAATGGCTAATAATTTGTAGTGCTGAGCTTTTTGGCTACTGTCAAATTTATTTTGGGCAGGATTTTTTCCTCCATTGTGCAAGTGCAATTTTTGAAAAAGCGAACACAAAGGACAAAGGACCCATTATTCTGAAGTTAAAGCAACTGAATACGGATCCTGCAACTGCCATCCACTTCACTAGCATATTTCTCAGACAGCAGCAGGACATTAAAGGTATAATTCTGGAATATCTCCACAATGGAGCATTTTTCAAGTAAGAGTGAGGAGGACAGCGGCATTTAGATGAAGAAAGAGCATGGGATGAATTCAGAGAAGCCACTTCTTGGTGGGTCTGGTTAGTTTCTGTGCAATCCTAAGCATGTCTACTGAGAAGTTAAGTCCCATTGAGTTGAATGGGGCTTATATATACCCAGGTAAGTGGGAACAGGACTGCCACCTTAATAGTTGCTTCTCACATATGTGAAAAAGCACAGTAAGAGGGCAGCACCCAATCAACAATGGGCCCAAAGAGTTAAGCAATAAATGCAAAATCTTGGAGGTAATTGATTGAACTGCAATGTTTTTCAAGTTAAAATAGGACCTTTTCTTGGTCCCACCACTCACACAGGCATGCTTGGTGGGGATGTGGGAGAGGGCCTTTTTGGTGGCTGCTCCCAGACTCTGGAATTTCCTCCCTAGAGAAGCTACACTGGCTGCCTCCTTCCTGTGCTTCCACCAGCAGACAAAGACACTCTTGTTGCAACCAGGCTTTTGGGAGCTGCTTTTAATGGAGGGGCTGGTCCTAGGCTGTTTTTATTGTAATTATCTGTATGTTTTAAATAGATATTTCACACACACACACACACACACACACACAGAGAGAGAGAGAGGGGGGGAGATTTAATTCTATCAATGTTTAATAGTTTTTTTATGTTGTTGTTTTTCTATGTTTTTATTGATTCTTGTTTTTATCTGTAAGCCACCTTGAGTCCCATCAGGGGAAAAGGCATAATATAAAAGATGTCCTTTATCATGGGAGATATAAAATGAAGAATATACATACAGAAATATAGCATAAGGAGGGTAAGTGCAGACAAAATATAGTTAAGCCTGGAAAATATCATACAACATTTCAAAAACTACAATATTTTGAAAGGAAGTATATCAGAATTATAAATATTTAAACCAATTTCTTTCAGTATCTATTGTGCAGATACCTCAGTAGCCCAACATTCAAGTAACATGATCAAATAACATACTATGGTTAAAACAAAAAATGTTAATTAAACAGAATGTTAATTATATATTTCTGTGTGTATGTTCTGACATTTAGGTATCTCTTGATGAAGGCTATCTAGTGAAATATACCTGGACTTGCACTCCCACGTCCTTGGCTAAATTAATTTCCATGCATCTTAGTACAAAAGCGGAAGTGTAAACCATAAGCGGGGGGAACCTTCTTAAAATATGGAAGCTGCTTGCAATGGTAGAGAAAATGCAGGAAAAAATCTGGACACATGCTCTTCAGTTATTCTCCCCACTAGAGATGCAAACAGCACAGCACAGGCCAAGTGAAAGAAAACAGAATATTTCTCCTCTGTTGCATTTACAATACATAGGCTGTTAAGGCCTCTTATCTTGGTTCTCTCATTCTGCTCTTCCACTGCTTGGCCATCCAGATAAGTCAGTCTGACATAATGCTTAATATGCTGGCAGATTCCCAAGGGGCAGATGGTTCACAGGATTGCAATGATGGTGAAATTGATTAAGAGATCATTGGCTACAATAGCACATATCCTTTTCGGTTATCTAGATGCTTGCTTTAACTCCCTTAAATATAAAAAAAGCCAACAAGATTATTTCATGAGCATGCTCGCTCTCCACACATCTGGATTTACCTGAGACAGTCCTGTGTATCTGCTACCAATCCTAGATACAGTCTGTCTGGCAAGACTATCTTCTTGTCTGTCCATTGATTCATGCCTGCACAATCGGGCAGTAGCAGAGAATCATTTCAGCAGCAATACCAGGATTGATGTTTGGGCGGCCAGATGCAAGGGATACTGTCCTCTGCCCTTCCCAAAGCACTGGATCTGGTCAGAGAGACTTCTAAAACAACCTTCTCTCACGCAGGTTTAATATTAACTGTTGAATTGTATCACATTTTAGTGGTTTGAAATGCTGAAAGAAAACAGCCTGCCACACCAAGGCTTTTAAAATTTGAACTTCAAGAGCTGATCAGGGCAACCTTTATCAAATAGCGATAGCAGGGAGAAAAGTGCTAGCAGTTTGATTCAGAAGCAGGAAAGAAGGTAAATTAGCCTTATGTCTCTGCTTACCCTGGAAAACTGACGTTGTGGTATAATAATGGAACACATTTCTAAACAATGGAACGTAACAACAGGGCCATATGAACGCCAGCATAAAAGCTGGGGTTTAAAATATGGGGGAACAGGAAGAAGCATTGGTGTAGTTTGGGCGGGGCCAGTTGCCCTGGAGGCAAAATTCTTAGGGGTGCAAAATTTCAAAAGAAAAACGAGTAAAGTAGTAATAATAAATTTTAAAAATAGCACAGTCTCCCCCTCACATAGAAAATCTCCCAATATTTGCCTGGGTGGACTGCGGAATGGATTTGGGAGATGGCTTGTTTGCTAGGGCACCCTCTGCAGGGCTTTAGAAATATACCCACTCCTGACCAATCCCCCATCCCACTCTCTGCTGTACTCGCCGCTCATGGAGCACTGCAGTTGCCACTCAGTTAGGTTGCTGAGCTATTGCCCCTTCGTTCTAGCCTATCGGTGGACAGTGCCAAGGATACAACCCACACTATGCCACTGGGAATAAGGTGGTTCCAACCAGCAGATTTGGATTTTCTAAGTAAGCATCTGATTTATATGATCAAGGCTGCAATCCCAACCCCACTTATGTGGAATTAAGTCCTACTGAACTCCACATGGTTAGAAATGGTTAGAATTGTGCTGTAAGAATTGTGCTGTCTAAGAATTTTTGCCTAGCAGGAGCATCACTGAAGAACACCGAGAAAAACAACACCATATTTTAATAGTCTACTGATGAAATAATCAATTCCATCACCTTTGATTTCAATTTGATAATTGATTATGAAATACTCTTAAAGGTTATATATTTATTCCTTTTTGTACATATCCCACATATATATTGATGGCGGGTTGCGCTGTGGTCTGAACCGCTGAGCCTAGGGCTTGCTAATCAGAAGGTCAGCGGTTCAAATCCCCACGATGGGGTGAGCTCCCATTGCTCGGTCCCTGCTCCTGCCAACCTAGCAGTTCGAAAGCACACCAAAAAAGTGCAAGTGGATAAATAGGTACCACTCCGGCAGGAAGGTAAACACTGTTTCCATGCGCTGCTCTGGTTTCGGTGTTCTGTTGTGCCAGAAGCGGCTTAGTCATGCTCGCCACATGACCTGGAGAAACTGTCTGCGGACAAACGTTGGCTCCCTTGGCCAGTAAAGCAAGTTGAGCACAGCAATCGCAGAGTCGTTTGCGACTGGACTTAACTGTCAGGGGTCCTTTACCTTTTTAAAGGTGCTTAACTGGTTTGAATGAAAAACACTGATTTATGTTTGAAAAGCAGCATCATAAGGTATGGTGGGGAGCAAGGGAATAGGATGGTGGATGCTTAACCCACAACTTGTTTCACTGGGGAAGGGGGCATTGGTTGCTCCAGATCAGTTCCTCACTGCTGCTTAAAGAAAGCTCATCTTAAAAGGTAATGAATCTGAGGTTTTACAGTTGTTTCAGAAAAATTAGGAGCTATGAATACCTTAGAAAATCTCTCTTTTAAAATTTTGGTTAGGTGGCTTACAGACAAAAGGAGTGAACCACCACTAGTAGTTGCCTTATGTTTCTGTTTCCAATGCAGGAATCAATTCACTCACATGGGGAAAGCGTAGCTTTACTACAGTTCCTGAATAGCAGAGAAGTTCCACCACATGCACTCCCCCAATCCAATTTTCCAGCTGAATGGACAGTGGGTTAAGGCTATCCAGTAATGTGACAAAGGTCAATGCTATTAAGAGATCCTCCCCCACCTAAGTTGCTCATTACTAGTTCCTTGCACACTTCATCGAGAGGTTCAATAAAAGCTCAATTGTATATACAACTGAACTTTGTTAAGTTCAATAACCATGATGCAACATTAGCCTTCCCCCTGTTATTCAAAGATGCCAGGAGAGACCCATAATTGGCCTGCCCCACATGATCATATCTTACGGTCCATGTATCTAGCATGTGAGTCTGTCCCCCCCCTCTCCTAAAGAGAATCACTGCCACAGAACATCAGAAAGCCGAGATGGAGAAGAAGTTAAGAAATTTGGTTTGGCATTTCAGAGTGAGTGTGCTTCCAAATGGCCAGTCTTTCTGGGGGCAGCAATAGGGAAAAATCCATTTAAATGCAGAGTGAAAGATCCATTGTTAACCCAAGAACCAGTAGACTTAACCTTTCTTTCTACCCCCTCTCCTGGTTTTTGAACACCTTTACAATTTAGTAGCCATGTTGTGAGTTTACTATAGGTGTAATCCTTAGTAAAAAAATACAATTGGCCAATTTCTTTTCTCTTTTTTAATATTTTTATTGATTTTTACATTAACAAACAAAAGATAAAAACACAACATGTCTTCTCAATTTATATGTCCATTTGGCTATGTTTTAGCCTACTACTTCCATCAACCACAACCAATGATTTTCAAACTTTACGTCTTAATTCTGCATTTTATTATTGTCCATATTACTTTAACAGTTCAAATCTTCAATAAAAGCTATTTCCTAAATCCTCTTTTGTAATACTTCATATTATTCTCCTTACACAACTTCTTGTAGTCCTACAAGTGTAGTCAAATTACTACAATTGTCTTTCAAATATTTCGCATATTTTCTCTTTCAAGAAGTTCTGGTCCCGCTGGTTACGAATCCTTCCTGTCACCTTATCCAATTCTGCGTAGTCCATCAGTTTTATCTGCCAGTCCTCCTTTGTCAGCAATTCTTCTTGTTTCCATTTCTGTGCCAATAATATTCTCGCAGCTGTTATAAAAATAACTTTTTATCTTGTCTATTAATGTCCGTACCTACAATACCTAGTAGAAAAGCTTCTGGTTTTTTAACAAATGTATATTTCAATAATTGGCCAATTTCTTCTAGATAGTTGAGCTAGAGGAAATCAGTGCAATGGGACTTCCTCCTTTCACATCTCCTGCCCCTTCTCAAATCTGCTCTGGAGGGATGAGAGAATAGTGGAGATCATTCCACCAGACATGCAGAAATGCTTGTGCTGACAGAACAGTATCCTTAATGCCGAGTTGCACCAACCACATAAAAATGATCAGTGTAAAGCATCTTAAAACAAATGTCAGTGTCTGAATATTGGTGACGCTACTATAAAACACAATGGAAACCATTTTTGGATATATTGGACAACTATCTGGGTGCACCAACCCCATTTTGTTCTCTAGAGCTTTATTCCACTACATTATACACATTTCCATGGGAGTTTGAGTCGTACCCAAGTGGAAAATCAAATTAACTTGTTGAGTAATTTTTATTCCTCTTTAATTTGTATGGGCCCCATTAAGTGGCTTGGTTTTTTTGTGTGTGTTTTGCTTTGGTTACCCACTGCCAACAGCAGTAGGAACAGCAGCAGTGGAAAGTCAAAAGCAGCACTGAGCTCATTCTATGGTACTTGCATTTAGTTGCTCTAATGGATCATTTCATGTGCTGCCACTGTTACCAGCATCTATCTGAGATGGTTGGAAGTGTTTAGTAAAAACCTTAACAGCATCGCCTTCACTTTTCCCAGCTGCTTAGGCAAGTTTATCTTAGCATGGCAGAATGCCATTAGGTTTTCCAACCCATGGTGCAGATTATCTTGAATAAAGTCCCCAAATCTGGAACTTAATTTATTGCTATTTTCCCTAGGACCAGCTGAGGACATTTTGGGCTGCATCCAATGTTCTCTGCTAGTGCAAAGGTTCTTTAATGTTGCACAACCAAGGAATCCAACACAACAATTCTGCTAGCAGAAATGAATTGTGTAACAGATTGCACAATCTATTGTGCAACATAGTTAGCAGCTACTTGCCTATGCATTCTCTTGTGCAACAATGTCCTGATGGCGCAAAATGTTTTGCTATCAGAAAAAGTATATTGCTAAGTGATTTCAGCTTAGCACTACATTGGATACAACCCTTTGTTGCCCAAGATGAAGGGCAAGTTGATTTGTCTTCTATTTCACATACAGAAGCAGACTGGGGTAGAAATTGCCTCTTGCTTCAAAACTGACAGAAGACAATAGCTCAATTGGTAGCGCATGAGACTCTTAATCTCAGGGCTGTGAGTTTGAGCACCAGGTTGGCTAAAAATATTCCTGCATTGCAAGGGGTTGGACTAGACCCTTGTGGTCCCTTCCAACTCTACATTTCTATGATTCTGTGACATCAGCATGTCAGCTCAAGTGGTGCAATGCAAACTAGGGTGCTCAGGAAGAATGGCAGGAAGCAGCAGCACGCACAAAGTAGGGTTTGCTGCCTGAAGCAGCTGATCACTCTGCCTATTTGCAGAGGCAGCCTTGCAGTACTCACATGTGAGCGAAGGACAATGTTTGGTGACTATTGCTTTTGCTGGGCTTTGACCTAGTCCAAGACACTGACAGGCCCATGGGAGTTTATCAACTTCCTTTTCTGCTTCCCTGTTTTGCTCGATTCCTCCTGTAGCAAGGAAAGTAGGCCGAGATGACATGACTTCTCACACTTGATCCCAATTTTCTCATTTGGTAGCATCTGTAGGCCCTATGTATTTCAAGCGTACCTTGTTTATGAATGATACTAGAGGCTGCACTTCTAAAGCAGGTCAAAGTCTGCCTAAGGAATACGTATTGTGAGATGGTGAAAGTATTACTCTGCGGGTGGAGGCAGCACTTGCGCTCTTAAGGAGGCCCCAGAAAGCTCAGCAGGTATAACTGTACCATCAGCAGTTTTTCACAGTGTTAAGAAAGGGTGGATGTGGCAAACACCTTCGATCTGCAGGATCCCAAACCCTTGTTCCCATGACACAATTCTGAAAAGGGGGGCAGAATCCTACACCAGTCCTGGAAAGAGTGTAGTGATTTTCTATCCATTATGTTAATATCAAAGGGAACATTAGCAACAGGGTGGTGGACAGAGCAAACAAGAAAATTCCACCACCTTCCATGCTAGCCAGAGTGAGGCAGCAACGATTAGGAAGTTCTTCAGCTGTGGGATTGCCCCCCTCCCCACATTTTAGCATTGCCCAGGTAGCCTTGCATTCTTCAGTATGCCCCCCCCCACCATGCAGTCCAACTTCTCCATCAGTAAGCTTTCTTATATAATCATACCACTTTGACATCGTCTGGGAATAAGGATAACCCTCTCTTTTTAAAGGATCTGAATCAGGCGGCTGCAGCAATTGTATGAAACGATCTGTCATGCTTCTCTGCATTCCTTTACCCATTAGAACATTGTCGAGTTTAAGATTAAGCACTCTTCCTGCTGGATCACAGGCCCTGCATCTCATTAAAGTAAACACACTATGTCCTAGAGAATTAAAAACAAAGGACAACCAAGAAAGTGTGAGATGGGGGAAAACCCCGAAATCTATTAAAGGCCCCAATAGGTGGCTCATTTCTTACGAAAAGACACAGAGCAGCCGCCATATTAATGGCTTTCCCTTGTTCAATGACAAAGCTATGCTCAGTTTTGCAGCTCAGTTGCTGACACACTCCAAAATCATCTAGTGGCGTATTATAAATGGAAAAGTTCCCTTGTGGAGATAATACTGTTTTCTAGTTCCTTAGAAGCGTGTTTTATTTCTTTATATACACTTGACACCCAGAAATAAATCCTATTTTATACTTTAGCAAAAATAACCAGGAAAGGTTGGGTCAAACTCAGTTCTGGATAATACTTCCGAATTTCTGGAAACTCCACATGTATAAAACCGATTCTAATTTATCCAGGAACAACAACTAAAAAGGCATCTGATGAGTAATAGCTTACCTCACAGTCCAATAGTTTTTTCTTGCTTCTTCTCTGTGATAGGGCTCCTGTGTTCTCCCCAGTGTAACATAGCTAGCTTTTGGAAAATATGTCTCCAAAAACAGCTTTGAAAATTATTTTTGTATAGCCCATTGCAAAATGGTAGTAGATGCAGATAATAATGGGATTTATGATTATTATACTGGAGTATTTGCCCATTCTAAGTAACTTTTAATTATTAGCTACAGGAGTTTACCCTATAGCACTCTTCATGATTACCAGACCTGGTGCCTATATATAGCAAACGTTCCACCTTCAATGGCTAGTCATATCATTGCCTTAAATAGTTAAAGGAATCATTAAATATAAAAACAGTCTGCACAAACTGTAGTTACATCAGCTAATGACAAACCTCTTAGCTTTAATAGCCCATGTGGCTTTGCATCATTAATAAACTATTTAGTGATGTGATTAATTTGAGATCTTATTTTTAAGTATTAGCACCACTTGTAAGAATTTCTTAAAAGAACCATTTTCTTTAGTAATGAACTGATGGGAAAGAGGTTGGTAAATTAAGGGGCAAAGATTTTGGATGCAAAAGCAAGTTCTAAAAATAGGAGAGTTAGTGACAATTTGTTAGCCAAAAATGTACTGGCCCACACCCTTGAAAGAACAATCTTTGAGGGAAATGAAAGGGCAGTTAAGCACTTTTGGTGGAACATCACAAAACTATCCCTGGTGACTGAACTTCATGCAGAATCAGTTTGCAGTGTTAATTCCCAATATGGCCCAGGCCATAGCCTTATGAAGACAGGAGGGAAATAAGTGTTCTATACAGCTGTTCCTTGAAAGCAAATTTAGCCACCTTTCATATTTCCAGCCAATGATTGCAAATGCATAGAGATGATCCGCAAACTGGAATATATTTAGAGGATGACAACACAGATGGTTTGGGGATAGAGAACAAGGATGTGAAGAGCTGGAGCTGTTTAGCCTGGAGAAGAGATTACCATATTTAAAAGGCAACATGACAGTTTTCTTCCAATATTTGAAGGGCTATTACATAAATGGGCCAAACCAGTTTTCTGTTGCTCCAGAGGGTAGGATCTAAACCAACAGATTCACATTAAAACAGGAAATGATTTAGATTAAACATTAGTAAGAATGTTCCCAACTGCACTGGCTGTGTTGACATTGGAGAAGACTTATCTCTGAAGATTGCAGTGGTGGTCTCTCATTTCTAAGTGAGCATGCAGCAGCCTCTGCTTAAAATCTCCCGTTGGGTGTGCTGCAGCAGTGGATTTCCTGCTAAATAAGATGACCTTTGCAGTTCCCTCCATCACAGATAAGAACACTTTAAATGAGGGTGTGTACCCCTTCGGCTAGGACACGGGTGGCGCTGTGGATAAAACCACTGAGCCTTGGGCTTGCCGATCAGAAGGTTGGCGGTTCTAATCCCTGCGAACGGGGTGAGCTCCCGTTGCTCGGTCGCTGCTCCTGCCAACCTAGCAGTTCGAAAGCACGTCAAAGTGCAAGTAGATAAATAGGTACTGCTCCGGCGGGAAGGTAAACGGCGTTTCCATGCACTGCTCTGGTTCGCCAGAAGCGGCTTAGTCATTCTGGCCACATGACCCAGCCCTCAGCCAATAAAGCAAGATGAGCGCCACAACCCGAGTCGTCCATGACTGGACCTAATGGTCAGGGGTCCCTTTACCTTTACCCCTTTGGCTACGACTAGCATTTCCCTGCTTCCCGGTTCTATGTACATGTCAAGGTGGAGGGCAGGTCACATGCAGATCTTTGAAATAGGAAGAACCTCCAGCCTGCTCTAAAGTTCATCTCAAAACACACTCAAGTACCTCACTTGAATTCTCTGCAATACATAGAGAATGAAGGAGAAAGTGACTAAATGGATAGCCGAGTGTCCTTGAGGTGACAAGGATAATTACCAAAAGGCTAGGGGCAGTCATTCCTTCTGACTGCATGCTGGAGGGCAGGAAATGCATTAGATAAATTCACACTAAAACTATTTAGGTGCCTGTTTCATGCTGCCATCTTGCCCTCTGCACCATTTGTTGTAAAGACACGCACATAGCCTCAAACATCTAGTAGTGAAGAGGAAAAGAGTATTTTTCTAAAGAGTTACAGAATGCTCACCTATCTTTCATGGTATTGCAGCAGATTGCACATGACTTTTTTAAAAAAACTATGTGCCCATTTTTGCTATTCTTTATTTCAGGTAGCCAAAGAATCCAGGTGCATGTTAAAACCAGACTGGTCTTTAACTCAAATCAATGTACTGTAAGCAGCAGTACTGATTACGAATGGCAATGCGGTATTCTGAATCAGTTGGAGTGTCGGCAGAAAGGCAATAGTACCGTATTTTTCGCTCTATAACACGCACCTGACCATAACACGCACATCGTTTTTAGAGGAGGAAAACAAGGGAAAAAACATTCTGAATGAAACAGTGGATGTATCATTTTTGTGCTTCATGCTGTGGCCACAGACATGTGATCTGGTGGTGAATTTGGGGTGACCCAATGCAAAAATCCTGAGAATCCCTGTGGATCCATGCTTTTTAACCACGTTTTTGCACCATTGCAGCCCCAGGCAACAGCGGGTGCATGATTTTTGGGGGGCAGGCTGTAGCCATGGACATGCTATGTGATCTGATGGTGAATTTGGGGTGACCCAATGCAAAGATCCTGAGGATCCATGTGGATCCATGCTTTGTAACCACGTTTTTGCACCATTGCAGCCCCAGGCAACAGTGGGTGCATGATTTTTGGGGGGCAGGCTGTAGCCATGGACATGCTATGTGCTCTGATGGTGAATTTGGGGTGACCCAATGCAAAGATCCTGAGGATCCATGCTTTGTAACCACATTTTAAGTGGGGAGGGAAGGAAAAACACAGAAGGGACAAGGAGCACGAGAGGGGTGTGCAGAGAAGCAGCTGGCTAAGAATGCAGGAGAGGGGTATAACGGGAGGGAGGAAAGGAAGGCAAAAGTTTCCCCCCACCCACGCACCCAAGCCAGCCAGCTCTCTCTCTCTCTCTCTCTCTCTCTCTCTCTCTCCCACCTGCATGTTTTCCGGCTGGAGCACGGAGAGGAATTAGAAGGAAGGACGCTCTGCTTTCCCCTCTTCTTGCCTGGAGGGGAGGGGCTTTCCCTGCTCTTTGTTCCGTTTGAGCAAACACAGTAACGAAACAGAGGTGGGTGGGCAGTAAGACCCTGAGGCAGAATGCAGGAAAGCAGCCGCTTTCTCTTTTCAGGTTTCCCTTCTCCGAGACACGATTTGATTTTTGCCCGATTTTTGCCTCCACTCGCGCCAGTCGGCTCCAGGGACCACACATTCGCTCAATAACACGCACAGACATTTTCCCTTCCTTTTTAGGAGAAAAAATCTGCGTGTTATAGAGAGAAAAATACGGTATGTCATGCGCATTTGTCTTGTTACAGTTTACAGATTTAAAGTATGACAGTCTTAATGGGTGATGGGATTTTATTCTGTATGTAGAAGGGCATATAATATCAAGTGTGACAAGTTAGCAAAACAAAGAATTGACAAGACTGATACCTCAAAGTCTCAACAGGTGGCTCAATACAAAAATCTCATAGTCAAGACACATAATAAATTTATAGTGTCAATACAAAAAACTTTATTTTTTCAGTTGTAATATAAAAATACTTGAGGAAAAATAATGTTTTGCCCATCTAAAGGAGGTCAAAACTGGCGGGGGGGGATTGCAATAAGTAAATTCCACAAGATTCCTTGTCAAGAACCTTGACTATGTTTCTAAATACTTAATTATCCAAGAACGATATCCAACAATGCCATGTTCAGAGTAGACCCATTGAAATCATTTATTTCATTGAATCTACTCTGAGTACAACTTAGTATGATTTCATTAACAGGTCAAAAGTATTTTTTAAAGTTGCGCTGCTTACGTCCACGATAGCAGACTTGAAATAAACTTAATTCCCTCATGGTTTCTTCTTCTAACTGCTTTGGATTGTATGAAATGGCCTGCAGAGAAGAACCAACAGTCTATGGGTACACACTTTCTAGCACTATCATTTCCAGAAAAACGTATTTCGAAGTTGTTGATCCATACAACCATTGTTTTTATTCATTTTATACATTTCAAAGCCAGCTGTGGAGTAGTCCTCACTGAAGACTGTATGTCTGCTTCACATTTTTCAGTGAAAGTGTTATGATGAGGGAACGTGGATCTTTTCTGTTTTTGTGGACTGTTATCTTTCCTTTCAGTTCTTCACCTACAAAACAATGCACAAATGAAGCAACTTTATTAGTTTACCAAGGAAATGGTTACACACAGTGTTACTAAATTTGCATGCACAGTGGCACCTGCTTCATTGAAGGAACTTGTTATAATATGGTAACAAGTCATGACAATTGAGATCGGGTGGCATGTTTTTGAATATCTGGGTAGCATATTTTTGAAAACTTCACCATCCTATTAATGCAACAGTAGGAAGAAAAGAGTCACCCTTAAAACACTACAGCACTGAATTCTGCCCCCAGTGACTCTGGAAAAGTCCTTCTGTCTTTTAATTACCAGACTGATACCCACCACTTCCAAAAGATTTCCCTAATGAAAATTCTGCACACACTCACATAAAACCATAAAGTTGGTTCTCTCCTGCTCAGAGATAGGTTTAGGGAATCTACTTAATGCAACACCATTGCTTTGATATCCCTTCAGTTGTTGGAAACTATGACATATTTTGTTTGACAGCTTTCTAATGATTTTAAAACAGAGACGGGGCTAAGGGATGGGCAGAGACAGCAGGTAAGAAGGCAGCTAAGTGGCTACATACTTTTGTGCTGCCTTTGACCTTTAAACATAAACGTATGATATCCAAATTGGCACCTAGCAACCATCCTAAAACCTTTGTCAAGGAAACAAAAAGCAATCACGCTTGATAACCTTCTGTGAAGTCTCTGTCAGGTTATCTACTGGGAGATGGAGGCACAGGTACTTTAACAAACTGAAGATTTTAACAACCATACAACCATGCTTTAAAAAACAAAACAAAAAAACCAAACCACAGCCAATACATCACAACATTACATAGGCAAATCCATCTGTTTGCAGTAGTCTGTCCTATGCTTTGTAATTGCATGAGTACTTAGAAATGGACTTTATAGGATTTGGCTAAAGGGTATTTTGAAGAACTGCCTGTATTTAAGAAAGAACCAAATGTATTTATTTTATATTACAAAGTAAATTGTTGACTGTTTTTGTTTAAGATTTGCCAGCTCTTTCAGTAGGTGTTTAGTGCAGATATTTTGGCAATGTACCAAAAAGATCCTGCTTATTTAAATATTATCCCAGGATGTTTCAGCCGAATTTGTTTGTCCCAATCCTTCGAAGTGTGTTTAATTTGCTATTAAGCAGTTGCTTATATTCCACCCCAGAGACAAATGTGCTTCAGCAGCGAGCAAAATCATCATTACCACCTTTTATGTATCTTTAGAGGTTTTCAATTGTTTTATTAATTTAGGGGATGAACATAAAGCTGCTAGTATAAAAAAGAAAGAGAAGAAGTTTAGTATAAATTTTGAAGACAGCATCAGCACATTTTATGTAAGAGCAAGTGTTTACTTGGCGTTAAGAGGAACTATAGCAGACTGTACAAAATGGAGAGCCACTGTACCTTCAAGGGATGAGGGAAACTTGTTTTTATAACCAAACACATTAATTCTACAACATGTATGACAGACGTCTAGATGAGCAATGAAATGAAAGGTTTTATCTGATGAACACGGTAGCATTAAGAGAATTTTGGAGCCTTGGGCTGTAACTTAACTGGGAGCAAGCTCCATTCAACTCAGCAGAAATTAATTCTGAAATGACATATGTATGGGACTGTATAGATATATTGTATGGGATGGTGGCACTATGCTTAAAGCAGCCTGAATTAAGGCACATATTGGCGTTCCCCCAAAGTGGCCTTACTATTCACTCTTCAAACGAGGAAGTGCAACTTCCTGCATATTTTATGCCTCTCCTTGTACAGAAAAATTAGCAAAGTCTTATCTGTGCTCAGGCACTGAAGACTGTCAGAAATGACTAATTTATTTGTCCTATTTATTTTTCTTCTAATAGTGTAGCAGTTCGATCTGTTCCCTTTATATAAAGCAACACCCCTCCTTGTATCTTTTTTTTTTAATTGCGTTTTTAAATTTGAAATATAAATGCAATAAAAGAACGTATTCTAGAACTTTTACTCCAAAACATTTGGTCCATAGGAAATCCTGTCTTTTCCTTCTACAGCCAATCCAACCCTTTCTCATAACTCTTTCCATCTTCTGAGAGAGCAGGTAGAGAAATGATTCTTTGTGTCTCCTTATGTCACAAAACATAATTTTGCAAATTGAGCCTGGAGATTTCATGAATACATTCATGCATACTCAGTTACCTTTATAACATTGCTATTTGTATGTAGTTCAAAACTGCATGAATGCATGAATCCTTGGGAAAGGTGAACCTTTACTAAAATCACTGCAGGGGAAATGATTACTGATGGCTATTTTAAATAAGCAGACCTTAAAATATCCCATCCAGATGCCTCATGTGTCTTCATAAGGGACAAATGCATGAAAAAATCAGCATGTTGGCAAAGTATAATCAATAGTTTCACAATTTATGCCAGATTAACTAACGCAGCAGACATGGTTTGATTTTTTAATTCTGTTCACAAATAGTCCAGTAATTTGTTATGAAAATAGGTAATGTACATTTGGCATAAAAACATACGGTATGTGTTCTCCATTTTTGAGTGACTGGAGAAAGCCTATGTAAATCATGGTTTGATGTGAATTGTTAGTGTAAAACAAAAATATGCATACATGTAATGGGTGGGAGTATCCCCTTAGAAGAGCTATCCGTATTCTGGAACCGGGTGACTCTTTCATGTATTAAAATATCAGCTCCTAAGTAAAGATCTTCTATTAATGTCATGTGAACAGGACTAGAGATTGGTTTGATGAGAAAAAGTAAGAAGAAGGGGAAAAGCCTATTTGGTACCACATGTGATGTTTTCCAGCCCCCCCCCCTTTAAAATAATTGCCTTTAAAGTTCCAGGATTGCTTTATTATAGTATTATCTTGAGTAGCAGACACTCTTTGTACTTGGAGTCTTCATAAATTCAAGAATATAACTAATCTGACCTTTTTAGCTCTATGGAGCACCACTGTTTCCTTTGTCAGAAACTCTGAGAAGCACATTCAATAACTGCATAAATACAGAATTAAATCTCTGTGCTAGTTAATATTGTTGACAGGGGCCTTTTGTGAAGTCATCATAAGCATTCAAGAACAGCAAGACCATACATGCGTCGGAATGCAAGGCACATCTGAACCCATTGAGCTGATGGGATTAATCTTATTCATTGTTGTGTATGACCAGTTATGCAACAGTGAAGAACTGAGGCCTTTAAAAAAAAACAATTCCAAAAGAAAAGAGCAGCAGAAGAATTGAGGCCCTAAAAAAACCAACCCTTTCTATCCCCCACACCCCAAAGGCAGCAGAAAACTAATGATAGCTGAGAACTGAAGGTGTACTAGTTCATATAAAATTAATTTGCATGTTGCAAAATCTAACTCAAAATAATTTTGACAGTATAGACAAGATTTCACAATCATTTGGAATATACTGTACATAAAAGAGGCTGGTCTTAAACACACACACACAGTGTATAGAATTGATTAATAGGCCCAATATGTGTCAATCTGCTCACAAAAATATTCTATGTCTGACAGCAGCACACAAAAGCCAGCCAAAATGTCCCTAAAAATGTGGACAACCAGATCCTACAGTAGAGTTATAATTCTACCCCCTGGGGGATTTTATCAGAACACACAGTCTAAGTTTAATTGCATAAAAATGAATTAAATTTGCTATTTAAACAGCTCTAGTGATGCATACCTTGAGGCAAGCTGTAAGAGGCAACATTTCTATAACAACCTACCACAGCTTTCATTAAAGGCAGCCCCCAGTTATTTATAACCATGTTAATTGCATTAAGCAACCCAGACAATCAGTTTAATTCATTGTCATGAGGAAGATATTTTCCTTTTCCTCGCCCCAACAGGCCACGTTAAATCTTTTGTGCCCAGCCATTCCCGTTGCTAAACTAAAGCAATGGCTGTGTAATCATAATAGAGAGGAAGATCAGACCAATTAATCAATGCCATATAGATATAAAATGACTGATGTGCTTTCAACAGCTCTACTGCTCTATGCCCTGCAGAAAACGCTTCCAGAGACTGAGCTGCATCACCTATGCTCAATAAGATGCAAGGAAGGCACAAGTCATGTCATGGTTTGATCAAGACTGAATGCATTATCTTTCTACTGCAGTACTGTCATTCTTCCCTTGGAGAACACTTAAGTTGGCTTTGCATAGTAAAAAGTACAGCAAACAGGAACGGAACAAGAAGTGTGCTGTTTCTGCAGCATACAAAATTAGTAGGGTTTTTTTTTCCTCTTAAAAAGGCACTGCTCTATGGCTGAGCATGTTTTAGCATTTCTGCTCATGTATCGTTGAGCCTCTTGCTTAAACCGAAGGGCGACTCAGTGACACTACAACATACTTATGGGACAAACTATTCATATGATGTGATATTATTTATTTATCATATTTATTAGACACCCAATTAACAGACTCTCTGGGGATGCACGGTGATTCAATCATTCCCAGTGCAAACAAAAGGGAAAGAGAAGACCAGCTCCAATTACAACCATCAGGACTCAATTACAGCTCTCAGACAAGACAGAAAGTTTATGGGATTATCATGCAAGTACAGAAACAGTACTCAAATGGAGAAAATAGATTGGCATGACTACATTTCACTGTACCCAACAATAAAGGATAGAAAATGCCATTGGGGATCCAAAGGAACGCCTCTGCCTTGAGCAGAAAAGATTGGTTATAGTGGCCTTTTCAAATGTTATGGCCTGTGAAATCCAAGGGATCATGGAAACGGCCCCAGTATGAAGCACACAGTAGCAAAAAACCAATGGGACAACAGTAAGGTAAAGGTAAAGGGACCCCTGACCATTAGGTTCAGTCGTGGCTGACTCTGGGGTGGCGGTGCTCATCTTGCTTTATTGGCTGAGGGAGGGGTGTACAGCTTCCGGGTTATGTGGCCAGCATGACTAAGCCGCTTCTGGCGAACCAGAGCAGTGCACGGAAACGCCGTTTACCTTCCTGCCGGAGCGGTACCTATTTATCTACTTGCACTTTGACGTGCTTTCGAACTGCTAGGTTGGCAGGAGCAGGGACCGAGCAACGGGAGCTCACCCAGTTGCGGAGATTCGAACCACCGACCTTCTGATCGGCAAGTCCTAGGCTCTGTGGTTTAACCCACAGCGCCACCCGCGTCCCTTCTAAGTACAGCTGCTATAGAAATCTTCAAAGGAGCTTATCAGTGAAGCAGAATCAAATGAAAAAAGGCACATCCAAATACTGCAAAAAACAAACTATAACTGATTTGAACTTCAAAATGTATGAGGACCAGAAAAATAAACAAAATGGTTGTCTCACCCCAAAATAGGAGGTGAAAAGTATGCTTACTAGGTGCAATATGCAGGAGGAGAAGGAAGAGGATACAGGAGATTACTAGGGGGTGGTTAGTAAGTAAGGTGGGGTGGGGTGGCACAAAAGGTGGGGGAGGCAGTGGCAAGGACATGAGGATGACGGTGAAAATGGGTGCAAAGGGGGGCCGCAGACTAGAAGAGAGAAGTGGCTCCAGAAATGGGGTTGGGAAAGCTGGTGGCATGGGGTGGGAAGGGTGTTAATGGAGGAATGGTAGGGGAGCTGACAAGCAAAGGAGAAGCTTCTAGTATTGTATATTCCATATTATCTTTGCTGGGGTGTGTGTGTTAAGTTAAAAAGGCATCTCTTGCACATTACGGAGGCCATGACCTTAAGGGGGGGGGGGAGTTTTGTCCAGAAAGGATGGAAGTCCCACTGAACTTCATTAAAGCAGCCAAGATTTGGTCTGCATAGTGCAAAGTAAGATTTGCAAAGTAAGATTTTTCTAACTAGAGTGGTAGGAACTGATATGAATGAGTGATGTTCCAGAATATGATGGCGATTCACAGTGAGGTACAACAGAATGCTGTCACCATGCTCCATTTGTTCGTAATACCTTGCTGCATAGCTAAATGACAGAAGAAAGGGCAGCCTTAATATGTTATAGACAAGGGGAGCTATCCACTTTGAAGGGCATTTTTTGAAGTACATTCTTGACTGACATAGATATGCCCCATAGATTTCACAAGGCTACCTCATGAATGCTCAATGGTGTTTTTATGCAAGAACTGTCTTTAGCTTTGAAGCCTTCCACAAATTAGAAGTCTTCCAGCTCTTAAAAGTTTTTTTATTTCTCGCCAAAATAGAAAGGATATGCTTGAGAGCATCTCTGACTTACCAGGCTGCGATCTCAACCTAATGTTTAATATAACTTTTCTTGAAATCTTAAAAAAAGGATTTTGCACTGACTTACTCTGAACGGGAGAAAAACCATTAACTTGAACCAAAAAAAGAGGGGGGGAAACCACACAAAACCCATTAGCAATAAAACAGCACATGGTTGCATTTTATGTTCTTGATAATGCCTTGCAGTGAAAATAAAATGTTTGTTGTTTTCCACAGCAATTTAAAAGGTTGTACACAGCAGAGCACTGCAGCCAAAACTCGTCAGAGGAAAACACTTTTCTGAAGACCAGTTCAGCCTTGGTAGTTTAATATTCTAGGTAGGAGAAAATATGTACACACCGATGGACATTTTTCATGTATACGTCACGTGATTTATTCTGTCAAATGGGCAATTACTGCAAAAGTCATATGTGAAGTAGCCTTGACACTCTTCTTTCCTATGGGTTGTGTTCAACTAAGTCCTACTCTGAGCAGACCCACTGAAATTAATGAATGCCATCCACTGTTTTTAAATTTTAAAGACATATACACTTTACTGATGAATGGGCTGGTAATGAAGTGTGCTGCTTACATGCAAGCCTGCAATATGAGGGAGCTTTTGACATTGAGATTTGGACATATTCCCATGTTTGGCACCCCAAGAGGGACCAGAGAGATAAATCAGAGAGATAAATCAGAATTAATTTTTGATAATATTTGAGACTACCTTACGGTCTCAAAAGGAAATTAGCACGTTTACTGAAAAGTATTAAAATCTATAAACAGCACACCAATACCAGTTTGAGCTTAGAAATGCTAAAACCAGTACACAAATTGTTCTTAGAAGCATTCCTAGGAACCAACAGGAAAACTAGGATGTGAAAAAGAGAGGCTTTGGGTTAATTGGGTAAGGACATTGGGTTGAAGAGTGAAAGTGGTATCACAGTGCAAAAATGAATGAAGTTGCTTGTTTGCAGAAGGAAAAGGGGAGGTTATCAGAGAAGTTTGGCTAGTGAGGTTTTGGTAATGTTTTTAGGTGAAAATCAGAAGAAATTAGACTTTGAGGAAATGGCTGCTTTCATCTTCAATCCCTTTCTCCTACACCCACTTTTTTGCAACCCTCTTTGTACCCCCATTTCCCCCTTCACTCCCTTTTTAACTCCACCCTGAAGGGTTAAACAAAAGCAGAAGTTCTGGTGGAGAATAAATTATGTACGGATTCTGGAACACATGACAAGGAAATACTGATAACCAGATTTACTGTGATCACTGGTATAGAAAGATCATGCACTTATTAGGTCCATATGCTCAGGGTCTAAGATTGTTCTTAAAGTCACTGGACCTTAGTTAACAGAGTTCTTATAGTAGATTAGACACCTATTTTTTAATGTTAAGCATGTTCTGACAAATGCCACTGCACATTTATTAATGTAGAACAAGCAAGAAAGGTCAGCTAAAATGACCTGTGGAAAAAAGCTAGTTAGGAGCCTAACACCGCCACATCCAACTCAAGCACACACATTTGGAGTTGTGGCACTGGGCAAAGAAAGTTCCATGTATGCCTGCCTCAATACATGAAAGTGCACCTTCCTGGACTGTTTGCTCCATTTCAGGAGCCCAAGAGACTACACTCAAAGGAAATCTTGTGTTCTTCAGGTTAGATCAGGTACCCTCCAGGTGTCGTTGGATTCCAACTCCCATTTGCCCCAACCAGCATGGCAAATGGTCAGGCATCATGGGAGTTGTGGTCCAGCAACATCTGGAGGGAACCATGTTGTCTACCCCTGGACTACACATAGATCAAAAGCAACTAAGGCCTGCTTCACTAAGAGGCTACAGTGGCCTTATTAATTCTTTCTTCATGCACGGCTTCTAAATGTGGACAAGTGGGCAGTGGATGTCTACCGCTGGCCCTGCTCCTGACCCTGAATACTGCACTGGTCATGCCACATTTGGTTGCAGTGCTCTCTGCAGGAAGGGAAGGAAAATTTAATAAAGTAGACAAGTCTACGTATGAACAGCTGCTCCTACGCTGCTTTCCCAGCCGTGCAACCAGTACCATCAGGGGCGTGGCCAGAAGCACAGTTCCACTGCAGAAGCTACAAATGAAGAACAACTGTGTGTGCATATTGTATATTTCACCACCCCTGAAGCCACTGCATATGAATGCATTTTCCTTCTCTCCCTTGGGAAGTTATGGCCCAACACACTCTTCCTTGTGTGTGAATGTGGGTAGACTCTGTAAATATACACTTGTACTACTTGTACTACTTGTACATGAAGTGTATGCTCAACCGAGAAACAAGTTAAGTAATATGGCCTAGTCCATATTCTGGTCAAATTTGATTTAAGCAAACAGTGACCTGCTCTGCACATGTAATGTGAACAAGTCATTATGAAATGGTATGTAAACATCACTACTCACTGGGGAAATAAGGTACCAAAGTCTTTCTTGGACTCTTACAACTCCTGGCTAGATGACAGGGGTTGCAGTTTTGATTGCTGTCATGTAAAAAGTCCCTGCATGTAGAAAGCTAGTATATGGGGAGAAATATTTTTACCTAGTCCTCTTTCTTTTGTTCTACTTGCCTATGTGCAGAGTATGTGTATTCATCTATCTAGTGAAAGAGCATTCATAATGCAATACTGCATGAGGCAAAGTCCTTGTAAGCCTCTAGTCACATTATTTTGGTGAACTAAAAGCAAGAACTTTCACATATAGTATAAGGCAGGAGGGAAATTATTATTGGAAGTTGTGCAGGAAATTCCCAAGTATTTACTTTCAGCTTTTGAAACAAATCTGAAAGCGTGTCAAGAAAAATCTAGTATTATAGAAATTATATTTAGCTAGGAAAAATAATACTGTACCTGCTTCCACAGAAATTGGGTTCTCCAAAAAAAATGCTGTTTGCTTCCAGTGTGTTTTGGTACAGCAGGGACTAGTTGAGAACAATACCTGCAGTGACAGAGTTCAAAAATCTGTGATGACATACAAGACTTAATATCATGCTACATTAATTTAGCACACATACATTAAATGCTTGCAACAGCAAAACAGACTTACTCCAAAACACCTTAAGGCAAAAAGCTGACAAAATATATATCTTTAAATTAATTTTGAACATGTACTCACTGTTTTACTGCAATTCTTCTCAAAATATATATCAAAATATCCAGCAACTGCCTGCAATTTATAAATAAACAAACGTCAGCAATCTTCACATTCATGATCCTTGAAGTGTTTCTTGATATCATCAATATAATTGCTGGAAATAATATACTGAGTAATACCAAGTTCTTGCTTGGGCAGGGGCATTCAAAACAAACTGAAAACTCAACCACCTTGATGTCATTCAGCAAATACAACGGCTCCTTAGCATGTTGTTTAAGGCCAGCAAGTATGAAGGGTTAAAGCTGTGGCCTTTATTCAGTTAAGGTTTGTCCTTCCATTTTCATTACTGTAATAGAAGCAATATTGTTGTGTTTCCGGGGTATGGAGAATGGGGAGCTACTCAAATACACTGCTCAGAATCAAAGTAGAAATGAAAAGACTACCAAAGTCAACCAAAACTGTCCAAAGCATGCATTCATTTGTCTGGTTACTTTAAGAGAGCCCTTGCCTCTGGTGCATCAAACTGTGTTGCAGAAAATGCATCAGATCATCAGAAGGAAGTAAGAAGAGCTTCTGGATAAGGCCAGGCCAAAGGCCCTTCTAGTCCAACAACCAGATGCCCATGGGAAGGCCCCAAGCAGACCCTGAGTGCAACAGAGCTCTCGTCACTTGTGATCCTAGCAACTGGCTTTCAGATGCATACCGCCTTCAACAGTGGAAGTGAAACACAACCATCAGGGTTAGTAGTCACTGATAGCCTTATCTTCCATGAATTGGTCTAATCCTCTTCTAAAGCCCTCGCTACCTCTTGTGACAACACACTCCCTAGTTTTTGCTACATGCCTAAACCACAAGAAGCTAAATGCTACATACAAGTCCAGTTAAGACCATCTTCCAGTTGCAAGAACGATGGAAAGCGGCCTACATATTGCCAAACACCCACAAAGCCTAATTATGCTCTCAATCCCACCCCAGCCAATAAGCATGGATTCAATAGACACAAACTCTAAAATGTTCCCTCAAATAACCCTGGCTAGTGAGCACCACATGGTTCCTTTCCCCACTGTCTGCTGCTGACTGATGCAACTTTCAAACAGAAATCTGCATCTGCATGTGGGCAGCATTCTCTGTACAAGAACATGGGTGAAAGGCTGCTCATGAAGGACATCTGTCAAACACCCCACTGCCACCAAGAATGAAGCATCGTTCACGAGTTTTCCTCAATAACTGGAAAGTTTTAAATTGCAATTGGTATTGATAAGCACCAAACGGTGACAAGGTCCTTCAAGAATACACCAATAAGTGAATAAAACAATCTGGAATGGTTCTAGTGTTCAGTCCTATTCTAGCACTACCCAATCCAAAGCACTAAAATGATGCACCTATTTCAGAGCACAAGGGGACTCCTACTTCATAGGACTTTAGCCAGTACTTTATCTTACCTAACAGAACGCTAAATCCTGATGAAGCAACTGCAGTGCTTCTATATTCCACAGGCCGGATCCACAGTGTGTCCCTCCCATGAAGTGAAAGAGGCCCAGATTCAGCAGAGCCTCCCACTGGAGAAAGGGTAGGGAGACAATTTCCCCCTGTTTTCCCCTTCCCTTTCCATCCCCCTACCCCACCCATCTCATGGCCCTGGATGGTTCCTCAGCCTGCAAATTCCTCCCTTTTCTCCATCCAGCAGGAGCATCGTGTGAGTGGAGAAATACTGAATAAGCAAGTTATGCTTTTTAACTATTTGGCTTTCTTTCCTCATCACCCCAGGCAATGGAACAAATGATTCCCCTCCTTTGCATTATTAGCACAGTGCTCTCTACTGTCATACAGGAAGTGGGAAACTGCCTTATATCACGTCATGCAACAGATCTTTCCCTCTCCCCACCACCCCTAAAAAGCCTCTCCAGAGAGTCACCCCACATTGTGGGCTGTGTTCCACAGGGCTGCAGGGGGCGAGGGAATTCCCCCAAATCTGGCACAGAGGTCTTGCACTTTGCACATCACCGTCCACAATGTCTGTTAGGTCTTCCCAAGTCTCTGGAAAGGCTGGGAGGGGACTCTAGGGGAAAACATACATTGTGCAAGCTGTCTTCTGTTCATGAAACACTGCATACACTCCTGTGTTTTAATTTTCCTACCACGAGTGGGCAATTTTAAAACACATTGAGAGTTATTCAACTATATTTTACTTAGAGTAGACGCACTGAAATTAATGAACATGACTAAGTTAGGCCCATTAATTTCAACAGGTCTACTCTGAGTAAAACTTGGTTGAATGTCTGCTATTCATGTTTCCCCTTTCTGTGCAAATTGCTGGATTCTATGATATTTTATATTCTGTTTCTTTCCCAGTTGTGGAACTGTCTGATGTATGTCAAAGCCACAGTCGGAGACCCAAATATCTTTGGGGGTTTTTTTTATTAAAGGGGAAGGCTAGCTTGAACAACTAATGTTACACCATTCCTCCCACTTTAGTTTTCTGTCTTCCTTCTTAAAAGTTGCATATATCTTTTATCTCTTAATATTACAGACTGGCTGTCGAACGAAAGACCAGTGTACTTCCCCACAGTTTATCTTCTGCAGAACCATTCTAACTGAGACTTGCTATATACATTTGAGAGATGAGATAGCTTCGTAATTTAGCAGAGCAATCATTTTTATTTATTTGACCTTTTATCCAACATTATACGAACAGCTTTGAGACAAGATAAAAAATATATTTTTTTAAGTTAAAGCAGAAAGGTCAGTGTAGAAAATAGAATATAAAGATAAAAACTGCAATAAAACTGAAAATGGTGTTGACTCTTAGAAACAGTTACTTCAGGTATTATTTTGTTTTACATGCAAGTGACTTATGCTTGCTTTTACCTCCTTCCCCACCACAGCACTTCATCTGACAACAGATATATAGGCCCCCAGAGAAATAATCACAATAGACTCCAGCATCTCCACTAGAGTCATTCAAACACTATTCTCTGAACAGTAACCAGTAGGAAATTGAAAGCAAACACAATGGGATTGGCTGTATATAACTGAAGATCTGGCCTATTGAGCACTGCGAAAGGATGCTTTTTGTTAAAGATACACCGCAGTAGAGTAATTATTCTGCCTTCTGTTCTCAACATCCCATCAACAGACAGAACTGCTCTGCATGTTGAAGGGAAGGCGGTTGTTTTGAAAAGTAGGCAAGCAAAAAAAGAGCAAGGAGGTTAATGAGATGTAGAAATTCACCAAAAAAAACCCCCACCTCACACCAAATTTCTCCTGCTCATAAACCAAGTCAGCTATGCAGAGGGGAAAAGGAGGAGCACCAGAGCTGCAAATGTGATCATTAAGCCTGTATGCAGACCTGTGAAATCAATTCACAGACCAAGCTGACATTGAAATATAAGCCAGGCTAGTTTGCCTTAATGTAGAAATTCTCCCAAATATATTACTGGGAACATGTAAATAATCAGACATCAGTAGCCATAATGTAACCAATCTGGGAACTGCAAGTACAAGGTGTGTCTCTCTCCGTGTGTGCATGATTTCTCACACAAATCAAATATATTGCAGCTCTGTGCCTTAATTGTTTGTTCTGTTGCCACAGCGGGGCACAATTTTATTCACAGAAACCACAAAATAAGCAGTCTCTCTCTCTAAAAAAAAAATCAGTGTCTGTTGAAGATGGCCGAACACCCAGTTTACTCATTTGTTATCCTGTATTTCAGGCTCATTTTTATTAAGAACAGAGCAAAGCGCAGATTTGAGCAAATCTCAAATCTGCTTCTTCATTTACCTGCGCCGCTTCTTTGGGAAAACACTTCTGTTCCCAATTGTAAATCCCTGTCTGATTTATACAAACCCCTGTGAAACCAGTTAAAAGCAATTTGACCAATTCACTTAGGAGAGAGGAAATTAAAAGTTACCATCATCGCTATCAGCTGCAGGGAGTAATTTATCATTTTTGTTCCTCGTCAGTATCGTGTTCCAACAGCATGCAGCTAGAGCAGATACAATTAGGCAGCTGGCCACAGAAGTAGGAGGATAATGTGCTTTTGATGGAGTTTATCCAAGCATGGAGATGAAATGCTTGTAAGCCATGCAGCAGAGAGGGAGAGGGAGACAGACAATCACTATGTTCTTGGTGCAGAAATATCACTTTTGTTTTTAAAATGATTATTTCTTAAATGAAAACAACTCAGTACCTCAAGATTACTGAATGATTCTTACTCTTCAAAGGGGGAGGGGGGGTACTGAAGAAAATTTACTTTGTTTATTGTACCCTGTACAAAGTCTCATTCCATCTCAAAAGTAGAATAACCGAGGACATTAGGTATTATTCAAGTAGTCTTTGTACCATACTATTCAAAGTTTGATACTGTCTGAAAATTAAATCATCTTCAGCCTTGTACAACTGCTTCTCATATGGCAAAGCATTAGATTTTTATTCCTTGATGAAAGCAGTTCCTCTTTCATTCATCACTTCCAAGTTGGGGTCTGCAAAGATCATGGAGGGGAAATAAATTCTCTCCACCCTGGTATAGTAGTGAATTGCTGAACTTTGCAGCCAGATAACTGGATTCCTGCTCACCTAGCTCTAAATCTCAGCAGTCTATTGCTATAACCTAATTGACCTATAGTGGTGATACCTGAGATTTCGGTCTATTAGTAGCTGCCTGGCTCGCACAATTTCAACAATACAGATTGAGGTAGGAGGGTATTTTTCCTCCCACTGGAGAGTATATGATAGTTTCGGTGCAAAACTGGGTCAGCATAAGTATGTGCCGTGCATCCCCTGACGTCAACACTCCACCCCCAGGATAACGTTAAGTTGTTAGGGGGTGAACGAGATCAATATATGCTTAATCCTGTTTTCTTCACACCACCATTTCCCTCTAGATAACACAACAACATTTAATGCATCCAAGACAGCAATGAGCATGGCAGTCCTTAGCTTTTAAAATTATAAGCAAATAAGTTCCTGCATATCTGGGGAGTTATCCAATCTACCACCTCCTCTGTGGATGAGCCAGAAGTTATGTGTGGAACCACCCAAGTTTGAATCAGAAGAGAAAGCAGGGTTAAAATTTGCATTGCCTATCCTTACTGCACCCAACCCCGAAACCAGCCAATCATGTGGCAGAACTCTCAGCAGTCTTTAAAGGGCCCTCAAAGGCAGATTCCATGCTTTTAGGGTGAACCCTACATGTCCACTCAGAAGTAAGTTTCATCATATTCAACAGGGCTTACTGCCAGGTAAGTGGGTGGAGGACTGAAGCCTTAGCCATATAGCAAAACTTAATAAGTAACATTTTAGATCACCGCTAACACCACCAAGAACCTATCAACAGCAATTGATACTGAACTTATTAACTGATATTAACTAAAAGCTTCTCACAATACCTGTTTTGTGCTAGAGAGGAAACCATCTATTAAGCTCATTAATTTTAGTATGTATACTGTGATTTCAATCAAGTAAACTTGGGCAATTGAATTTAGTTTTTTAGCCTGCTTAATCCCAAAAGCTCTGTGAATGTAGCAATATATTAAAGCTGATTATCAGACATTTTAAGAGTACCTATGGGGGGGGACCAGATATCCATGCACATGGTGTGCTTGTATTTCTGCTCTTTGCTTACAGAGCCCATGAGGTTGGGTAAAGTAGTGGAAGCAGAAGAGGCGGTACCATGCCTGTTCAACCGCTTGCAGAATGCTCCCTCTTGCCGGGAGCATTCCAGCGCATGACAGTGCCCCGGGGCAGAGAAGATGAGTATTAAAACATTGAATGCTCCCCCTCTCATGTGAGGCGTGGTGTGGCAGGGGGGCAGGGAGAGGCACATTCCCGTTTCACCTCAGGTGGTGAAATGGAACGGGCCACCCGTTTCCTTATATATGTGAAATTTCAAGTTGGCCTATGGTGAGAACATGCATACACATGGTCAGCTTGGTCTGAAATGAATTGCCAAAAAGACACTGAAGAATAAAATGGTTGTATGGCTCGAACAGCCAAAATACAATAATTTACAGAAATCTGAAATGGTTATTTTGAGTAAAATTGTTTACAGGCTTCACAACCCACTTTGCCTAAACACACACCTTACACTTTGCTTGTATCTATGATAGAGATGGGAAGTTGACATATAAGGATTGGGGAATGGCACAGAGGATCAGGCCCACAATAATGGCGGCCTAGAGCTCCATTGAAAATGGCAGGTGTTTGGGTCATGAGAAAGCAGGGGTAGAGGAGAACAGGCAGATTTATGAAGAGGGAGGGAGTGTTAAAATGTTAATAGTTGCCTGTTTCAAGATGACTAGGAATTTCACAGTGACCTGCAAACCTGGGTCAGTGACTGTATATTAAAGTTCTAAGAGTGGCTGAGCATGAATCTCTAGATATATGCCAAAGTCTACTTTCCAGTGTTGTAGACTGTGCCTGACCCGTAAATATCCCGATGTAAAGCTAAGGAATTTATAGTAGCAACGTGGCTTGATTGGAACTCTCCCCAAATGGTTCTAAAAATAGAAATATTGCCTTGAAGAACAACGTTCAACTTCCTCTTCCCTTAAGTTTCTGGACTAAATCAAATAGAAAACACACATTGTGGTGTCAATAACTGGACACAGTATTCCAAGTGTGGCCTGAGCAAGGCATAATAGAGTGGAACTATTGCTTTGCTTGATCTGGACACTACACTTCTGTTGATGTAGTTTGACTCTGAACTGAGACTCTAACCCATCTTTCCTCAAAGGGGAAAAACAGCCACATTAGTTTTAAGACCAAAAATGTTATGACATTAAACCTTTATTCTTGTATCTTAAGCCAAACTAAAATTCTACATACAGAAAATCAAGGGTGAATATTTGTCCAGCTGAAGAAATACACTTTTAAACCATCTTCAAAATCTCCAATACATATAATGGATTTATTGTTCATTTACTGCAAGGTTAGGCAGCCTGATGTGATGGATGGACTGTCAGCCTCTAACTAAACTGCTATACTCCATCACAAAAGGAGTGGAAATTCTGGTCATAAGATGTCAATAATCTTACATGATGAAGTACGCAATACTTGACAAAGTGTTTTGTTTTTTTGCGCAACACCACAAATCTCTGATCCAAAACTAGAAACTTCCAAGCCAAACATTTCACCTGTATCACTATATTTTTAAGGCTGGCGAACACAAGTGTATATAAAAAGCAACAAATACAAGCTTTGGTTCGAAAATGAAGTTACAACCCATACCCCAAACCCACACAAATAAACAGGAAGATACAAGCAATGATATATGTGAAGGCAATATGCAGAAACCGCTTTACTGGAAAAGTGGGCGTAAAAATTACAATTCATAGTGAGAAAGGGAGAAACTCCATATGAAAGGGGTCACAAAGAGTTCAGAAGGTGAGTGGAGGATAAATTGTTAAAAGGAGATATCAGATAAGCTTGTGACAAGTGGAAAGGAAGGAATTGTGAAACAAGCTTACACAGGAAAAAGAGTAAAAAAGTATTAGAATGTAAAAAAAATAAGGGAGATGAAAGAGAAACAGGGACAACCCAAGACACTTTGGTACCCGAGGCGACCACAAATTGGTGCCCCTCTTCCGCCAGCGCAGAACGGTTGAGTGAAGATCTACATCAGGAATAAAGGGGGAATAACGTTGTACATGGCTGGCCCCAAAGAGAGAGGACTTAAGAGGAATGGCATAACTGCTGGTGTAAGGAACACATTATACAAGATGGGAGACACTGCTTGACAAGATTGCAATACACCAATGGCTATCAGGTAATGGCAACATTTAATCCCGTAGCCATGGTCCATAGCTAGTTAGTTCGCAAATGAAGGCTTTGACCAAAGGTTTCAAAAGCGCGGCAATCAAACCCCCAGAAATGCTGAAATAAAATATTTACCGTACACACGGAAGTCTTTGTTACTCTCAGAGTGAAGTCTGATGAAAAATTCAGTTCTGAAACCGATACAACATGGCAATCGATCCGCTGCAAGAAAGTGCAGAGTCTTGTGTGAGAACAAAGCAGAAGCCTAGTATCTGCGTGGAATCTATGGAGACTGTTTTAATCATCTCTGTATAATAGACCTGAAATAAAGCTTATTCTCAAAAGCAACCTACATGGAAACTAGTTGCCTACCAGGTGTATATGGCAAAAAACTGGAAAGTTTAGCCTCTAAGTGCAAGCTCAGGACTCCCAATGGCTTTATAACTGCAGTCTTCTAAAAGCACATGATAAATGAAACTCTTAAGGTTCAAAAGTTGCTTGCAATGCTGTTTGCAGAAGATGAACTGGGGGTAGGACTCTGAAGTCTCACTTGGATGCAGTTAGACTCTATGTTCTTCAGCCTACAACCAGAAAGTTAAAATTGTCGGGATGCTTTTTTTTATAGAGATATGTTTCTCATAGGGATAATGCTTCCATTTAGAAAAAAATGGGCTTATATGTGAAATCCTAAGCGGCAAGAAAATGAGCTCTTTATGTCAAGTACATACAAGTTCCTATATAAAACTGATATTTATTGAAGATATATCATATGTAAAGCAATTCTAAGCTGAAGGTGGATTAGCATATTTCATGGCTTGATGAGTCTTATATATGGCATCATCAGAGTCCTAATAATAGGGCACATGAAAATCAAATCAAGGTGAGGCACAATCCTCAGATTTACAGCAGCAGTCTAGCTTTAATCCCTACATATTCCCACATAGTGTTTTCACACATATTTGTTCACCCATCCTTTTATTTGGATACTTATTTATTTGAAAAAGACTCCTGAACAGCAACTGGGCTCCCAGCAGGACTCGCAAGTCCATTTATGACTGGACATCTCTCTCTCTCTGTCTCTCTCTCTCACACACACACACACCACACCTTCTTTTGTTAAAAATCAAAATTGGTACATTTGTCTGTAATTTCTTTAACCCTTCTTGGCCAATTGAATAATATGCAAATATAATGTATGTTCCATATCCTGGATAATGGTAGGGATATGAAAGGCAACTCCATCATTTTACTAACCTTGGAAATGGCAAACAAAGGAATACTGCAGAGCTATGGTGTCATAATCATGTCAGCCAATGAGGGACATTTAAACACCTTCTGTTGCTCAGCCATTCTTGTTTGTCCACCATCAGGAGTGGAGAAATCCAGTGTCTACAAAGCTGAGAGCATTCTCTGTGGCAGCCCCACGGCTGTGGAATTCATTGCCAACTGGACTGTCAGGTCACAACACTACAGAGTTCTTGGAAATGTCTGAAGGCTTGCATATATTTTTTTTAAAAAGGCTAATATATCGGCTTGTTTCCTACTGTTGACTACCTTTGTAATTTTGGGCTAGCTGTATGTTTTATCAGTTGCTGGGTCACACTATTACATCTATGACTATTTTGTATGATTTTCTGTGTTACTCTGGAACATTTAATACATTACTGCTATATGTTTGCACAACTGATGCCTTATGAAAAATTCTTGAAACTGGGATGTGACTTTTCTAAACAAAGAGGTTACTGAATAGGACTATTAGTAACTGCTCATCTTACAGAAAAGAAATCCCTTTAAAAGTCAAAATTTGACACAGAAGCTGTCAGATTTTCACGAGGCTGAGTGGAGTATGACAAAACCATTACTCAGGGTAATAAATGCCAGATTCAGAGGTGAAACATATACATTCTTAGTCATCATATGATTAACTAGGTACATTTTTATAATTTCCTCAATATTTGAAAATCATCAGCTTTATGGAACAATTATTGATTTTGGTTGTTTACTCAGGATGACATTCTTACTGAATTCATTAATTTTACTACATGTTATACAGAAAAATGGATAGTCAACATTTAAAGACTTATTTGGAAGTTTTATCTATCGATTCCACTCAAGCAATTATTTTCCAGCCTGCAATGTAAAAGTAGGTTGTTAAGCAACAACAGCATCTCAAAGTAGTCATAACCAAAACAGGCTTGTCACTCTTTTAAATCTGTTAGAGATGCACAGGGAGCCTGAATTACAGGATCCCTATTTTTCTCCAGGAACAAATCTAAGGCAATGAGGGCTACTATACAGTGGTACCTTGGTTCTCAAACACCTTGGTACTTAAACGACTTGGAACCCAAACACTGCAAACCTGGAAGTGTTCCGGTTTGCAAACCTTTTTCGGAAACCGAATGTGCTCTGTTTTGAGTGCCACACTTCTGTTTTGAGTATTACGCTGAGGTCTGTCTGTTTTTGCTATTTATTTTGCGTTTTTGTTTTTTGCAGCTTTTTTGTTTTGTTTTTGTGACTGTGTGGAACCCAGTTCACCTACTGATTGATTGGCTATGTGACTGCAGTACATTGTTTACTGCTTTCATTTTATGGATCAATTGTGTCGTTAGATAGCAAAATTCATGTTAAATTGCTGTTTTATTGGTTGTTTTTAAAAGTCTGGAACGGATTAATCCATTTTGCATTACTTTCTGTGGGAAAGTGCGCCTTGGTTTTGGAATGGACTTCTGGAATGGATTAAGTTTGAGAACCAAGATACCACTGCACAACATTTAGAGGGAGGTGTTACAAATTAAAATTGTGGTTGAATAATTTTGTGTAATAAATATTCTCTCTTTTAAAGAGGAATGTAGCCTATTGTGCTCTAGATGGGAGGGGGAAACGATGCCGTTGGTCTAGGGTTGTACATTATCAGAGCATTGAATGCATTCAATTTCACACAGCAACAATGCTGTTCTTATGAAAATATAAGATTGCCTTTTCAGATAATAGTTAAAAAGGGGAGGGGATTAGAAAGGAACTTTCCCCCAATTGCTTCAGTTAAGTACACCTAAGTGGTACATGCAGCAATGTTTGTGTGATTTTCTCTAATGTTTATCTACAGAGGTACTACAATATATGTTTACATGGAAAGCTATATACTTCTTAACCAATCATCTCGTTTCTTCTACCATTAATGGTGTAGTGTACTTGTTAGTGTTGCACTAGGACCTGAAGACCAGGGTTCAGATCAGTCAGTCATTGTCTCTCAGCCCAGTCCAACTCTCAGGGTATTATGAGGAAAAATTATGTACCGTATGTCACTCTGAAGTCCTTTGAGGAAAGGTGTAATAAATGAAATGAAAATACTCTTTAGCACTCAGGCTTCCTTCATAACACTGAATATGCAAATATTCAAGGATTTTAGCAAACAATATAACTAATAATTATAGCATAATTAATTACAATATAATTAATGCAGCTCCAAAGCCTATAATTAAGCATACCAGAGACAGAGCATGACCAGGTGGAGAAAATAAAAGATGGGGAGACAAGCAGAAATTGGAGTTAAGTTTTAAAGACAGCCTCTTGAGACATTTAACAGGTTCCAGATGGAACCAACAGAGAACTGCACATCACTTTTGACATATAGATGTTAAATGAACAATGGGCAGGTAGCCATTACACCTCCTTATTTTATTTCTGTCTTTATTAGTTTTGTGGTGGGAAAGAAGAGAGAAAAACTACTACGAGAAGGCTGCAAAATCCCTAAAGATGTGCGCAAATTCCAAAATATTAGTATCACGGACTCCATAATTTATTAACACTGAATGGCTAGGGGGAAACAAAACATATTATATGTAAGAACAGCTTGCACTGTGTTAACAATTATACATTCTTTTCTAGAAATTTACATTATTTGGTACAGTACCTTGATGACACAAGCTTCAGATATAAGCGTGCCTGGGTCTAACACTTCCACAACAGCTTCTGGAATGACAGCCTTCTTCATGCAGGACATGTTGAAGCCATACACATCATCCCAGAAAGCTAACCTGTCTGCATGCTTCTTGAGGTCACTGACAGCCACCAGGCTGATGCTGCAGATGTCAGGATACACTGCAAAGAGACATTGCAAATAATTTATTGACAACAAACAATGGTACAAGTTCCCTTTTGTCTTAGAATTGACTTTAATTTGAAATATACGAGGAAATTTACCACAAGCAAAAACAGACAAATCTACTGTTTTGAGGAAAAACCTATTTTTTAAAAATCCATTTCATGGGATTCATTGTTGTTGTCTTGGTTGAAACAAAGGCATGGCAACAACTGGGGGAAGTGGTGATAAGCAGAACCTGAGACAGATCAATGGCTCTGCATACATGACAGCTGTCACACAAATGGGCACATGGAGTATACAGTGACGGCTGTTTCAGTCAATATTGCTGATTTGATTTTTTTTTTAAATCTTTCCTTGCTATATATTAGGCTTGTTCCTGGACTATCAGCAGTAGCTCTGTGCTACAGTAGACAAAGCACTGTTAAGTCAAGAATCTCTTTCCAAAATGACAGTGCTGTATTTGGTAAGCAGGGGAACACAGGAAAACTCGCTAAGTAGCACCAGAAATGTGCTACCACATTAGCAGAGGAAGGCAATGAAGTGATGCATTTTATCTGATTTATATTGTAAGCTTCCTAGCAATGAAAAATACCTATATCATCCAAAAAGCAGGGTGATGTCTAACAAATATACCACTCTTTTATAACATTCATATTTTAGATAACATAATGATCAAACAAATGAGGCCTATCAGATGATGTGCTGCTTTGTTTGTGTGAAAACCCGAACTAGGATGAGTTTAATTCTGTTGTTCTTTGTATATCCAGCTTTTAAGAGAGACATGAAACTGAAGGCTAGTTACAAAAATAAAAATGCAACAGGCAAATTGCAAGCACCAATTAAACATATGCACGAGAATTTCTTTGTGTTTCTTGTTCAGCAGCTACACTAAACAATTTTATTCAGATAGAAGGCTACTCAAATAGCAGTTGTTGAAAAGGAAAGCAACCAAACTCTGCTCCAATGCATGCCCACTGTGGCCAACGCGTCCCTGGGTCACAAAATCAAACAGAGCGTTAAGGGTACAAATCAGACCACAATAAGCATGCTCAGAAGCTGTGATCTGGCCTGTGCTCTTAATGCTCCTGACCAAGAAACACATTAGCCACAGAAAACTTACATCAGCACTTCTTGTTTAGAATTGTGCAGCTTATTAAATTAAATCCAAGAAGCACTCTTTTAAAGTAAGTACTTTGCAAGCATAAAGTGAAGAAAAACATAACACTATGAAATTAACATCCAATAGAAACTGTAGATTTTTCCATTTATTTATGTGAGCTGAGGCAGTTCTATTAGCACAACATAGGAGTTATCTCACCTTTTCCCAATTCCGACCAATTTAAGTGCAGCCCAGTATGCCCCATTTCATAAGAGGTTGGTGATCCTGCTTTAACACTACCACTAGGTCCACCCATTCATCAACTCACGTCTTGCTTGACAGCCAACTTTCAGAATTCAGTTCAGCAGTAGGCATGGAGCTTTCTCTGCTTGTGGCTTGGGGCATTCAGGCCATTATTTAGATGTTCATTATGGTTTTACAGTGCTTCCATGAAAAGCTTGCTTTTTAAAAAATTGTCTTTAGCAGAAAAGTTCCAGCCCAAGAAGTATTAAAATTATTATTTATCTTACCCATCTAAAAACACAATAGGAAAAGGAGCCAACATATTTTGAATAATCCACTTCCGTGATGGGTCATTTTGATTTCTTTAAACCCCATGCTACTTAGGAAAGTAAAACCACTCCCATGCAAGAACCTTTTATTTCATACATATTCCATTACCTAGTTTTTAATCTGATTGAAGTATTTCTCACCACACGTAATATTAAACTGCTGATCAGACATCTCTTAGAGAAGCGCACTTTAGAAATTCATAGGTTTGTCATCTGTGTCCTTCTCGACTCACTGCCCCCAAATCATTTGTCATTAGTAACAGCTCACACGGGGAGCAAAGCAAGATGGGAAATCTTTTATCCCTCAGCAATGCCTCACAAATGTAAGGACATTAAAAGGGTAAGATCATAGTAACTGCAGGGCTAGAGGCATAGCTGTAAATGATTATCATTTGAAGGTGGAAAAGCAAATATAACCAATCACCTTTCTCATATAATACTTCTAGCTCCAGCCTGAAAGCCCCCTATTTTAGGGATTAGGCTTTTGGAAAGCTTGAGGTAGAAGATGACACAGCAACCAACCATTAGCCCACACTGTGACAACAAGTTAAGTCACATAAAACTATGGCTGGAATAAATGATTAGCACTTGGCTAAGTTAAAGCGATAACAAAAAGATGATCATAGAAACACAGGTGGGAAGTATTGATACTTTTCTTTCTTTGTTCTGGGGCCTTAATAAAGTTGCACACACCTGCTGTACCTTCCAAGCATAAATGAAACCTAAATATTCCTCAGCCAGCACAGCTTGTACACTAAGGTTGCAGTATCTATTTTACCTCAAAGGTGCAATGTAAACTTTTAACTTCTCTGGAATATATGAAACACTATGATGAAAGGTACTGTGAACAACTGTTTTAAACTAGTAGGCAAAATAGCTCACGAGCTACAACTGCCCAAAGGAGGAAGTGTCCTATTTAAAATTCTGCTAAATGAGCTGTACAGTTAAGCTAGTGGCATTGTATTGAACAAGGAAAGTTGATAAATGCATGTATATCTGACAGCTAGTTAATTTTGAGTATCATGTTCCTCAGCCCCAACATATTCTGTTTTGGCAGAACTTTCACCATTTTGGCCACATTTACCATTTGAGAAGTTTCTAGGCATTTCTTCCTTTCATTTCAGTTTGAAGGCAGCCTATGCTTATGTCTTGGAGAACAGAAATGAGATACAGAAATTAAAGGGCAATGAAGAAAAGCTTTTTATTTTTATTTTTTTTAAAGTGATACACCTTTTTGTGTTTTACTTGCTTTTAGTTTTTATTATATTTTGTACATGCCCTAGATATATGGAAGGCCATTAATAACTAACAATAACAAAAATAAAAAGAAGCTATGCCAGGACCACTCCCATTAATCAGGTTACACACACACATACACTGTTGTCGTGTCAAATCCCATGGATTATAATAACCTGCACTAGACTATATCAAAGCATATTCATTACAAATCTCCATCTTTCCTTCCGTCAGGCAAGGAGGTTACTGGACCTCTAGACTAACTCTTGAAAAAGTTCCATCCTAAAATTAATGTAGCATATTTTTATCTCAATGGTGTCTGACAGAATTATCGGTCTGTTGCTACACATGATGCAAAAGTAAATTGCATCTACTGTGGACGTTCTGCTGTTTCAACCCCACCTGCTGGCTGATTTATAGAGGAACAAATGAAACCATCTATAAAGCCTCCATTAACCTTCTAAACTAGTTGGCATTAGAGCATCAGATACAAGTGCCTGAAGGTGTAAGAGCCCTGTTTAAAATACTGCTAAATGAACTGGACTATCAGGCTAATGTATTGTATTGGGAGTGAGAAAGGAGTATAAATATTAAGCGCTTAACATCTATTTTCACTCATCAATCTTTTCTGTCCCCAAAGTGAAGAACTATTTTCTTTCTAAACAATTTTTTATTACATTTTCAGATTATGTATTTCAAAATGAACATCTTTCATTATAACCATACATTCAATGACTTCCCTCCCTCCCCTTCCAAGGTTCTTTTAATTTACCCACTGTTCCTGCATATATTGTATATCCATCTTATTAAGTTCTCCAATCTTATATCCCACTGCAATATATTATACTGTTGAATTTACTGTAATACTGTGAACGTTTACAACTGTGTACGTATTTTCTACATGCTCAGCAAAAAATTCCACTCCTCTTTAAATATCTGTTCTTCTTGCTCTCTTATTTCACTTGTTAGACTTGATAACTCTGCCTATTCTAACATCTTAAGTTGCCAATCTTCCTTACTAGGAACCTCCCTCACCATCCATTTTTGGGCTAACAAGATCTGAGCCGCCATTGTTGCATACATAACTAAGTTTTTCTGAGACCTGGGCACCTCTGTCTGCACCATTCCTAACAAGAATGCCTCTGGTTTTGGGGGGAACCTTGTTCTAAACATTTCCCCCCATCTCATTATATATCATTCCCCAATATTCTTTAATTATTTTGCATGCCCACTACACATGAAAAAAAGTTCCTTCTATTTCTTTACATTTCCAACACAAATCCGATTCTAATTTATACATATCAGCTAGTCTACTTGTGGTTGGATACCATCTATGAATCCTTTTCTTGTAGTTCTCTTTCAACATATAGCATGCTATGAATTTCAAGTCTTTCTTGCAAAGATTCTCCCAGAGGTTTAGTTCTATATCATACCCTATATCAATTGCCCAGTGGGTCATTGAGGCTTTAACTAGCTCATCTTTTGTTTCCCATTCCAATAAAAGTGTGTACATTTTAGACAATAGTTTTTCCTTATTCTGCAATAACTCTTTCAAATTGTGAACTTTGGTCTAAAAATTTTTTTTTCTTATTTAATTTAAACATATAAAGTTAATAATACTGTAACCAATCAGTAACATGGCTCCTTAGTTCTTCCATATGTTTCAATCTGGGTTCATTCCCTGTGAAATCTAGCAAGTATCTATAGAATGGCTACTGTATATCCATGTTGATGCTCTTTATTGTAATTGCTTCAGTTGGCAATAACCAGTTTTTTTCCTTCCAACAGGTTTTTGTATTTCTCGTACTCTGTACAAATTCCTCCTAATAATATGGTTCATGTAACTCTTGTAGATTTTAGCTTTCCCATACCAAAGACATGCATGCCAGCTGAATTTAATATGGTCTCCCAAATCTAAAATGTGAGCATTTTTTAATACAATCCATTCCCTTAGCCAACACAAACAAGCCGCCTCATAATAAAATTGAAGGTCTGGCAGCGAATAACTGTTTTCTAGCCACACCCGAATGTCATTTGAATTTTTTTATGTCAACGTTAGTATTCAAAGCCACTGGTTCAAAAGTACTGGGATATTATGCATCTATTACATTATCAATCCATAGTGTATTTACTTATCCTTTCCCAAAGATACCATTTCCCTCTTCGCTACAGGAAACTACTTCAACTCAAGTGACTTCCTAAAACCAGTCAACTGCTTTCTTAGTAACTTAGGATAATGGATTTCTTGGAAGTCCTGCTTTACTATAAACCAACAGGCCTTCTTTCCTGTTTTTTGACATCTCTAACAAATTCTATTAAATCTATTAATTCCCTGTATAGAAATTCTGTTGACTCATATCACACTATGCATCACAGGCATTTGTATAATCCAAAAATGCAGTCATAAAATTTGTTGCATCAAATACTGAGACATTGGCAATATCATTTCTAATTAACCTATATCAATAACAGCTCACAAATACCCTGCCAGACAATCAGTAATAGCCAGACTATACTCAAAAGAGACAGCTCCTGTGTCAAGTGAATCCATGGTAGTGAATTCTCATCCATTCCACTATTCTTAGATTTCTACTGAACAGAAAAACCAACAGTTTTTCAGCTCACTAGAAGAGGGAACATAGTTTTTACAAACCAATTTACATCATTCTACACTGCATTGGCAGCTAACTACGAAGAAGCGGACAGAGATAACCTTCATTAAGCTGGCCCAGCAATATTCCCCTCCCTAAAGCTATACTCATCACTTGCCTGCTTGAAAAGTAGAAGAACAGAGAGGACACATAGAACAGCAGCACACACTCAATCTAAGTCCTCTGTGAACGCAACTTGATGTCTACCACCTCCTCCTCCTACAGCTCCACTGACAGACAAACAGGAACAGCCCATTGGGGCTGTGAAATGACACCACCACTACAAAATGCCAGATTTGCTTCTTAAGCTGCCAGTTGCCTAATCCTGTCTTAGACAATATGTTAATTTCCTGGCTGCACTGGCTTAGTGCTTAGCGCTAAGAACTGGAGGTGGAAAAACTTAAAAATGCACAGCTGTACCATTTGCAACTCGAGTAAGGATTGTTTTCTTCAGGTTCTGCAAAACTATATATTCAAACTATATATTCACCCAAGAGGAAAAGCAAGCAGGCTGTAGAAAATAATTCAATTTTATTGAACCTCAACCTGTTGTACCATCCGTGTTTCTCTCAAGCAACTCAAATTACTATTTCCCCTCTGCGCTTAGTTACAGACACAGTGCTTTCCCCACTAATATTTCCCATGGTTTGACAGTAGAGTAAAAGAGCAACTCTCTTATTATTTTGGACACAGACATGCCAAATATAAAACATGAAGCAGCAGTATTTGGCAGCTTTATAATACTACAAGATGGGCAAAGTTCCGAATTCCCAGGATTCTTTAAATGCTGCAGTCTGCCTTGAAAATATTTCCCCTGGCTAAGCACCATTTTTAATTAAGCCATCCAGCTGTGCACATTGCTAGTAGGTGGATCAGTGAGCACAGATGACTCAACAATTCCTATTGCAGAAAGTCAGAATTAGATGTTCCACAATCTAACTCGGTAAGCAGGAAGAAGGAATGAAAATACATATGAAGCGGGTTTTGGTTTGGGCCAAACTATATCCAAGTGCTTATCAGGTCTCTAATACGAAACCAATTTCCCACCAAGAAACAACTCAAACAGGTGTTTGCTCCAACTTGAAAGGGCATAAAATTCTGCCTGAGTCCTTGACCTAGTCATGGAGAAAAACAGTTGAAACAGCAGTAGAGAATGTAGGCACAGTGGTGCCTCGCAAGACGAAATTAATTCGTTCCGCGAGCTTTTTCGTCTTGCGGTTTTTTTCGTCTTGTGAAGCACGGTGTCGGAAAAGTTTTGGAAAAGCTTCAAAAATCACCAAAGTCTTCAAAAACCTCAAAAAGGCTACCACACCGCGTGCTATGAGTTGCTCCTCGAAGTCAAGTCGCAACTGTATTAACGGTTTTAAGAAAAGGAAACAAACTTGCAAGACGTTTCCGTCTTGCGAAGCAAGCCCATAGGGAAAATCGTCTTGCGAAGCAACTCAAAAAACCAAAAACCCTTTCGTTTTGCGAGTTTTCCGTCTTATGAGGCATTCGTCTTGCGAGGTACCACTGTATTTCAAAGGAGAAACTCACAGGTCAGAATTTCAGCTTGTTTAGAACAGTTTCTATAGATAAACTAGGAAGAGAAAGCTAGCCAGTGGTTTTGCAGCATGAAACAAGCACTGCCAATGTTTATCGCTTTTTATCATTGCTACAGAGACTGGTTTTCCAACAAACAATTTTTCGGAGTTCTGGAGAATTGTACAGGAAAAAAGAACAAATACTCAGATTTCAATTTCATAAAAGCCTGCATATTAGGCACTGAAAAAAAGACTAGTGTAAAATAAAATGTGATGAATGCATGGGACTCTAAAAACTAGAAGGGAAGAAATATATTAGAACACCCATAGATTACTATTGCTACGGAATGGCATGCCTAGGTTTTTATAATTTATCAAATTTATTATATGACTACGGCAGGTGATTCTGTAGCAATGTGCAATTTAGAACAAAAACCCTGCATACGTATGTATTAATTCATCTTTCCATTTCCAGGGTGGCATAAAAAGGTAAACACAAACTCAGAATTAAAGAGATACATAAAACAGCAACACCACACCATACAATCATCTCTGGTTCCCACTTCCTTGAATATACCACAGAAAGAAAATCGGGTCTTTAGTCAAACAAGTGAACTTCCAGAGGGGTCACAGTGTTAGCCTCTCACAGCAAGAGCAACAAGAGTATTATGTGGCACTTTTAAGGCACACAAGACTGTTTTATGAATGGAAAAGATAACCAAAGCAGATTACCAGGCATGAGATCCCTAGTGCTCCTCTAATTCTTTCTTAGCCCAGGCAACTAGTCAACATGGTAAATGGTGTCATCCTTTCAAAGGCAAAGTGGGCTTCTGTAGTCATACAGTAGCTGCATCTACATGCAATTCTAAAAACACAGTTTAGTGTCCTGTGGATGAGCTGCTATGAGCACAAACTAAGTATAGAGATTGCATACATTATACTCCTGACACTCTCTCTCATGTGTTCGTAAGACTAGGCTTTGTATGAGTTTAGTTTCACCTGTTATGCTTGAACCAGGGATTCTAGTTTAGAATGAACTCTGGCAAATTTAACAAGGCAGCTTCATAAACCATGGTTTGAAGTTACTAGAGTTGGTTTTTGAAATAAAACCAGGCTGGATCAGGCCAAAGTTTCTTCTAGTCCAGCACTTTGTGCATCAGAGCTCTCCCTACCCACAACTGGTATTCAGAGGTATACTGCTTCAGACAATCACAAGCCAAGCTTTAGTAAAAGTGAAACAAACACTGCCAAACTCCTCCTCCCAAATGTATGGGAGGAGTGTTCAGAATAGCCAGTATATTAATGAACCTTTAGAAATTAGCCAGATTAGTTAGCTACCCAGCTAAGTTAGATAAATGCAGCTATTTCAATGCTCAGTTTCTGACTACCTTATTGCTGTGCTATTTACTGATTTCTAAAAATAAACTTTCAAGGTTTATACTTCAATATCTTGAAGAAGTCAAAGTGCTCTTGAAAACGCTATTTCGTTTAAGGCCCAAGTATCCCATTAATGCTTTTGTATTACCCATACTATGAAATGAATGCCTTGGAGCTTCCGCTAATGGAAACATTTTTCATCGCAGGTAAGAACTTTCTTAGTCATGCATAGCAGAATCTAAATCTTTTAGGTTTCCCCAGAGCTTGATTATTTATTAGAATTCTAAAACTAACCTGAGCCTCCTTTTGCCAGGTACTTGTCCCTTGCATAAATGACAGAATCCAGCATTGACTCAAAGAGAAGGAAATAACCCTGGGAAAACGAGAGGAAGGGGAGAAAAAAGCACCACAATGAAAAGGAGACAGTGCTACATATCAATTTAATCAAGTTCCATGTTTGAATACATTTTTCAGTTTAAAATTTGTTTTTCAAAGCACAAGTACTGGAGGATCCTTTGAAAGTTATTCTGTTCTCTACTGCAGATGCCTGCTGTAATTTAACAATTACTTCCACAAGCACTTTAACAGTTAGTGCTGTGAAATACGCAGTGTTGTGAAATAAATTCCCTCTACTATTGCCATTAGTGTAGGTTTCCCCATCCACATTCCAAATTGCAGTAAAATTGTAGGTCTCTGAAGAGATTCCCTGCCTTTGCAGAACAGAGGCTCAGTATATGTTCCCTCTTGTTCCCCCAAAAGTGGCAGGTCAGAGGACTGTGAGTATGCACAACGTTTATGCTGTCAGAAAGAATTACTTGCTGCAGGGAGCCAACACTAGCCCTCAGCTAGTGTAAGAACAGCCCTGCTGGATGAGACCAAAGGCTCATCTAGTTCAGCATTCTGTTCTTACAGTGGCCAACCAGATCGCCTGTGGGAAGCCTGCAAGCAGGACCTGTGTGCAACGGTGCTCTTCCCACGAGTTATTCCCGACAACTGAGCTAGCGTTCAGAGGCATAGCGGCTCTAAAAGTGGAAATAGAACACAGCAATCAGTAGGCATGAATTTGTCTAATCCTCTTTTAAAGCCATTGGGCAACCACTGCCTCTCGTGGAAGCAAATTCCATAGTTTAACTATACACTGAATATTCAGATAATCAGCATCATTGAATGTCCCAGAGTTCCAGGATCATGGGAGAGAAAGAAAAAGTTATCCCTATCTACTTTCTCTATGCCCTCTGATCATGTCCCTCTGATCATGTCTCCTGCATTCCCTCTGATCATGTCTCCTGCATTCCCCCCCAAACATTTTTTTTTAAACGAAAGAGCACCGAATATTGTAGGGGAGTTATTCAAACCTCTTCTTGATCATTTTGGTTGCCCTTTTCTAAACCCTTTTCAGCTCTACAGTACTCACTCAGTGCAGCAATAAAACTGCTTGCACATTGGCAAAGCTAAGCAGGGGTTGGTATGGTATTATACTGGATGGGAGACGGCATGTTGAGATTCCAGCATTGCAGGGAGTTGGACTAGATGACCCCCAGGATCCCTGCCAACTCTGTTATTCTATGATTTTCATGTGAGGTGATCAGAACTTATTTACACCATAGGTTTGTGTAATGGCATTGGTCTTGGCTATTTTATTTTCAATCCCTAATGATTGAATTTCCTAATGATCCAGATCTACATCTTCATGAAGCTATCCTCTACATTTCCAAGGTCTCATTCCTGGTCAGTCACCATCAGTTCATACTATGTGAGCATATATGCAAAATTAGGATTTTTGCCCAAATGTGCTTCACTTTATCCAACCCAGCAAGAATGCACACAAGCACAAATTATCTTTAATTGGTTAAATGACTGAGGTTTTCTGGCTATTGCATTGAGAGATCTTTTGTTGCTCATTTGTTTTGATTTTTTTTAATTGATTCTGACTTTTATTGTTATAATCTATGGCAGGAGTAATGAACCACCATCTCTCCCACCACATATATTTTTGGCCTCTCAGATACCTACTGATCTTCTTTACCCACTAGCCTAAAACCACTACTGGCTGCAACACAATGTTTTTATGCTGTCATGTGCTGTATGAAAAGGTGAGTCAAACTACTGCTATGCTGGTTTTCAATAAACATTGTGTTCTCTCACTGGCATTTGGTCCTGCAAGTTTTACTTCTTATGAAATATCACATCCTTGCATCTCACTAACAAACTATCCCTCATATTGAATCAAGTCATTTATTACTAATCTCTGAATGCATTGCTCTATGTGTGGTGCTCATCTCTGGTATAATTTAGAATGTAATTTCACAGGCTGCTGCCTCACCTGTAGGGGTGCCATCTGGAAAGAGAATTATACCTGACATTTTCTCCTATGATACTCAGGGACTCTCCTGCTTCTACACTGACAAGGTTCAGGATTTTTTAAAAAATAAAAACCTCGCATTAGCACCTTCAAAATTAATTACAGCAAAGGGTTCTGTACTGCACAGATATGTGAGCAGAATATTAATGACTTAGGTGAGCAGCAAAACCATGGCATGCAATTGACATGTTCACTCTGGGTGATATTCAACTCATTCCTATTCCAGTAGAGCCAATGAAATCTATGGATGTAAGTTATGAAGTATGACTTAGCAGAATATCATCCAATCAGATGAACTAAAAGGAGGAAATCATTTTCTCTTTATAGAAGCACACTATTGTAAGCAATAAAAAGGATTGTTTGAGGTGTATTCCTGTAGTTATAAATTGTTCTACATCAAGAAGCAGGAAAATTTAAATCAAATTAGACTGTCCTGGCTGGTGGAAAAAAAGGTTACTGTGCCCAATTTGACTTTTAAATAGAATTGGGGGAAGGGGCTTTTTGTCAAGGAAGGAAAGTCTCTTGCTTCAAATGAAAGCTTGTGTCATAAAAGACACAATAGGCAAAATTGAAGTAGGCTATAACAATTTACAAGAAATTGCATCTCTCAAAAGAAGCTGGTTACACCCTACATTTTCAGAAGCTGAAATATATTGAAGGTCATCATTTTAACACTGTCTATATAAGAAATCCACATTCCAAGGACTGTTTAGTTCAAATCAGTTTCAATTAGTTTTAACCTACTTCTCCTACTTATCTGTTCCGAGTTTAGGGATGGGGGACCCATGGCCCTCTAGATAGTTGCTGGAAACCAACTCCCTTAATTCCTGACCACTGATATACTGGGTTGGGGCTGATGGGAGTTGGGAGTCCAACAACTTTAGGTTCCCCACCTCCATCCTAGTTGAAACAATGCTGCAGTGATAACAAAAGCCACGAGGGAAACATATGCCACTCTTAAAACAAGGGTGGTCGTCCTGCGCCCATCCAGATGATGTTGAACTAATTCCCATCTTCCCTGGCTATTCGCTGAAGGGCTACGTTAGTCATCTCCATCTTAAAAGACAGCAACTGCCTCAAAGGCCACATATACCCTGAGGAAACAAAGATGCAGTTGATGGCTATTTGGACCTCCAGGACCAGAGGTATCAAGTTTTTGAATGCTTGGTTGCTGGGAGTAACAGTGGTAGAGCCCTATTTGCCCTTCTCCTTGAGGGCTTCCCACTGGCATGTGTTTGGACATTGTGGGAAATAGGATGCTGGGTAGCTATCATTTCATCTGATCCAGCAGGTCTTTGGTTATGTTCTTATGACTTGTACAGTAGTTCTCGTTGTCAGGCTGGACTGAAGGTGTACCAAGAGGATGGAGAAGTGCCACTGCTTACCCCTTTGCCACTGGAGAACTTGCTTGAGGAGGTCTACCTCAAATATGACAATAGTCCTGGACACTGCCAACTCTATGCCCTCCTGAGAGATGCATCAAACATAGGTGCAAACTGTTCTAGATTCTACAACATGCTTCCAAAGGTAAAGTCTCCCCTTTCAAGACTAGCATGATAATGGGGGGGGGGGGGGAAGAGAATCAGCCCATAACCCTAAGGCATTCTGCTTGTTCTGCTATCTGCACTCATTATTTCCAGTAGGAACGTTTAAGGAATCTAGACATGGGGTGAAATGTGAAGCCAGTGCTGAAAAGCTTTCCCCCAGGTGTACATACACATGGAACCATCTCCCTCAACTGATAAAATGAATTTTCTGAAAAACTAGCACCAGCATATTGCACAGCCGTTCTCATTTCAGTTAACTACTGAATGTAGAATTACCCTAATTACTGTAAAACAGCATTACCTCTTAAAATTCTGTACCTCGAGGGAACAGAAGCACAATTCTGACTGCATACAAAGCAGCCTTGTTCACAAAGCCTGCTCACCTAAGATATATAGTCCACTGCTCCTGCAATATGAACGATACCCAAGACACATTTCTTAGCTTCCAACTAGCACAAAAATATACGCATTGTGTGTAAACACTGACACATGCTTCTAAGCACTTCTAAATGCCATTCTAGTGCACGAGTAAAGCCTTTGAAACTATTGCTACAATATTAGCGCCAATTATTTCATATCTGTCTTCCTAACAGTATTGTTGCAGTGTATTCTAAAAGCAGCAGATTTTTAACATTATTGTCCATTTGCTAACATGGCTGCTTAACAGTACAATCCTTTGCATGTAAAAAGTCCTATTTCCAACAGGACTAATTCCCAAATAGGATTACACGGGTGGCACTGTGGGTTAAACCACAGAGCCTAGGGCTTGCCACTCAGAAAGTCGGCGGTTTGAATCCCCACAATGGGGTGAGCTCCCGTGGCTCGGTCCCTGCTCCTGCCAACCTAGCAGTTTGAAAGCATGTCAAAGTGCCAGTAGATAAATAGGTACTGCTCCGGTGGGAAGGTAAACGGCGTTTCCGTGTGCTGCTCTGGTTCGCCAGAAGCGGCTTAGTCATGCTGGCCACATGACCAGGAAGCTATACACCGGCTCCCTCGGCCAATAAAGCAAGATGAGCACCGCAACCCCAGAGTCGGCCACGACTGGACCCAATGGTCAGGGGGCTCTTTACCTTTAATTCCCAAATAATTGTGGAAAGGATTTCATCCAAAAAGGTTCATGTTGTATAGATTCTCACATACAGTACAAGTAACTTAAGATATTTAAAGTACCTCTGTTAGCACCAAGATAGACAAAAAACTATACCATAGTTTAGTGCTATGTAAGTCTTTCTTCCTTTCAAGGTTCCTGCACTCTTGCCAGTATGGTTTGGAAAAGTTCAGATTTTGCTTAGCTATGGCTTGTTGCTTCCTTCTAACCAGAAAGCAAAGTTCAAAACCAACTGTGGTCAATTTCTGAAGAAGCCTGCTTCAAACCATGGGTTATAAGACCAATCACAGTGTTAAACAACGTTTTCTGGTTTGGAGGTAACAGGCTGTAGTTAGCTAAAAGTAGTAGCAAAAGCTTCCAAACTTCTCCTCTCGGCCATGAAGGTAGAGAGAGAATAGCAGTAACCAACATTTAGCAGTACATCTGAACACAATCACTGAGATCTCGCCAGCAAACAAAGGATGTATATTCAAATAAGTGTGCAACGGGCGTATTTAAGTAAAACAGAAGAGCCAGAATAGCACAGAATTTAAACAGTTAATAATTAAATACATAAGCAGGTGTCTATTCAAGTCTAATGTTGTTACAACACAGAATCTTATGTTCAAAAAGCAGCCTTATTCCCTAAATTTCTGCAGGAAAGCTCTACTGGAGTATATCAACACATTTTCTTCAAAAGATGTTAGGTTTTAAAGTAGGTCACGTACATTTTTATTAGACTTCCATAAATTATGTATGGTATGAAAAATGGAATCAGCCTACAATATTTATCATCATGGGGCTGCTAGCCAACCAAGAAACATAAATACATTTGCTGGCAAGTGACTATTCATTCATTCACTTTTAAGTTTGAAGAAGGAAGCAAGTAATAATAATAATAATAATAATAATAACAACTTTTATTTATATCCCGCCCTCCCCAGCCAAAGCCGGGCTCAGGGCGGCTAGCAACAATCAAATAATCAAACAATCAAATAATCCAACATTCTAAAACATTTCATTATAAAAATTAATTAAAATCAAATTAATGGCAACCGTTAAGCAAAGTTCTGTGCAGGTTGCCAGAGGAGGGAGTCAGGCTGGGCCCTGACCAAAGGCCTGGTGGAACAACTCTGTCTTGCAGGCCTTGCGGAAAGATGTCAGGTCCCGCAGGGCCCTAGTCTCTTGTGACAGAGCGTTCCACCAGATTGGAGCCGCAGCCGAGAAAGCCCTGGCTCTAGTTGAGGCCAGCCTAACCTCTCTGAGGCCTGGGACCTTCAGGATGTTTTTATTTGCAGACCGTAGGTTCCTCTGTGGGGCATACCAGGAGAGGCGGTCCCGTAGGTACAAGGGTCCTAGGCCGTATAGGGCTTTAAAGGTTAAAACCAGCACCTTAAACCTGATCCTGTACTCCACCGGGAGCCAGTGCAGCTGGTATAGTACCGGATGAATGTGATCTCGCAGCGAAGACCCCATAAGGAGTCTTGCCGCGGCATTCTGCACCCGCTGGAGTTTCTGGGTCAGTCTCAAGGGCAGCCCCACGTAGAGCGAGTTACAATAGTCCAGTCTGGAGGTGACCGTCGCGTGGATCACAGTGGCTAGGTCAGGGCGAGAGAGATAAGGGACCAACTGCTTAGCTTGGTGGAGATGAAAAAAATGCCGCCTTTGTTATAGCTGTAATCTGCGCCTCCATAGAGAGGGAGGTATCGAAGATTACACCCAAACTCTTAACGGACGGTGCTGGCACTAATTGCACCCCTACAAGAGATGGGAGTTGCCCCCTCAATCCCATATCGTCCCGTCCCAGCCAGAGGACCTCTGTCTTCGAAGGATTTAACTTCAACCGGCTTCCACGTAACCATCCAGCCACAGCTTCCAAACATCTGGTCAGTGTGTCTGGGGCCGAGTCAGGATGGCCATCCATCAACAGATAGAGTTGGGTGTCATCGGCATACTGATGGCAACCCAGCCCAAAACTCCGGCAGCTGGGCGGGTGCATAAAGATGTTAAAAGCATCAGGGAGAGTATCGCACCCTGAGGCACTCCACACACCAAGGAGTGGCGCGATGACAATTCCCCCCCCAAGCGCCACCCTCTGTCCCCGACCAGAGAGAAACGAGCGCAGCCATTGAAGGACTGTGCCCTGGATCCCCACGTCGGCAAGGCGGTGGTCCAGGAGTTCGTGATCGACCATGTCGAAGGCTGCTGACAGGTCTAGAAGAATCAGCAGCCCCGACCCGCCTCGATCCAGCTGCCTGTGGAGATCATCTGTTAGGGCGACCAGAGCCGTCTCGGTCCCATGACCAGCGCGGAAGCCAGACTGGAATGGATCCAGAGCCGATGTTTCATCCAGAAACCTACCAAGCTGTTCAGCAACCGCTCTCTCAATCACCTTACCCAGGAATGGAAGATTCGAAACCGGGCGGTAATTGGATAGATCTAAGGGATCTAATGATGTTTTCTTTAAGAGCGGGCGCACCACTGCCTCCTTCAATTCCCCTGGAAATATCCCGGTGCCAAGGGACAAATTGATGATATCCCCCAGGGGGGCCCGCACCTCGTCTGGACACGCTCTAATCAGCCAAGACGGGCACGGGTCAAGAGGACAGGTGGTGGGCTTTCCAGCTCGGAGGAGTCTGTCCACATCGGCTGGGGATATCCGATCAAAGTGGTCCAATACTGGACCCGAGGACAGTCGAGGGGCCTCCAGTTCCTTTATTGTATCCAAATTGGCAGGGAGGTCATGGCGGAGCAACAGGACCTTCTCCGCAAAAAAGCTCGCAAATGCCTCACAGCTGTGTGTCAGATTGTTATTTAAATTTGGCTGTCCTTCAAGGGACGTTAAAGACCTAATTATACTAAATAATTGCGCCGGGCGAGAGCTAGCAGATGCAATGGAGGCCGAGAAGTAAGACTTCTTAGCGGCCTTCACTGCCATCTCATAGGTTTTCATAAAAACCCTATAAGATGTTCTTGAGGCTCCGTCACAGGCACCCCACCATACTCGCTCTAGCCGTCTGAGGTCCCGCTTCATTTTCCGAAGCTCCTCGGTAAACCAGGGAGCCCGGTTTCTGCGGAGTCGCAGAGGGCGCTTAGGTGCGATCTCATCTATGGCTGCCAGGAGCTGGATATTCCAGCCCTCAACAAGCTCAGTCAATGAGTCGCCAGGGAAAGCAAGGTCCCGCAAGGCCTGACGGAATCTATCAGGGTCCATCAGCCTCTGCGGGCGAGCCCAAATTGGCTCGCCACCTAAGCAGGGTGGGGGTGGAAAATCAATCCTGGCTTTCAGAGCGTAGTGATCAGACCATGGCACCTTCATCGAAGGAGACATGATCACATCTATACCTACGCCAAAGATCAAATCCAGCGTGTGGCCTGCTTGATGTGTGGGGCCTGAAACAAACTGGGAGAGCCCTAGTGTCGCCATGGAAGACACCAGGTCCAGAGCCTGTGAGGAGGGAGTGGCATCAGCATGGATGTTGAAGTCCCCCAATACCAATAGGTTAGGGAACTCCAAGGCCCAGCCGGCCACCGCCTCCAGCAGGCCTGACAGGGTGGCTGCTGGTGCGCTAGGTGGCCGGTACACCAGCCAGACAGCCAAGCTCACCTCAGAGTCCCACACTAGGCCAACACATTCAATGCCGGGGATCGATGGCGATGGTAGAGCCCTGAAAGAACAATCTTCCCGGATTAATAATGCCACCCCTCCCCCCCGGCCCACAGTCCGCGACTGGTGGAGGACGGAGAAACCCGGGGGCGCCATCTCTCGTAAGGTAACTGTTGCCCCTTCGCGCACCCAGGTCTCCGTCACCCCTGCGAGGTAAAGAAATCCCGCAGAGTGGCAGTTTTGTTGCCTATAGACCTGGCATTGCACAACACCAGTGACGGAGGTGAGTAATCCTTGCTCACCCTACTCTCGTCCCTCGGGATGGGGCGCAGATTGGAAGGGGTACGAGCATATCCATATCTCGATCCCCTTCGCCTATAACATCTGCCCCCACCACCATACCTCCCTCGCCCCTCCACAGTAGCAATCCCAAGCCTCATACAAGCCTCCATTTACAAAATAGAAAAACAAAACAAACCAAAAACAATTATACCTAAACAAAACCAATCCCCACCCCAAACCACAATAAAACGGAACAATATAAAAATACATAGATAAAAACCACTGTTCACGGTGGTACAACAAAGTAAAAAGTAAAAACACCTTTAAAACACTTTAAAATATATAAAAACATTTTTAACATTTGCTGCAGCAGCACCAGTGTCCTTAAAACTGTAGCGGAGGTGAGTCTGGGCCCCGCCCCCTAGGCCAGGTGGAATTAGCCTGAGGAGGGAGCGGCCTTCCCCAACACTCACGGTGCAGCAGCAGCGATGTCCCAGTGCCTCAATGAGGCCTCTTAAAGCTGTGGCGAAGGTGAGTCTGGGCCCCGCCCCCTAGGCCTGGTGGAGTTAGCCTGAGGAGGGAGCGGCCTTCCCCAACACTCACGGTGCAGCAGCAGCAGTAGATCTTCTCCACACCCCCCACAAAAAAATACTTCTGACCTTTTCATTATGATGCACCACTTCATTCCAGTGTTTTGAAGGAACATCTTCCTCAAATAAATGGATCAGAACATTGCCTGCTACCACAAGTCTCTCTATTTTTCCAAGGATATTTGGCTTTATGCAAGTCTCAAATTTCCATGCTGCAATACCATTAGAGAAGCTGATTTGATGCCCAAATATATCTATAAAAATAGCCAGACTTCTTTTCTAACACTCACCAACTATTTCTATTTCTGAGAAGTTTTTCCAGATGTATAGTGGTGCCTCGCAAGACGAATTAATCCGTTCCGCGAGTCTCTTCGTCTTGCAGTTTTTTCGTCTTGCGAAGCACGGCTATTAGCGGCTTAGCGGCTATTAACGGCTTAGCGGCTTTAAGAAAAAGGAAACAAACTCGCAAGAACTCGCGAGACGTTTCGTCTTGCGAAGCAAGCCCATAGGGAAATTCGTCTTGCGGAACGACTCAAAAAACGGAAAACTCTTTCGTCTTGCGCGTTTTTCGTCTTGCGAGGTACCACTGTATACACCATCACAATTATTATTATCAGGCTGTTCAAACAAGAAAGTTATATGGAACAATTATGATGCAATTTGGTATCCACCCCACCCCAATCACAGCGCTTCTGTCCTGGTTTCTAGTGTTCCTTTTACACTGCATTACCAGTTGTGTTATGTAAATGTGCCATTTTGAAAGATACACTATCATGTCATTAATAGAAAGCTCTAGAACATGAATGTGTGTGTGGGTCCACAAAGCCACACTTCCTGGATTGCTTACACACATACAAATCACGCATAATTTGCATCCGTTTCTCAGGCTAATTTGTATAAGTAGAAGCTGAACACATATGAACAGACAATTAAAATATTGGCTGTTCATTAAGAACATAAGACTATTTTGCTGCATGAAGCCAGTGGCTTATCTGGTCCAGGATCCTATTTTCACAGTGGCCAGGCAGGAGAAGAGCAGAAGAGTACTCTTGCCTCCTGGCATTCAGAAGCATTACTGCCTCCACAGTAATGCCCTCCCCTTGGCATACCCACACATAATGCCAAAACATCTGACAATATATATAATTTAAACACACAGTGACAAAGTTCACTAAAATCAGATCAAGTATTGCTGATAAAATCTAAGAGAACATATTTGTGCACTCACCATCCACTCGGATATGACAACATCCACTTTGTCAACGGGCAAATCAACTTCTTCAATTCTTCCTTTGATCAAAGAAATAGTATCTCCCAGTCCATTGAGTCTACAAGCACAACGTCGAGAATGTTACACACCTTCTGGTCAAGATTCACAAGTGCTCCAACAATAGCATTACCCTAACATACCCACAAAAGAACGATAAGGGGGGAAAACGGCAGTGATGATGCTCAGGAATTTAGCAATGGACTTTTTACCACGTGAGATATCAAAATGATTTATATTACACATAGCCAATGACATAGGGCATCGCAGAAGTGAACAATGATACAGCACCTAGGGGGACTGTACATGCAGAACAATGAGCCCAATCTCTGCCCTCCATGTAAATTAAAGTACATTCATGGCGGCACTCATGGCACTTTGGCCTCTGGTGACTGATTACTGATCAATGGGGATTGACCAACCTTCACTGCCAATCACTTCTCAGCTTAGGCAGACATTCCAGGAAATCCTCAGTTTGAACAAGAAAATCATGGCCAACAGCCCTGGAACAAGCCAGGATATGAAAACAATTTAACAATGGCTTCATATCGTGGCTTGCTCTGAAGCCATTAACCATAGTTTCCCAGTATGGATTGAATACTTCTGGGCTTGTTCACTCATGAACACAATAGGGAAAGTGTGGTGATTCAATGGGGGCATGGAAGGTGCACTCATATATCGCAACTTAAGCCAAGATAAGATCGTCTGAATGCATACTATGTATTCAAAATGGGTGGCTGTGACAGCTACTCTGAAAGTCTGTAACAAGACTCTTACAAATTGTTTTAATGTGAATTAGAGACAAATGAAACAATTTTACGATCAGCAGATGTAACCTTAGAGCAACTGTTCACTGGGTACTCCAAGAAATCATTCATCACTGTCGTAAGATTAGTTCTTTTAATCCCACTTTTGCCCCTACCATGGCATGCAAATCAAACAACTCCAAAACTGTTGCGCTGACAGGTATTTCCATAATAATCTCAGATACAAAGTGTAGCAAGGTCTTCCTGTACTCCGTAATGAAGGAATAAAAAATTAGTCCAAATGGCAGTTTCTTAATGCAACAGCTGCCTGCAGCACTTCAGAAAAAGGATAAGCCTAGATAACTGCTCTTCATAGAAACTGCAGTTCCGTGATAGAGGTATTGCACACATCATGTAACGTGCTCAAACCCGCCAATTTGTGCAGGATCTGAAAAAATTAATTGCCTCAACTGCAATGGTAGTACTTTCTACATCTTGCACCTTAAGAGCTAGAAATACACCCAATCAGATGTCCATATATGAGCTTATTTGCCAAGGTCTTTACAATATCCCAAAGTGGATATAGAATACAAGCAATATAAAAAACAGGGTTGAAATCTAATTGCAATGTTGTGAAAGGCAGCTGTTTTGCCACTTTAGGTGCAAATATTGTTTTCCTTTCCTCATTAACAGTGAGAGCTAGAGGCTCCTAAACATTGGGCCATGTCCCTGGATCCCATAATTTGCTGCCCATGACTTAGTGGTGAATTTAAATAAAGGCTTTGCTGACTGTACAGAAAGTGAACTATGCAACAGCATCCCTTGCCAGTAAGCCAGGCAATGTACAGGGGACAATTAGTGTTACTTAAAAATATAAAGTGCCACACTCTTAAATGCAGATGGGCACCCAAAAATGGGTGCGTACATAGTGAAGAATATTAACGCAGGGAATTCAAGTTTTTAAAATTCTCTTACCTAATGATGTCCATAGCTTGATAGATAATTTCAGACTGGTCTACTCCTATCACCTTCTTTGCACCTGCTTTGGCAGCAAACATGGAGAGGATTCCAGTTCCACAACCAACATCCAGGACAATCTAACAGAAGAAAGAAAGAAAGAATTAGTGTGGCAATACTTGGTGATGCTACAAAGCCATTATAATGGAGCCCCAAAACGTATTTGTGAAAGTTTGCAAGTTCCCAGTAAAAATTAAATAAGAAACACAATGGATTAAATTCTCAGGATAGCAAAGAATACAGTCATACCTTGGGTTACAGATGCTCCAGGTTGTGTGTTTTTGGGTTGCGCACCGCGCCGAACCCGGAAGTACTGGAACGGGTTACTTCCAGGTTTCGGCACTTTGCGCATGCGCAAAGCGCCGAATCACAACCCACGCAGACGCAGTGTTGCGGGTTGCGAACGCTGCGAGTTGCGAATATGCCTCCTGCACGGATCACGTTCGCAACCCGAGCGTCCACTGTACACCTCATAGCAGAGATAGAGAACCTGTACTCCTCCAAGTGGACTCCCAACTCCCATCAGCCCCAACCAGCATGGACAGCAGTCAGGGATTATGGGAATTTTAGTCTAGCAACATTCAGACATCTACAGGTTCTTCAATTCCCGCCACACAAGTCGCATGCAGCTATTGAAACAATTTTTGCAGAGTGTCGTAAGCTATACTGAGAAATCTGAACAACTTGGCATTAAACAATATTAAAAAAAACACACATCTCAATGTCTCACAGGTTGAATCCACGCAACCCCCAGGCAAATAATATTCTTATGGTGCCTCTGAAATCTCGTTGCAATTCCAAAACATTCAAAATCAGCAATACCAACACCATAGTGCAGCTAGGTAAGAATGTTACTTGTCCAACATATTAGGACAGTACAATTAAGTATATCATTCCTATGATGAATTCAAGCCATCTATGTAGAATATGTGGTCCAATACTGAGATAACATGCCTGTGTATCATACATATGTATGTGCATGTGCACACACAGGCCTAAATTCAACTAACCTGGCACATTAGGAGAAACCAATGTAAGGGCTCCTGCTAGTGCAATGGGGTTTACTCCCTCCCATGTGCCTCCCCCAAATATGCTCTGGAGAGCCAGAAGAACCCCCAGAATAACATGTAGGAGAGGGAGGATTGTTCTGCCTGGCAAAGGAGAAATGCTTGCACTGATGAAACGATTAGAAGAGTGCAACACTGAATTCCTCCAACAGAACACCCACCTATATTCATTTGAAAATAAGTTGAGCTGGCGAGCATGGGGGGGGGGGGATACAAGACAGATTCCCAGATAACTGGACACACAAGTGTTCAGCCACCAGATAATTATTCAGACTGCCAACATCTGATGGAGGGCTCTGACTGTATTCCAGTGGTGCCATTTACAGGCCTGTAATTAAAGGCCTGTCAGCTTTTTTTCATTATAGACCCTTCAGTGATTTTTCACCAGAGAGATTTCCAAGCTGAATAGCAAACACTATGATGAGGTTTTTTTTGTTTTTTGTTTTAATAATCACAAAAAATCAGAGAGGAAGATCATTTGGCTTAGGAATAAAGCAGCAGTTTGCTTACAGAAGTGAACTTCCAAGTGTAGATTAAAGATCTGAAGAAGTACCTAGATATTTAGGTTAGGCATTATGACCGCAGCACTCTTAACTGTCTGGCTAGTTTATCTTCCTGCTTATATACTGCTTTGTTCTTTACACACTCCATTATAAATATAAATACAGTGGTACCTCAGGTTACATACGCTTCAGGTTACAGACTCCACTAACCCAGAAATAGTACCTCAGGTTAAGAACTTTGCTTCAGGATGAGAACAGAAAACGTGCTCTGGAGGTGTGGCAGCAGCGGGAGGTCCCATTAGCTAAAGTGGTGCTTCAGTTTAAGAACAGTTTCAGGTTAAGAATGGACCTCTGGAACGAATTAAGTTCTTACCCTGAGGTACCACTGCATAGCACAGTATCTCATTCAATCCTTTATGTTTGTTTTTTTACAACAGCTAATGGTAGCTGATGATACACTGCATCAAGAATCATGAGAATGATACTGCAGCTGGATGCATCACCATGTAAAAGGTAAAGCAACCCATTTCACCTTGTCATCTGTCAGTCAAGTATATAAAGACTGGCTTTGGGGAGAATAAAGGGAGACTGTTGTTGAAAGGTTCAAAATTACATTCAATTTCATCCTATTAAATGCATGAAATCCCTGAACATTTAGCCTCACATTTCTGAATGCAAGGCTACCCTCAAATATGGTAATGTTAATCATTATTTACGTAGGGTCAGTGACAAAACATCAACAGGGTCTTGACAGAGAAACTGGTGTTCCAGGTTTTTGTTCTGACAGGTATCAAAAAAACCTCTCTCAACCAAAAAAAAAGGACAGTCCTTAAACCAATGGGTAGGCAAGCTGTTCTTCACACCTTTGGTCAGCCCCAAGATAGCTGGCACTGCTACTTCTATGTTTCTTAATTCACCTGATGTATTCAAACTTACTCAGTATATTTTTTTAACTATGGAAGTGGCAGATAAAGTAGAATGGGTGGCTGCTGAAACTGGTCTGCTTACTTCCTTCTGCCAATTTTCCAACATTGGCAAAAGTAAAATGCTTGTAGTTGGAGAAGGAAACACAGATGGTCCCTAGAAATTCACACAACTATGGGGATGAACCTTGCTCCCTCTCCAGCTCCAAGGCAGAGGACAGGAGTGGACTTCTCAAAGAGGCAAAGCACAAGACTGGGGACAACACACTGCTCCCCATTCAAGGACTCTGGTTGTTTAACAAGGCCAGGCAAAAACTGTGAATTAACTTGCATTATGGGGGGGGGGGAATCAGGAATCTGTTCTTTAACGTATTTTAACCAGGGCATAGAAGTGTAGTGCGAACATGTATCTGTATGGAATATATGGACAGGCCTTTCATTGAGGGCACGTCACAGTGCATTGACATTATATTTGCTCTGCCAAGGGCCAATGAAGGAGACAATGGAAAAGGCCCAGCAGTGGGTCCCTGCTGTATGTGTTTAGGGGGAACAGATTGTGCCACGTATTTAGAGCATTCTTCTCTTTCATGCACTTATCCTTGTTGCTTGGTAGCACCATAAAACAGCAGAATACAGTCCCCAGCAAAGACAGATAACAGCAACAATGGATTTTTATACACTGCCCAGGAAAGCCTAATTTATGTGGGTATCAGTCACAAGAAAACAATGGAATCTGAACTATTTCCAGAACCCAATTCCTTAGGGATGGCCATGACGCCTTTATCATTCAAGATACAGGTTAGAAATTGCCTTGAATTACTGTAAATAAGTGTATATGTGGCCTATTTCAGATGCCACTTAAAGAACAGTAGACCAGGAAAGGTTTAACAAAACGATGCCATCATAATTAATGAACACTCAAAGACAGCACACTGAACAATGACAATGCTGATCAGCAATTTCTCTTATCAGTGCTCTGCACCCTCCAGCAGTATAATAATACTCTCTGTGTAATAGAACCCAAGTACATTGAATCAAAGTCCTGTCAAAGCATCAGTCTCCCAATTCTAGAAAGAAAGCAATCCAAGAGGCTTTTATTACCGCAGAGAGTCCCATACCGCAAGAACATTAAGAGCTTTAAAGCTGGCCCACTTACCTTATCTCTAAAGATGTGGGCGTTTTGATATATGAAGTCACGATAGCTTTCTGTGCGTACTTTATCCTATTTAAAATAAAAAAGATGTGTTCAGAGCACACTTACAGTTTACTACAGTAGAATAAAATGCTTTTGTCACCTTTCCAATGTTCCCTACCGTATTCCATTTTTAAAAAACAAACAAACCAAGTTTTGGAATTTTCTAAGCAGAGACATGTTTAACGGTCCTTTTTTAAAAAAACAAATAAATCAGGAAGTAGCAAATTCATGTCTAGCCTGTTACGGCAACATTGGCAAAGTTAGTGGGTATAAATGAAATACTGAAGATATAACCCGTCCCTTTTACTCGTAAGGAAATATTTAATGTATGGTTCATATATCTCTTCCCCCACATTGCTTCTTGAGTACAGTCCAACACAAATCTTATTGAATATTAGTACCTGGGGTATGAATGATTGAAGTCATATTAAACGAGAAAAGTAATATACTGCTTCTATTTGTAAATAAGGCCACTGGTCAGCTCTAGGTAGCAAAGTATGCTGTTCTAGGAGAAATCTTATTTTCAGCAAATGCATATAAACCAAGAAAGGTATATAGCCAAGTGAATCTCAGAAGCTGTGCAATTCACTCTACAAAATGCCAAGCTCAGAAAAAGCCTCCAGTGCCCACTCAGCGTGACTAGAGATATACTGGTGTTTTTCCAGTTCGCGCACCTGAATTGATGTAGTACATCGGTACGTGATCTGGCTATGTAGCTTGTCTCTGCAACCAACTAAAATCACTCCTTTTAATATGCGTAGGCAGGGAGAAAGACTGCCAGCAAGCCATATGCTTTACTATCCCTGCAAATGGCTAGAGAACCAATCAGCCAAGCAAAGGTTTTTATTTTTAGCTCCTTATGACAGCAGTCAAAAAAAGAAGAGAAGGGAGTATAAAGTGCGCAGAGAACAGCTAAAAAAAGGCAAGAACCTTTGCTTGCATACAAATTGGACACTGCAGCACTGGATGCAATGCTAAAACGCTGAAAGTACAATTCTCTGCAGCAACCAATATTCCAGAGCTTGAGTTTGTAAAAGCAAAATAACAACTAGAGCTAGACTACCATATCTGTAAGCTTCTGTAAATTTATAAATAAGAATTTGAGAATACAATATGAAATGGTTGTTTATAAAGATTTTAACATATTGAAAAAACAAGCAACCTTTAGGTTCCAAATCTTCTATGGCAGGTATGGAGAACTCGTCCTTCCAAAAGTTGCTGAACTACAACTTCCATCATCACTGACCATTGGCCAGGGCTGCTAGAGCTCATGGAAGTTGTAGTTCCGTAACATCTGGAGAGCCACAGGTTCCCAACACCCTATTCAGGGCTTTAGATATCTAAAAGGACCACCTCTTGCATGAACCCAGGTGTTGTCAAGAGCTGCATCCATCAGGAAAGGCCATGCTATGCATCTCTGTGCCATGTGAGATGCAGAGAATGGAAACGTGGGACTGGTCCTTCCCATCAGCTGTGCAAGGTTTATGGAACTTGCTGCCCTATGATATCTATCTCACTGGACATATGCAGATAGCAAGTAAAAAGAACCTTGGTTGAATGTGCATTTTATAGCACTTTGTGGTGTTCTTGATGCTATTTACTTTATACTATTGCTGGAAAACTGACCAGTTGCCTGACCTGGTATAAGGCAATCTAGTTCAAGAGTCTATGCTGCCTGGCAGCAGCTCCTCAAGGACTGGGTAAGACATTTCCCCAGTCCGACCTGCAGAAGCCAGGTACTATGTGCAAACAGCCCCATAACTAAGCTATACCACTTAGTTATGGTCCTTGCCAATTTCAGATTGTTGTTTAATTATTGTTTCGCATCACTGATTGCAAGACATCTTGAAGATTCAACTTGGGTGGAAGGTGCAAGTTATAAATAAAATAAAACAAAATAAAATAGAGCATTTCAGTATTGCTTACTGCAAACATCTGAAATGAAGTGATTCATTTGGGTCTCTTTTAATGCTCATTTTTGAGGATTAGGAGCTATTTATTTATTTGCGTCCACTACTTTGACACTCTATTACGTGAGACTGCCTAAGATTAAAATTCTCTTTGTCTGTCACAAGAGCAGTCAACTGTGAATCTCTCAGACTTCCACCCTCACTACTTTTTGCTACCTGAACTTAATCAATAGATTTCCAACTGCTGTCTTCACTACATGCACGGCTGCTCAGAAAACCTCTAGTCATTTATTTTGGGGCACTGTTACCTCCTCTTTCCCCCCTCCATCAACCACTGCCCCCTCTGCTTCTGTGTAGGAATATTATTCCTACACGGTAAAAAGGAGGAGGGGGAAAGATAGGGAATCCATTATATATGTTAAAGCCCAAATTCAAATAGAAAAACAGACTATTTGCAATGCTGCAACAGCAAAAAAACTGGCAAACCTGGGTCCTTGTGCAGAACAAATAGGGAAGTGCTTAAAACATACGCAATATTTTCCATTTCAACCATATAAACGATAGTCTGACAAATCCAGTGTTAACAAGTCCGCCCTCCCCAACAATGGAAAAGGCATGTATAAACATTTAATCCTGCTTTCCCCTCTAAGATATATATAAAAAATTAACACTGAGTTAACACATCTAAATTAACACATCTGAGACCATGTGGAGCTTAATCACCCCTTAACTGCACATGAAAGGCTGTAGCTCAATGGCAGACCACATGCTTTGCATGAAAAAGGTCTTATGTTCAGTCCTCAGAAGCTATATAAAGGGCTATATATAATGGATATTTTGAATCGCCTTTCAGGCTAAGTCATCTTCGTAAGGCGGTTTACATATTATTTATTAGATTTATATACTGCATTTTATCAAAAGATTTCAGGGTTGTTCACAAGATAAAAACACAAGTAATTAAAACAAAAACAATAACTTCCCCTTCCCACACACATGTAAAAAGACTGTAGAATATTAATCAGCCAAAGGCCTGGTTGAGGAGGAACGTTTTCGCCTGGCACATAACGATATATAATGAAAGCACCAGGTGAACCTCCCTGGGAACAGCATTCCAAAAATGGGGAGCACTGTAGAAAAGGCCAGTTCCCGTGTTATTGGACCTCACGTGGAGGAGGCACATGAAGAACGGCCTCAGAGGATGAACACAGAGCCTAGGCAGGTTTATATGGGGACAGGCGGTTCTTGAGGTATTATATATAGTCAATTTTTTAAAAAATCCAGTAAGATTACAAAACACTAAAACATAATAAACAAACCAGAAGTAGCAAAAATAACCATCAGATAAACCAACAGATTAATACTTCAACACCAAACTGAACAGTTTTTAAAAGATGGTGTGATGGGATGATGAGCTGCTTGTGCGTAAAAGCGTATCCCCTCAGAGTTTGTTCAAGTCCACAAACCTCTGTCTGTGACGGAGCCCCTCAGACATGGCTCCTCTAGTCACTAGCAGATTCCGACAGTGTTCTCGGTCATACACCGTGTAGTTCCTCTCGGATTTGTTCAGCTTTCGCGAAAAAAAGGCACACGGTCTCCACTCTGACCCCTTCTTCCCTGGCTGCAGAAGCACCGCCCCAATCGCTCTGTCTGATGCGTCAGTTTCCACTCTCATCGGTTTTTGTAAATCCACATGCAGGAGTTGTTGTTCCGAGGCGAAGGCCCTTTTTAGGTCCTCAAATGCTCGCTCCGCCTCCTCAGTCCACACGAACTTCTTCTTACTGCTGAGACAGTCCGTAATGGGCGCCGTCAGGTGGGCAAAGTTTCGGATGAACTTACGATAGAAGTTCCCAAATCCTAGGAACCTCTGCACATCCTTCTTTGTTTTGGGTGTTTTCCATTCCAGCACCGCCTGGACCTTGCCGGGATCCATGGCCAATCCCTTGTCTGACAGGCGATACCCCAGGAATTCCACCTCCTTGGTATGAAACTGACACTTCTCCAGTTTCACCCACAGCTGGTTGGCTTGCAGCCTGCTCAACACTTCTCTGACGTCTCTCACATGCTGCTCCTCATTCTCAGAATACACCAACACATCGTCTAAAAAGGCCACACAATTCTTGTAAAGCAAAGGCCCCAGGACGTGGTTCATAAACGATTGAAATGTTGCGGAGCCTGCTTGTAGGCCGAAGGGCATAACCAAATATTCAAATGCCCCTAAAGGGGTGAACATAGTGGTTTTCCATTCATCCCCCTTCCTTATTCGTACCAGGTTGTACGCCCCTCTTAGGTCCAGCTTTGTGAAAATCTTTCCCTTCCGCACCCTTGTCAAAATGTCGTCAATCCTGGGCATAGGGAAGGCTACTGGTTCTGACACTGCATTTAAGGCCCTGAAGTCGCACACCAGCCTCGGCTTGTTCGTGTTTTTCTTATCCACAAAAACACTGGGCTGCCCCCACCGCCCTGGACTCTCTGATGAACCCTCTCTTCAGGTTCTTGTCAATGAACTCTCTTAACTCCTGCATCTCTCTGTCTGACATGGCGTACAGCTTGCCTACAGGGAGCTGTGCTCCAGGGAGTAAATTGATTTGACAGTCAAAGGGTCTATGCGGGGGTAGTTGGTCAGCTTCCCTTTCGCTGAAGACGTCACGGAGATCTGCATATTGTCGTGGTACCTTCACGTTCTCTGTTACTTCAGTCCCTGCTAGGGTGGCTTGGACCCCTGCCAAACCCTTTCCTCTTTGCAGTGTTCTAAGCAATGTGCTGAACCAAAAGAAACCACTCTCTGATGCCAGCCCACCAGCGGATCATGTAACGCTAGCCAGCTCATCCCCAATATAATGGGAGCTCCTCCCAAGGTGGCCACATTAAAAGCTATCAGTTCGGTGTGCCTTGCTACCTTCATTATCATTGGGACGGTCTGCAAGCTGACTTCTCCACCCAACAGCTCCCTGCCATCGATCGTGGTCACCTGCAGGGGGCTGCTTAAAGGGATTGTCTGTATCTGGTGTTCAGCTGCAAACTCTTTGCTCATGAAATTGCAGGAGCTGCCTGAGTCCAACAGCGCCTTTATCTTTAGAGGGTGTCCGGTTGGCAGCTCTAGCGTCACTTCTATCACTAGGGCGGGTTTAGGAGGTTCTGGCGTGGGCACTCTCACTGCTCTTTGGCCTGGCTGCTGTGCCCCGACAGTGGCAACCAGGCGTTGGCTTTTACTTGCTCCGGTATTTCTTCCTCTCTTCCATCCACAGCTCCTACCATCCCTTGCCATTCTTTCCTCTGGGGGCAGACTCTGGCAAAGTGACCTGGCTGTTGGCAGAGATAGCATTTCCGGGCGCCTTTTCCCTCCTTCTTTGCCCCCTCACTGGGCTTTGAAACTGCGCGCGCGCGCTGTTCCGATTTCCATCGGCTCTGCCGGTGGGAAAGTTGGCTCTGGAATGTCTGGAATGCGGAACTCCTTCCAACGTTCCCCTTCCCTTCCCGCCTCTCCAATGCTCTCGCCTCCTGGCGCGCCTCCTATGGCCAGCGCTGATTTGGTCAGCTGGTCCATAGACTCCGCCCTGGGCGCCCGGGAAAGTTCGTCTTTCACAGCCGAAGAAAGCCCTTCTTCAAAGAGCATTTGAATGGGTTCCGCCGATAAGTCCCACCCCAATCTGTGAACAAGCATGGTGAACTCAGTCCAGTACTCACGGACAGATCGGCTCCCTGTTTGCAACCCATTAACTGTCTGCGCACCACTCCCTTTTCAATATCGCTGGAAAACATCAGATCCATGGCGCGAAAGAACTTCATCGTGTCCTTTAGGACGTCACTATTCGCTGCCATCAGGGGTCTAACCCAGTCTCTCGCCCCCTTTTCAAGATGCATCAATCCTACTGGGCATTGTCGGCCAGAAGGTGTTAAAGAAGGATAGAACCTTTTTTTGGTATGCAACTACAGCAGCAAGAATTCTTATCGCAAAATACTGGAAGACTCAAGATTTACCCACACTGGAAGAGTGGCAGACGCAATTGATGGGCTATATGGAATTGGCCGAGATGACTGCCAGGATCCGAGATTTGGGAGAAGAAGCAATGGAGGAGGATTGGAAAAAATTTAAAGATTATTTACAAAGATTTTATAAGTTATATGAATGTTAAGAATTCAGCTTCAGCAATAAGATTAAGGTATGGGAAACTAAGCTATATTAATGAAAGGACTAATGTTTAAAAGAACATTATATAAGTTATTAGTGTAAATTGACAATAAGCATTTTAAACGTAAACCATAAGTATTTGAAAGAACAAAAGAATGCACAAAATAAGGTTATAATTTATGGAAAAATTTTATTGTAAAGAACGCAAGGTGAGGGAGACGTGGGAAGTCCGGTTGGTTATGGAAAATTGCTTTGGTAGGATGATTTTTTTTCTTTTTCTTTTTCTTTTCTGTTATTTCTTTGTATATCCGACTTTGTATTTCTATGTGGAAAAAACGCAATAAAAATATTTTAAAAAAAAAAAACAAAAAAAAACAAGATGCTCAATCACGAAAGCCACTCGTGATTCCTCGTCAGGGAATTCATCAAACTGCAGATTGAGGGCATATTGCATTTCTGTCCGAAAGCCATGATAGTTTTTGGGCTCCCCCCCAAACTTCTGCACCAATCCTGGTACCTTTCTGGCGAGCTGGGTGGCTTTCCCTTTTGTCTGCATCCTGAGCCCTCCTCTCCTCAAGCCTCGCCGTCTGCATCGCTAGCTGGACCTCCAACACCCGGTACCTTTCTTCCAGGCTTGGACCCACTCCAGCTCCTGCTTCTCCGGTTCCGGCTGGGTTGCTCATGATGCCTTCTCCTGCACAAGCTGCTTTCAAAGACTGTCGGAATGCTGTGATGGGATGATGAGCTGCTTGTGCGTAAAAGCGTATCCCCTCAGAGTTTGTTCAAGTCCACAAACCTCTGTCTGTGACGGAGCCCCTCAGACATGGCTCCTCTAGTCACTAGCAGATTCCGACAGTGGTTGCTTTCGTAATCGCTTCCAACATAAAAGCTCCTTAACGGAAACACGTCTTCTGGAATCTCTGCGTGACAGTTTCCGGCGAGGAGTGGGTGTTCTTACAGGAGGTCCTGAAACCTCCCCACTGTTTTCGCTGGAAGTGTCTCTGAGCCATCCCTCCAGCTCAGCTCCTCTCCCCTGCTGGTTCCCTCTTCAGCTGCTGCGTCTCTCCCAACCTGTGTGAGCCCTTTCACCTCCCTGCTGGTTCCCTCTTCAGCTGCTGCGTCTCTCCCAACCTGTGTGAGCCCTTTCACCTCCCTGCTGGTTCCCTCTTCAGCTGCTGCGTCTCTCCCAACCTGTGTGAGCCCTTTCACCTCCCTTCCGTCCGATGGCAGTTCCCTGACAGATGGTAACATAAAGTTATCTATATGTAGACTGTTATAAATACAGTGGTATCTCAGGTTACAGACACTTCAGGTTACAGACTCTGCTAACCCAGAATTAGTACCTCAGGTTAAGAACTTTGCTTCAGGATGAGAACAGAAATCGCACAGCGGCAGCGCGGCAGGAGGCCCCATTAGCTAAAGTGGTACCTCAGGTTAAGAACAGTTTAAGGTTAAGAACGGATCTCCGGAATGAATTAAGTTCTTAACCAGAGGTACCACTGTAGGACTTCAGAGCTCTTCCAAAGACTTGCAAGTAAGAGTACTGAACATGTTTCTCAGGAAGGATATTCCAGAGTTGCAGGGCCAGCCTAGCAGCTCTCGCCGATGGATCTGATATTGGGGCCTCTGATGCCAGCCTTAAGGCTTGGGCAGGTATGTGAGTGTAGGTGGTCTATCCAATAGCCTTCCAGGTTATGTAAGTTATCCCTTTAGGAGGACCGCACGCCTGTCCAGGATCACTTCTGTTCTACCACCCAGATCAGCAGATTTCTTGACCCACGATGTCTTTGTCTTGTACGTTTGTTTACCACCATCTATCTCCAAGGTGCCCAAAACATCTGATCAGGGCTTCTTCCACTGTCTTGGAACTGACAAATGCAAAAGAGCTGCATGTCATCCACATACAGATGACAACCTCAGCTCAGACTTCTGGAATGTTGATCCTATGTTAACTTGCCTTCAAGCATTTCCTGATCTACAATAATAATAAGCCGGGAACCTGGGTCCTCCAGATGTTGCTGCTCTGCACTCCTCATCACCCCTGACCACGGGCAATGTTGACTGGGAGTGATGGAAGATTGAGTTCAACAGCACCTAATGAGTGACAGGTTCCACTCCCCCAATCTTTTTCGTATATATTGAGGATCTAAACCTACAATAGGCCCTGCACATAAATGAATTGTGTAAGCAGGGATCTACAAGACCCAGAAGGAAGAGGTGGAATATTTTCCATTATAACAACTGAGTAGTATAAGAGCAAAGAATAACATAGATCAGAATCTAGAGTTCCAGTGACTTAACAGAACCTAGCATGCTAAGTGCTTTCAGTTTTGTGGGAATCTTCAGGGTGGCAGGAGAGGATATATTGTTTATTAATATCCTTCCTAACTTGCACTAGCAAGTACCTTTACTCAGCAGAGTGCACTCCCCTTTAAAGAGCAGAAAACTAGTTGCAAACTCGCGCAAGTTTCTTAAGACAATACGCAATTCAATCTGGCTTGTCCCGATTGAATTGTGTTCTAATTTCCTGGTAAGACCCCTTGAATCCCTCCTAAAAGAATAAAGACACCACAGTCTTGTTCATAAGCAATAAAAAGAAAGTTTACTCACGATCAGGCAGAGCACAGTGTGATCCCTAAAGGCAGGCTTAAGGCTTAAAGTTACAAGCATATACAAAGAGGTTTACCCCATATGTAGGTTGACCTAATGACTGCAGTTAGCAGTCCAGGAAGTTTGCAGGACAAAAGGAAGACGGAAAAGAGGAGAGAGACTGGCAGCATGCCTTGGCCTTTTACCCGGTCTGGAAAGGTCACGGCTACCCACTAGTCACATGCAAAGAAGGATGTTCCAGGCTGGGAGGAACAGGAAATTTTGACTGGCTGGACCAAAAATTCACTTGCATGTCTACTCTATGAAAACAAGGAATGTTGTACTTGACTGGTCTCAGGGGATTACGTCCCACAAGTTTCACCTGCTGCCTAATCATACGTGGATTTTTCTATATTACAATTATATAGAATAGATATGTTGTTGTATCTTATTGTAAAACCCTCACGAAATAAAATTCTGATAACGGGGTAGCATAACACACACACAGGGTTTTGTTTTTTTATCTCTTGAACAAAAACATTTCTGACAAAGTTATGGATTGTTCTCATGAACAAAGTACATTTCAGGCCATCAGTACTTTCATCTTTCCGTTTCAACCATCTACTTTTATAGCCACCAGGATCTACCATATCCAAATGAGCCGAAAGTAATTATATCCAAAGTATCTTCCATCATGGAGATAAACAGAGTTGACCGTTTTCATTCCTGGCCAAATTGTCTTGGGGCTGCGCTGCATCCCTCTGCAGGGAATCCACAAACCTTTACGACCGGCTTTCTGGACAGTGTAAAGTAAGACTAGGCTGTGCCTGCCCCTCTGCATCTTGAGCCTGGGTGCTTATTCTTCTGTAGTGTTTCCCCCTTCGTGCTTCTATTGTGGGTTTTTTATTTTATTTCTTACCTTTGCTTTGAACAGAGCAACAACCAGGAAGTACAGTCAGGGTTAAAAATGCAGCTAGCTATGCTGCAGTGTACTTATGGACAAACCCCCATGGCTTCCATCTTTATGGCGAGAAAGACATGCTTCTAATGGTTTGCTGACCTTTATCATCTCTTCATGGATCCCGTAGTGGCCATATGAGCTGAAGTAAACATCTTCCTCATCCTCTTTTAGGTCCGCAATGGCGCCACTTCTGACTTCTGTGTTCATCACGAAATCCTGGGCAAATTGTCTGTAATCAATTTGGAACAGACCCTTGAGACACGTTAAGGAGATCATAAAAAGGAATGCGGGGAGGGTGTGTGAAGAGAGAAAGCATGCAAGTTTCACGGGGCTATCGTGGATCTGAAGCATGCTGAAGCTCCCCCTGCTGGCTGCTGTGCAGGACGCTGCAACGTACAAAATTTGTATTCTCTTTGCATGCTAGCCTCAGTATTTTTCCACATTTCAGATTCCCTAGAACTCATGATTTGGAATCCTGACTTGCTATTTTCACAAGATACCTTCAAGATAAAAAGCCTTCCACATCAAGCCATTTAAAGTAGATGCTATCGTTAACCTTAAAAGCCACAACTATACCAAGGAGGACGCACTTTTGAAGGTGTTCTTAAAAGGCAGGCAAACAAGCAGAGAAGCCAGGGATACAGATCCCCCAATTACCCAAATGGTATAGTACAAGATGTCCTTATTACGTATAATTGAAAATAATTAGCAATAAAACAGAAAATGATCTTTCAAGGACAAGCCATCGGCTATGGAAAAAGGAAAGGCAGCCATAAAAAGTACCATGTTTTCAAAGTGAATGTAGTATGCAGCTGGAAGAACACTCACTCACTTTAACAGCGCAATCCTACAGCAGCAGGGGACAAAGGATCTGCGGCAGAAAAAGTGCCAAATTCAAAGCCCTGCTGCTTTTATGCAGCTACGGCAGATGATGGCAAGGGGGCTGAACTGGCATACCCCCACCCCAAGAGAATGTTGCCTGAGGCCTTTGGATCCAAAGAACACGGGAGGGCTGGGGGTCCCCAATGCCCCCATGAGCTACTCCAAAACACCTTTTTGCTGTCACCACCACTGGAGAACTAATGACAGTATGGTGGCCATTTCCATGCCCATCACGTGAAGGCATGTAAAAGTGAATCTCACTCACCATCCATGGACCTCCCTCTCTGTAGAGAGAGAGAAGGTCCACACTTTAGGGATGGACAGTGCATCACTCCAAATGCTTATTTGGTTTTTCATTGCTCATTTTTCTATAATATGTTAATTTAGACATTACTACAGCAGTCCAGATTCTGGAAAGCCATTCTGAACCTGATGAAGCAATACTCCCCTTGCCCCCTAATTTATTTGCTGAACAAATCTGAAAGCAGTGATAAGATCTGCTACCACTTCCAAATCAATGCCTAAAATGAAAGGTTTTAAATAGAAGAAGAAGAAAAAGAGTTTGGATTTGATATCCCACCTTTCAATCCCTTTAAGGAGTCTCAAAGCGGCTAACATTCTCCTTTCCCTTCCTCCCCCACAACAAACACTCTGTGAGGTGAGTGGGGCTGAGAGACTTCAAAGAAGTGTGACTGGCCCAAGGTCACCCAGCAGCTGCATGTGGAGGAGCGGAGACGCGAACCCGGTTCCCCAGATTACAAGACTACCGCTCTTAACCACTACACCACACTGGCTATTTTGACACCAAAATAGCACTTTTTTAGGTTCTGGAAATAATAAATATCTACTACTTTTCCTGATTAGATTCTGGGATGTCTTCTAAATGATCAGATATTCCCTATATATGTGTATAAAGTCTGCCAGTGGAGCTCTAAATCTCCAACAATTCCTCTGTGTTGGTGAATATAATTACTTTGTAGAATTAATTTCTCCATTAAGTTCCAGGTTTTTTGCAAGAGAAGGGGGCAATAAGTTGAAGAAGAGACTAGAGTAGCTGTGATCAGTGCATTATGAATTGAAACCATGGACTGTAGGAACAGCAACTACACCTTTAACTAGGAAATACCTCATCAAAACACTTAATTTTGGAGTTTCAAGTAGAACATTTTTAAACAGCTTCTTCCTGTGGTGTAAAGCAGACATGCTGGTTTAGAATCTGGTTAACCACAGAGGTGGGAGGCCAATTAAAATGGTCAACCCCTAGAGACTGATGGATTGAAAGGGATTTCTGATGCCTCTGAGGGATTTTCTAACTCACATAGCTGACCATTCTGCTGATGGCCTGATCACTTCTGTGCTCCACAGGTTAACGCAGGCGCTCCTAAGGCCTTTCCCCCCTACGAATGATTCCCAAAAGTTCATTTGGCTTACTGACGAGCTATGTTTATGGTGCCTGGATGATCTTGCTCAGTGCCATCTAGCAGAGCCTTTTACATCAAGGTCCTCAGAAAGTTACAAGAAGCCATGGAAGCCCACTGTGATCTGTTTGTGAAGAACTTTGCAGATAAAATTGTTCAGATCTATTTTGACTTGGACTCCCAGTTTGCCAGTAGAGTAAGGAATCTGTCTGGCGGGCCTGGTGTTACAAATCCAGAGATTTGGGTTGCAAAGTCCTCAGCATACACCCAACTCGCCCTCTCATTTTCATCTGATCCTAGGGAAGGAGCTGAAAGGCTGAATTGTGCTGTAACTCTGAAGGACTGGATAGGCTGCAAAGAAGCTGAAACTTAATGCAGACAAAACAGAACTATTTGTAGGTTGACTGTGTGACTCAGCCAATTCTGCATGAAGTTTTTTCTCTGAATGACCAGGTATGCATAGTTGGAAGATAGGGAGGCATTCCTCAATCCAGATCTCACATTTGTTACACATGGTGTTGGTTACTAAGGGTGTCCTTTTTCAAGCTTTGGCTGCTGTGCCAGGTACAGTCCTTCCAGACAAAACAGGCTTTGCCTTCATCGTTCATGCTCTAGTGACCGGCTGTTTAGACACATGTAATTCTGACAGTCTATGCGAGGCTATTCTTGAAAAAGCATTTGGACACTTCAATTACTGCAAAATCACAAAAGTCAAAATGCTGGCATGAGCTAGGTGCTTTGATTCTATCATGCTATTTCTATAGGCTTAGTTAAAAGCACTGGTCTAAATATTTAAACCCCGTAACAACTTGGGAACTGCCTTCTTCTGTATGTTCTTTCCCGCATGTTCCAATTGTCATTGGGGTCCTGCTGCAAATCCCTCAAACTTGGAAGACAAGGCTGGTAGGTCAGCTAAAGGTAGGGACTGTTGTGGCTCCTACCCTATGGAACACCTTGCCAAGGAAATCCATCAGGCCCCATCACTATACTGCTTCAGGCAGCGAGTGAAGGCCTGGTCTTTTTCTACAAAAAAGCTATTTCCCTACTTGCGTTAATTTTGCTGAATCGGCTTTTAGGGATTATACCTGTTGCTCCATTTCTTCTACTTTATCATAGCTGCCTTGGCTCTCCTTGGATAAACAGGAGAAGTATATCTTTTAAAAACTAAAAATAAAGTAAAATGCATCTTTCCCCCTCCACATAACACCTCAGGAAACATGATGTGCAAATCCCCCATTTATTTATTTATATTTTATTTTATTTTAAATTTTGCACAAGCGCTTTCACTCGCCTTCTTCTTCTTCTTCTCTAACAGCAAGCACCGAACGTTACTTCCAAATCCCCCATTTATAAGAATTTTTAACTTTCAAAATAGAAAGAGTACTGCAGGAACTGCCATGTCTGTGACATCCCTACACTGTGGAATAAGAATGGCAGCTGTATTATTTGTTTGCAGAATCCTGCTTCCCAACAACTTAGCCGGAGGCTCGGTCTCTCTGTCAACACATATATCCGAATTTCATAAGGAACGTACTAACCTCTTTCTAATCCATTCAGATGAAGCATCATCCTGCTGAGTTTCTAGTAGCCTAAGCACTAAAAGATGCTTCAGTCTAATAGATACTAGAGTAAAAGGCTCTCTGGCCAATACCTCATTTTTTGAAGATCTTCTTGGGCTCTGGCCAATGCTGCTTCTGCCAGCTCTGCTTTGTGCTCTGCATGTTTCAAACGCTCAATGGGAGATGAAGTCTCAGTTAGTCCATTAGAACAAAAGATGTCAGTGGAGTCAAGGAGATCTTCTATATCTGGAAATGAACCAAGAGAATTTATCACACAGTGGGCAAATATTAAGAGTTACTGAGTATTTGGGATCCAAATAACTGCATGGCTTGTTCTGTACGCCAATAAGGCTATATTTATTACTACATTTTGTAAGTCTATTTATATCCCATCTTTCCTCTAAGGTGCTCAATCTAAACATAGAATGCCATCTGTGTTCATCTGAAGATATGAGAGGTTTTTCTTGGCCTAGAATATATCCGCTTTTTAAACCATCAGTATATAAAGTTGCACATTTTCATCATCTATAAGTATACACATTTAAAATTAAAAAGAACCCTACCAAACTGGAGTAAGAGGTCATCTTCCAGGACAGGCTTCAGATATTTCTCTTCCTCCCAAGGAAAAGGGGTACTGATTGAACTAAAATACTCTACAGTTGGTTTCTGAAATAAAAAATGAATATTCTGTATAACGTTCTTAACATGTTTAAAGTATGCTTAATGTTGTAAAAATATCCTTATGGTCACCACAGAAGGAAAATAATGAAAAAGTCTGGTATCAGACCTTAACTCTAACAAGTATTAACTGAGAGCTTGGGCAAGTAACTGTACTGTTCCAAAATGCTGAATCTTTCTTGCTATTTGTACGCTAGACCAGCCTAATCCATTTTGGCACCCACCTGAGGTAGATCCCAAAATGGTGCCCCCCATTTTGGTGAGGGAAGACCTATAGCAGGAATAAGGGGATATGTGGAAATTGACATCAGAATCTGCTGTCCTTGAGGGTTCTTAAAATTGTATTCAAGCCCTATCAGTAGCATAAAATGACAAAAAAACAGTATATATGATACACATTTGCCATACATTCTACATCTGAACAGAACCTTTCTCTCTCCCAATTGCACATCTTACCATACCCAAATCTGCAGCCTCAATATATTTTACATGTACAAATTTAACTAGACAAATTGTAACAATGAAAACAATGGATAGTAATTGCATGTTTAGAAAAAAGTGCACCGTTTTCCTCATAAACCTATTACTAAACTTTAAACCAATGCTGACTAGCATGGCTTTGAAGAGACATAAAGGTAAAGGTAAAGGGACCCCTGACCATTAGGTCCAGTCATGACCGACTCTGGGGTTGCGGCGCTCATCTCACTTTATTGGCTGAGGGAGCCGGCGTACAGCTTCCAGGTCATGTGGCCAGCATGACTAAGCCGCTTCTGGAAAACCAGAGCAGCGCACAGAAACACCGTTTACCTTCCCGCCGGAGTGGTACCTATTTATCTACTTGCACTTTGCCGTGCTTTCGAACTGCTAGGTTGGCAGGAGCAGGGACCGAGCAATGGGAGCTCACCCCATTGCGGGGATTTGAACTGCCGATCTTCTGATCGGGAAGTCCTAGGCTCTGTGGTTTAACCCACAGCGCCACCCGCGTCCCCTTGAAGAGACATAGCATAGTATAACTTAACTTTAGTCAGATAATACTTGGTTACTTACTTCCAGTCTAATAAAGTTCACTAGCTTGATGTAACCATAGAAATCGAGTTCTAGAAATGAGAGAGGAAAACAAGTAGCGTGTTTGGTCAAGCTGAAAAGTCAGTCAACATTTTAATCTATTTACCACTGGAATTCAGACATGGTTGTTTCTTTCTGCTGAACTATTTTATTCCATATTATAACCTCTAGTCTGTTTTTTTAAAAATATCACCCTATAGAAGACTGCCAAGAATATGCCATCTCTTACTGGCTCACACTTACAATAGAGTGTTTTCTATTGTAATAGCAGGCAGTTTGCCACCACACAAAAGGTATTTCATAGCTCACAGATACCATTTACTATAGTATTAAGCAATTTTCTTGTAGTCCAGATCCAGACATCTCTCTCAGGCTCAAAAGTTCCAGTATGTATACAGAGCTAATCCACATAGACTTGATGACACACCCATTCGTGTACATGGAACTGTAGACTGCTTATCTTTAGCCTCCAAGATCTGTTGAGTGTCTAACACCAACAATCTTGCTTGTCACACCCAACATGGTAGATTTTGCATGTTTCTGTGTTTGGCAACTTATACTATAGTGCTAATGAATCAATCTTTTATGTAGATTAAGAAGCTTCAAATAATGCTATTCAGCTTCGCTTATTCTCTCTTTCTGCTTCACTGGATAGAATTATTTAAATCATACTGAAACAGAACATAATAAGACATTCATACAAGCACTTAAAACAGTTTAACTAAAAACACTTAAAGTATACGTAAAATCGTTTCCCTGTGCTCTGAAATCTGGGTTTTATTTCACAGGTTAAGACCCATTCATCAATCTGTAAAATGTAAACTTGCAGCAAAATGCAGAAATAAACTTACTGTGTTTATGAGCCAGATTTCCAATACTGAACCCATGATCCGATGTACAATGGCAAAAAGCATCTTCAGCTGAACTGAAAAATCTTGGAAAACACAGTTCAAATGTTGCAGAAATTGTTCATATGTTATGTTAAGCTTTTAAAATATGACTTTGACAGCAATAGAAAACAAACTACAAGCTCCCGAAAAGTGAAAAAAAATCTAGCTGAGTAGATAGTGGTTTGGGCAGTTATCAGTAGATTGCGCCCAGGAGTATAAAAGTGAATAATAAATGTTGAATAGAAACTGGAAACATATTATTGTATTGCAGTAAAAACTTCAAAAATTAACAGGAAAAAAGCAAGGAGAGATGGATGGAAACTAGCGGCATTTAAGAACAATACAGTTCTTACAGCTGCTGCCTGTGCTCCTCTCTTGCTTGACAAACCCTTCCCAGAGTAATCATTATTCCCATTTTTACTGTTAAACAGCTATTGCCCTGCACAAACCCATCCAACTTTGTGGAAGTCATTAGCGAGTTATAATGGTGGCAGTTACCATGAAAGTGAACAGAGAAGCTGACCAGTTTGCCTTTATATCAGGGATGGAGGTACCTGTGCCCCTTCAGATGTTACTGCAGTGTAACTCCCATCATCCCCAACAACTTCAGCCTCCCATCCACATTATACCAACAAGTATATAACTTAGAACTTTGCACTCCTTGGATTCTTTTGTACTGACTTAGACAGCACCAGCACTTCTCTACTAAAAAGGGGGGGGCTTAAAAAAATACAACAGGATGCTTTGACATCTATTATATCTTTGGGAGCTGAAGGCATTTTGTAAGATGTCGTCTTGCTTGCCAGTTTAACAACTATTCGGATTTGCAAGGGATGTCGCTCCGTGACAGAGCACCTGCTTTGCATGCACAAGATCCCGGATTCCACCCAATGGATCTCCAGGCAGGGCTGGGGGAACGACTCCTGCACGAAACCCCTGGAGAGCTGCTGCCAATCAGTGCGGACAAAGCTGGATGGGCCAATGGTCCGAGTCAGTGTAAGGGCAGCTTGCTCCGCATCCTATATAATTACTGTTGTTGGAAGCTGCTGCTGCGGGCGGGCGGGCCCCACTAATGCAGGGGAAGGGAATGAGAAAAAGATGCAGATATACTAGGCGACGGGAGCTGATGGAGCCACTGCTGAGATCAAAGCAAGAGCTGAGAGGCTTGTCGGGGTGGAGACTCCCCTCCGACCCGGGGGCACGAGGCAAACGGAACCGAACCTGTCGCAGAAGAGGCACGAGGCCAGCGCGGGCGCCTTCGACTCGTCGTCTTCCTCCCAGGCGCCGTCGCTGCCGCCGCCGTCGTCAGACGAGCAAGGCTCGCTGTCCGGACCATCCCCTGCCTGCATCTCGCCTGCGATGAAACGAGAAGAGGGATGAGCCGCGGGGCTTGGAGGTTCAGCCCCGCCGGAACCTTCGGACGGAGGAAAGAAGGAACCTACCAATCACCACAGCTGCCCGGGAGCTCATGGCCGGCCGGGAGGGTCCTTGGAACTCCGCCCCTCTTCCCCGCGAGGCGGACTGGAGCACGTGCGGCTACAGAAAGCACCCAAACTTCCGGGTTGGCGCTTCCGGCAGCTAGAAGGCGGGTGCGAAGGGGGGGGAAGGAAACGGGGAGTCTACGGCGGGCCTAGTGAGCCAAACTTGATAAGTGCGCGAGTGTTTGCTTTGTTTTTGTACCCGCGGCGGGATTTGAGGGGAGGCGCCGATAAACTGCCCTGCATCCCTAACTCTTGAGGATTATGAAGTCAGGCGGGCAGCGGAGGGGGCTGTTTCCATGGTTTAAGTCCACGACGAGAGAGATGACCGTTGAAGGCCTGAGGCGGCCAATCTCACGCATAAATTGCTAAAATTTAGCGGTTTAATAAACGATTTCCCCTCTCCAAGCCTTTAACTAGCTTGCGGTTAAATAACATTGAACCGCAAACAGCGGCTTGAAAAAGCTCGTCCAATGAACGACGTCGGCTTTTCGTCTGGTAAACATGACAAAACAAAATCCTTTATATACTCTATATAAATATGCTACGACTTCATTTTAAAACTGTGTGACAGAAACAAATACCTTAGGGTTTTCTGTTGCTGTTAATAACATAGCTGTCAACTTTTCCCTTTTCTTGCGAGGAATCCTATTCGAAATAAGGGAATTTCCCTTTAAAAAAAGGGAAACGTTGACAGCTATGGTTAATAAATCAGTGTTAATCTGCAGCGCTGGTTCGTGTGACTTGTTTGGTGCTTTATGATTGGTTTGTGGCGTACAGCAAAACTAGAAACATAATGAATTGAAAGAAAATGTTTAAAATAACTTTTGTAAAAACAAACAAACAAACCCAGAAGCCTTTTATTAGGAACAATTAGGAATTGTTATTATTCCAAAGGAACAGAAAAGACTTCATGTATGTGACAACAGCAATGCAGATGCTACTAGCCCAGAGATGGAAAGAAGACAAAAGTCCATACCAGAGAGGCATGGCAAACCAAGCTGTGCCAAAATGACACAACTGACCGGAAGGCTCAGAAACCAAGAAGACCAAAACTTCAACGAAGAATGAGAAAAAATTATAATTTATCTAGGAGACTATTGTAAGCAGATGAAAACCTTAGTAGGATTTTAATAACACTTGTAATGTAGCGAATATTATGGATAATATGGAAAGATATAAAACATGGACTATGAATAATAATAATAATAATAAATTTTATTTATATCCCGCCCTCCCCAGCCGAAGCCGGGCTCAGGGCGGCTAACAACAATCAAATAATCAAACAATCAAATAATCCAACATTCTAAAACATTTCATTATAAAAATTAATTAAAATCAAATTAATGGCAACCGTTCAGCAAAATTCTGTGCAGGTTGCCAGAGGAGGGAGTCAGGCTGGGCCCTGACCAAAGGCCTGGTGGAACAACTCTGTCTTGCAGGCCTTGGGGAAAGATGTCAGGTCCCGCAGGGCCCTAGTCTCTTGTGACAGAGCGTTCCACCAGATTGGAGCCGCAGCCGAGAAAGCCCTGGCTCTAGTTGAGATAAGTGCATGAAATAATATGCACTTGAGAAGGTGGACAATAGGATCCATGGAGGGGAAGGTGGGAAGTCCAGAGATCTGGAGAAATCTCTAAATAGGGATATGTAATTTGGATTGTTATAATTCTGTATTTGTAAAATAATAAAAAATAATTATATATGTAAAAAAGGTAGGCTTGAGTTGGGGCGGCACCTTCCCATTCATATCGGGGGACAAAACAGGATGGCACTGTCCTTGCCCATCCCTCAAAAATGTAATCTAAGAAGAGGAAAGGAATTCCTGCAGCAGGGCACTTTCTCTCCCCTCCCCTTCTTGAATGTACACTCTGTAAAATGGAAGACCCTGCAGTATGAGACCAGTCATAGCACACAGTCAACTCAAGTGAAGGTGACGATCTTCTTGTCATTGCCCCAGTCCCATCCTTGAAACTACAGTCTGTAAAGAGGAAAGAAGGAGACATTCTAAGCAGAACAGGAGGAGAGAACTGCCTTCTACTGAGCTCATTCACAGGACTGTCTTAATCATATGTGGCGCTGGGGTGCAAAGATCCACCCGGCGCCCCTAGGTTGCCCAGAGTTGTTGACCTTTCTTTAGGGGGGGACCCCAAAGTTGTTGGCTTTTTAAAAAGGAAATAGTTGTTTACCTTTAGAACGGTTGTGGGACACAGGGACTCACAGCGTCAACCAAAAGGGGTGCCAGCGTCCCATGCACAGGGTTGTACAAAGGGTGCGGGTTCCATGCAAAGGGGGGGGCGACAAAATGTCAGGCAGCACGCACAGTCGCCGTGCTGTCCACCGCTGCATCCCCCCCACATGGCGGTTAACTGTTTCAGCTGCAGACATAGCACCCGGAGCGCCGTGTAATGTTGTGGGCACTGTTCGACGCATCCTGTTGCATGCGCCAAGCTGCGGGTTCCTTTGCTGGCTTTTCCGCTGTCAGTGCACGCTCCCAGCGCCATCCAACGTGGGGTGCCAGTGCAGAACGATGGGGAATGCAAGCGGCATCAGAGGCAACATCTCCGGACAGGATCCGTGTGCTCCTATTCGTCGGGTTTTGTTGCTGCCTTCGGTGCTGTCGGCGTGTGGCGGATCCCGCTCTGGGCGCGGCACCAAAACAGTTAGCTGCCATGCAGCTGGGGCAAGAGCCAACAGCTGATCGGAGCCGAGCCTGTTGGAGTACCGTGGGCTCTTCTGCTGTTGCGGCTTGGTGCGAGTTCGGGGGCGAGTGTTGGAGTCCGGGGAAGAGCTGCCTGCAGCGCTCCGACGGGCTCCGCTCCACTTGACTGTCAGCGGCTCTTCCCCAGACTCCAACGCCAAGGTGATTGAACTATCACCCTATGTCTGCATGTTGAGCTGCTGTTAAAAGCACAGCTACAATGGCCACTTGAAAACACTACTTGGGCAGAAGATGGAATCTTTTAAAATCATAGGCCACCCACAACCAGTAGCATTTGGTGGGGGGAGGCACTTAGCATATCTCCCAATGTTGACATCACTGTGGCTTACAAGAAGGTAGAGGAGGAAGGAAGTGAGGTTGATGTGGTGTGAACACACTGGCATGAGCACCAGTTTGGCTGCACCGGTGTGTTTGCACTGTGCCAACCTTACTCAACCCTGCCAGCACCAGCAATGTCAGTAGTGGGAGGTCATGTAGGTGCCAGGACCTTACCCTGCTGACAGTGCTAGCTGCAACCCAACATGGAAACCCTATGCGTAATCCTACTAAATCTAGTTGGTTTAATAGCAGTATTAGGCTAGCAAGGTCTTGTGAGATCTTCCTGAAATCTCACAAGATCTCCTGAGCTCTGTAAGATCTTGCAAGAGCTCAGTGAGATCTCACAAGATCTCACCAGAATCTGCCATTATTGCTGCCAGGCACTGCTGCACAATCCAGGTAATGGAGGCTTGGGTGGTGGTGAAATTCTCAGCATGTTGTATGCTGAAAGAAAATTATATAGAAATGATGTACGGTGGTATTTGACTCCTAGTAAGCTTGCAAAAATGTATAAGACAAGTGCAAATATCTGCTGGAAATGGAAGCAAAAGGAAGGTACCTCCTATCATATGTGGTAGACCTGTAAGGTTCTAAAAGCATTCTGGGAAATGATATACATATTAATATATCTCAAATGGAGCCAGTCTATCTCCGGCTGTTCCCTTGGAGCTTCCCAGGCTTGCTGTTGTGTAGGCAGAGTTGTAGCCAGGGCTTTTCAGCCGCTACGGATCACAGACCAATAAGGAGTACCTGGAAATCTGACATTTCCCAAAAGGGCCACGAGGTGACACTATGTTTGGGCTGGCATCTACAGATTTTTCAAATGAACTTAGCCAGTCATTCTTGCTTCCTCACATCATAATGACTCCTTTCAACCTTTGCTCTGAACAAGGTTTAGTTTTTGCTGAAACATAGGCTCAGTGGCTGAGTGAACTCTGGAGAGTGCTCTTCCAGAAAAAATAAATTGCGGTAGTATAATAATATAATAAAAATGTTATCCAATTATTTTATTTTTTTCATTGATTCAGTTGGGATCCCCTTTTAATACACTGGTCCCCTTAACCTACAGTCCACACCCCAATTCTTTGGGATAAATCTTATCTTCTCAGTTTTAAACTCAAGACAATTCTGTTATAACTTGGCATCACTTTAAAAGGAAGTGTTGGGGTTGTTTCCAATCTGAGAAAACAGCAAACACGCTGAATTAATTCTTTCTAAATTAAATTTGGATCAAGCCTTTCCATTAGCTTTTTCACAAGCGTACACTATTAAAACACATTTTGTGTTTTTTATTTCAGGTCCTTTGCAAAAGAAAATAGAAACAAAAAAATGAAAGCGTTCAGGACCTGGAAAAAAGCAAATATGATAGAAGTGACAAGCACTACTGATAAGACTAGAAAGTGTTAAAAATCTAGCCAACATGCAAAGCAAAAGCTACTGAGAAAGACAAAGATGATGGATATGAATCTATGACATCACTGGTTCTGGTAACAAATACTATAGTACAGAAAGAATATAAAGTAGATCGGACAACACAGTGTAGCAAACACACTTTGGTTAACTCAGAACCAAGTAGAAATGAACCCCAAACCCAGGGTCATTTGTGTTTGTATGTATGAGAATAGGTACTGTATCTTTTTCTTGCAGGCTGTAAGACGGTGTGCTTTTGACCTGTCTGAGGCTTGGTCCACTTATCTGTTTGGCCTCTCAGATTTACTGACTGAAGTTTGGAAATTCTGTTGGTCAGGGTTTCAAAATTGTTTTGCACATGTGTTGTCTGCCAAAGATTCCTTTAAAGCACATCCCCCCTTCAAAGAATTCCAGGTACTGTGATTAAGGAGCCACCCATAACTAATTGCAGTGCCCATAATTCTTTGAGGAAACAATGTGCTTCAAAAGTGCTTTAAAATATAGGATGTATGAAACTCTAGAAAATGTTGGGTCAAGTTCTAGGATGTAGAGCCTGAATGAGTGCTGGACCACATTGTTACCCCCACATGAACTGAGAATGTGGCTTAGAACACACTCCTGTATCTTTCCTTTTTATTTGTTAGAGCTCCAGAGGTACAATTGTGGAAAAGATGCAGATTCTTAACCCTAGTTTAAAGACTTCTGAGGTGAGTTACAGGTGAGAAGCAGGGGTCATTTGTGTTAAATCTTAATTAGAACAAAAAGACAGGTGAAACTATCAACATTTATAAAAATGCAGTAGTGGAATGAATTTTGAAAACACAAAGGAATGGAGTAGGCAACTTTCTTGTTCTGGATGTGATTGGGAAAGCTGCATGACATACAGTGAAGTAACAGCTGTAGATTTCTATAGCACTATCGTTAATGTGTTGATTTGGTATTTATTTATGTAAGCTCCATTGGTGGTGAGCAGAAAGAATCTTTTCTCCTGTGTTTATTGAATGCCTATCTGCTTGTCTGTGGAGAGACAAAGGAAACAGGGATAGTACTTACAGATGGTAACTAGGTTTTTATTGTGGGTTGGTGGTGAGTGATTAAAAAGAAGTGCTGTCAATCCAGATGCTATTTCATTGTGTACTCCCCAGTTTCTCCCTCTCAGTACCGGGGTGTTGGTGGTTCTGATGTCTGTGTTAGAAAATAAACTTTCCTGCCACAGTGGTGGCCTGTCCAGTTGAGGAATTGTGTTGCAAGTATGCAAGAATGTGATTATCCTGCCATTGTCATCACAGGGTTTGTTGTTGATGGTATCCTTGTGTCTCAAGAGACAATGGAGTACATCTCCAGGGGTGAAGCCAAATCACTGTGTTAGCAGTACTGAAGTGACCTCCCTGGGTGCAAGCCTGGGCAGTGGGTATGGAGGTTCTGGGCTGCTAAGATCCCACTTTCAACCTCGCTGGTATGGTCCAAAGGAAAGCAGAGCAATATGTTTGGCACCAGCTAGGCTTCGGGAGTTGCAGAAAGGAGGTGTTCAATACGCCATCCAACCATCTTAGGGAGTCCACTCCAGATTTTTGTAGGGTTTACTCTGTAGCCTTTTCTTCTCCCAAAGATATCCCAGAAAGCAGCAGAGGTATAGGATCAGAGTTTTCCTTCTCTTAGATGGGCTACCTTCCCAGGTTGACAAGTCCCATCTGCCCCTCACTTCCCTCTCTACAGCATGTGCAGAAACCGCCTTCTTGACTGTTGGGTCCACTATTGGTCTCATCCTCTCAATCCTCTGGAGCCTGTCTTCACATGCAGGGGAAGTCCCTAATGCACCAAGGGTTTGAGACCCATCGGCTACTTACACCTGGTTTAACTGACCAGTCAAAGCTGTTCTCAGGGTGGCCGCTGTTGCATGCTGACAGCTTCTAGGAGTCACAGGTGAGAGCTGAGTGCAGGGTGGGGACCAAAGGTGGGCAAACTACCCCAGAAGGAGCATGACATGTCCCCTGCTAGACGTACTACCCCTCTCCTAACACCCCATACACAATTACATTCTAGGAATTTACCTACATTTCAAACCAGCACAGAGTTCATATTAATCACAGAGAGGAAATGGGAGAATCACGATAGTTGTGTGCATTTGAGTACATTGCACTCCCATCTCTTTGGGAAGGGAGAGGTTGAAGGAAGAATGGAGAAGGTGCCTGGATCGTATTCTGAAATGTCACTCACCCCTGCTAGCCAATAATTTTTCTTCCATTACTTGCTGGGGGTGGGAGTGCAGCACCAGTTCCAAGAGTGATAATCAAGTTCCTAGCGGATACTGGTTCTGTAGTGCTGGGAAGACAAGTATTAATTGTCTGCCTGTTGATTTGTGTAGATTGATTGGGTTCTCTTTTGCAGTTGATTAGTTGTGCCAAATGTTTTGATGTTTTCCAAATTCATATTCATTTCCAAATGTTTTGATGTTTTCCAAATTCATATTCATGGTGTAATATATATTTTTGGAGGTGTGCAATTATTAACTTGTTTTCGCATTTTGATTTAGTTTTAATGTCTAATTATAGGTGCTATCCATTGCCCTGGGGTTGACTGTGGAGCAATTCACATCTAACCTTTATTGCTACTTTGAGACTTTTCTTCCCTGTCTCCTGAATATTGTAGTGTGTTATATAGGCATATGGGCATAAAAAGAATATCTCAGATAGTGAACTCTATATAAATGATGGATTGAACTGCAACCCTATATAAATTTAAATGAGTGCAGGACCCATGGATCTCAGTGGAGGGTAGTTCTGACTAGAGATGTATAGGATTGCACTGTCACTGTAGTATCTAGCAAGCATGGCTCTTAAAACCCAGAATGAATTGATCATGTTAAAGCAAAACTTACAGTAAAAGGAACTATGAAAACACCAACAACATTTAGTTTTGATCTCTTGTGGTTACTTTTTGTTTTCTTAATCATACTACATTTTAAATGTAAAAGAGCCTTCTGTAAAGAGAAGAGAAAGTTTCACCAGACCTTTGTTACAGTCTTGGGATTGTGGCAGTCTGGACACATTTTATATTGCTTTGATGAATTCCTGTTGCCTTAATGGGAAAGCAACAGCTCCTTACAAAAAGTGGGGAAAGCTATAGCTTAAGCTTATTTAATTCAACTAAATTGAATTAATTCAAGCAAATTATACTTTAGAAAAAGCTGAAGCCTCTCTCTTCCTTACAAAAATACTAATTCTCTTTACACATGCATTATTTCCAGTTTTTAAAAGAAAAAGGAGGGGACTGTTTGAAGTATTATATGTAGTAGTTGTGTGTAAAATCTCTCATTCTTCATATTGGCTTCTTAAAAATTAGCCAGCCAATCAAAAGTCCCTAGACTGACGCTGTCTTTCTGAGTTAATCCAAGGCCAGTAAAAGGATAATTTGATTAAACTGAGACCCTAATTTATTTAGCTTTAGTTCTGGATCAAGCTTTCCTTAATAGAGTGCTGTCGTCTTCAATTGTTTGAGGCAAATTAAAGTGACATAAATACCATGGGACTTTTTCAATCTGATTAGTCAGCTAACTTGCATCAATACTACCCCAGCCATCAGATGCTGGCGTCCTTCTTTTCATTAGTCTTACTAACAACTGACAAGCTCTCCTTGAAGAATGGGCACCCACGCTGCCACGTCGACCCCCACACTTAACCCATCATCCTTCCTCAATGGGTCCCGTTTGACAAGGTGCCCACACCTTTCTCCACTGCTGTTCCCCAGACAAAGCTAAATATTGTTTTATGAGCTATCAATAGCCTGTTAATCCCAAACAATTTCACAAATCCACTGAGCACTCAAACTGATTATAAACATTTGTTCTTTTAAGATGCTAAATTTATGCTGGTTTATTTCCTCTGTTCTCTTTCCTCACCATGCAATGCCCAGATCATTGTAGCTGGAAAGGAAAGCTTCAAATACGAAAGGTAGGCTGCCCTTTATTGCTGCATTTTGCCAATGAGCACCAGAAAAAGTAACTTCTTTGAAGATAGAATATCATGATATGGGAGCAAAGATTTAACAAATGCAAGGAGGGCTTTTGTTATTGTTGCTGTTAAAGATACAAACTCACCGTCTTTTCAAGTGCCAGCACAGTAGGATTCTATCTGCAAGGCTTTCTAATTGGAGAAAAGTTCCATATTTATCTTAAAGGGGTCTGAAGCATCAAAATGATCCTTACCATTAATGCACATGGTAAGTCTGTTATACTATAGATTCATTTTGACAACAAGTTTTATATGTTGAGGTGTAAAAAATACATAGTTAGAAACAGTGAACTCAAACATCAACTATATTCAAATATTGGCTATACTTAACCAATGCACAAACCAATAAATGAAACAAGGTGAACATGAGAGATTACTCCAGAACTCTTCAATGTCACAGGGTAAATTATGTAAAAAAAGAGATTTAGAATAACGGCATCATCAATGGCTAGGGGTGGTCCATAGCTCAGTGGTGGAGCACATGCTCTGAAAACAAAAGGTCTCCAGGTAGAGTTTGGAGTGGGTTGGAAGGGTCCAAAACCTTTTAGAAACATGATGAGCTGGGTAGTATGAGGCAATTTTGGGTGGCTTACAGAATATATAAAACATAATAAAGCATCAAACATTAAAAATGTTATGTACTGAGTTGAATAGGATCCAAATTGCAGCAGTCTGATTGGTCCTAGAAGAATAGGATTCAGAATGCAGCAGTCTGATTGGTCCTAGAACAAGGCAGCAGTATGATTGGTTGGCAGGAACCACCCAATCATGCTCCAGATATAAGTGAATCCACAACCTGATTGGCTTACAGTAGAATTCCAGAATTAGCCAATCATGTGCAGCCCATTGTGTAAATAATGTATATAAAGCAGATACTTTGAGGGGACATTCATTCATTCCTCCTCACCACTATGAGCTGAATAAAGAGCATGAAATCACTTTGTGACTCTGAGTATATTTCACTGGCGACGAGGATGGGATCCCGCTGAGCTGACTGCCACACACAGCACCGCAGCACCGCCACCTGCCGCACCGCTGCCTTGCACCGTGTATCCAGGCTTCAGCTCCGGGACACAAGGAACTCAGAATGGCAACCGACAGCAGCTTCTCGCCGTTCAACCCAGCATCTGGAGACTGGGAAGCGTACGCCTCCCGTTTCACCTTCCTCCTAGAAGCCAAAGGGGTCACCGATGAAGAAGACGCCAAGAAGAGGGCGATATTCTTCAGCATCTGCGGAGAGGAGACGAGTGGTGGCTCGTCGAAATGCCTTCTACGCAAAGCGGCAAGCCCCTGGGGAAACCATAACTGGGTTTGTGACCTCTCTCCGCCAAGCCGCCCGGTTCTGCAACTTCTCAGAGCTGGAGAACATGCTTCGGGACCGCCTCGTCGGTGGCCTGAAGGATGAGAAGCTGCAACGACGCCTCTACGCTAAGAAGGACCTAACGTTCCAGGTCGCTCTTGAGGAGGCCCTGGCAACGGAAGCTGCCAAGAGGTCGACGCAAGAGGCACGGCTGAGCCTGCCATCCCAAACGAGGGTCCACCACGAAGACCTCACCGACGACTCAGGATCTGACAGGGAGGAGGTGCACCGAGTACAGCAGCGCACTCAAGCAGCCCACATACCACAGCTGCCTCGACGAGAAGGAGGGAACTGTGCAAGCTGCGGGGAAAGTCACGAGAGGAGGACCTGCCGTTTCCGCAATGCGGAGTGCAGGCAGTGCAGAAAATCGGGACACATCGCCCGGGTGTGTCGAGCTTGGCCCACCCGTCGCCAGGCATCAGATGACCAATCCAAGAGCCCCAGGTCCCGGGGCCCAACACACCAAGGCAACTCAACGGAGCTCACGGACTTCCAGGTATACCAGTTGCCCCACCCCAACGTAGAGAAAATTTATGTAGAGGTACAGATAGAGGGGCCCCATGCCGCATGGAGCTTGACACGGGTTCAACTCTATCCATAATCTCGGCAAGGACCTTAAGGAAACTGTGTCCTACTGGGGGTCCCAAACTCAGGCCGGCCCCATTCACCCTCCGGGACTTCCAGAAACGTAAGGTCCCCACAATGGGGGTGGGGACCTTCAGGGTGCAATACCGAGGGCGCACGCGGCAACTGGACTTGCTTGTGGTCAAGGGCCCCTACATTAGCTTACTGGGATTGGCATGGTTTGGACCACTGGGGCTAGTCATCACCGGGGTGAACCACACTAGCTTACAAGTGGACGTGGACGCCATATGCAAGGAATTTCCAGGGGTTTTCGATGGGAAATTGGGACAGTATACGGGCCCCCCCATTGCTCTACAGCTTGACCCCGCAGTACGACCGGTCAGGCTCAAGGCCCGCCGGGTCCCGTTCGCCCTGAAACCCCGTATAGACGAGGAATTGGACCGGCTCGTGGAGCAAGGAGTGCTGGAGCCGGTGCCTAATGCCCCCTGGGAAACCCCAATCGTCACACCTGTCAAGCCTAATGGTTCGGTCCGCATCTGCACAGACTACAAATGTACCATAAACAAGGCCCTCACGGCCCATGCATACCCAGTGCCAGTGGTCAGCCATGTCCTTGCCACCCTGGCTGGGTCGAAAATGTTTGGCAAGCTGGACTTGGCCCAAGCATATCAACAGCTGCCAGTAGATGAGGCCACAGCAGAGGCACAGACGATTGTGACGCACAGAGGAGCATTCAGGGTAAAGCGGCTGCAATTCGGTGTCAGTGTGGCACCAGGCATATTCCAGAATCTAATGGACTCGCTCCTTAAAGGGATTCCTGGCATCACCCCCTTCTTCGATGATGTGTTGATTGCCGGGCCCACACCAGAGGAGTTTGAGGACCGCCTCCGCACCGTTCTGCACCATTTCCAGATGGCGGGTCTCAAGGTGAAGCGGGAAAAATGTCTACTAGGAGTGCCTCAGGTGAACTTTCTGGGATTTATGGTGGACGCAGAAGGGGTCCACCCAACTGGGGACAAGGTACGGGCCATTTGTGATGCCCCAGCACCCAAGAGCAAGACTGAACTTCAGGCCTTCTTGGGACTATTGAACTTTTACCATTCCTTCCTTCCCCACAAGGCGGCAGTAGCGGAGCCCCTACACAGACTCCTGGACAAGTGGGCCCCTTGGGTGTGGGGCCAGCGCCAGGAGGCTGCATTCCAGGCAGTCAAGGACTTGCTTGTCTCAAACTCGGTCTTGGCACACTTCGACGAGAGGCTGCCGGTGGTGCTAGCATGCGACGCCTCGCCCTATGGCATTGGCGCTGTCCTGGGACACCAACTCCCGGATGGAAGAGAGGTACCGGTAGCATACTTTTCCCAGACACACAACGCAACCGAGCGGAACTACTCGCAAATAGACAAGGAGGGGCTGGCAATCGTGAAGGGAGTAAACAAATTCCATGATTTCTTGTACGGGCGGCCTTTCACCGTGGTGACTGACCACAAGCCGTTGCTTGGCTTGTTTGCCCCCGAAAAGCAGACCCCCCAAGTGCTGTTTCCTCGCGTCCTCAGGTGGTCAATTTTGCTTGCCAGCTACCAGTATGCACTGATTCACCGCCCGGGGAAGGCGATGGGCCATGCGGACGCCCTCAGCAGGCTACCACTACCGGAAACAGGCCCCGACCCAGCACCTGCACAAGAGGTTATGAGCCTGGAGCTGCTTCCCGACCGCCCCATTCAGGCACAAGAAGTTGCGCACCATTCCAAGAAAGATAGGGTCATCTCCCGGGTCCTGGACTAGGTGTGGAGGGGATGGCCCAGCAGCAGCCCTGGGCCAGAATTCGCTGGCTACACAACCCGCAAACATGAACTGTCAGCCCACAAGGGGTGCCTGTTATGGGGAAGCAGGGTCGTTGTTCCCCAGCCCCTCCGCAAAAGGGTCCTCACAGCCCTACACGAGACACACCCAGGGGTAGTAAGAATGAAGGCCCTGGCCAGGAGTTATGTGTGGTGGCCGGGGATCGACGGAGAGATAGAGGCCTGGGTCAAACACTGCCAGGCCTGCCAAGAATCCCGCCCAGATCCCCCAAGGGCCCCAGTCCAGTCCTGGGAGTCCGCCCTAGCTCCATGGTCACGCCTGCATGTGGACTTCGCTGGCCCCTTTCAGGGGAAAACATTCTTCATAGTGGTGGACTCCTACACCAAATGGCTGGAAGTCGCACTGGTACCGTCCACTTCTACATCCGCAGCCATCCGGGTACTACGCAGGCTGTTTGCAACCCACGGGCTCCCTGACACTCTCGTCTCAGACAACGGGACTGCATTTACGTCAAGAGAATTCCAAACCTTCACAGCGCAGAACGCCATCCGCCACATCCGTTCGGCGCCATTCCACCCTGCCACCAATGGCCAAGCAGAACGCATGGTGCGGACCACCAAGGACACCCTTTGCCGCATGACACAAGGGGATTGGGAGTATCGCCTTGCCACATTCCTCCTAGCACAGCACAGCACCCCCAGCTCAACGACTGGCCGGAGCCCCACTGAACTACTAATGGGTCGGCGCCTTGCAATCAGATTGGACCGCCTTCACCCTGATAGAGCTCAGGATGAGGTAGTGGTGGGGGAAGGCAGGAACCCCCGGACCTTCGAGGCCCAGGACCCAGTGTACGCAAAGAATTTTGGGGCAGGCCCAGCATGGGTACCCGCCACAGTCACCAGGGTCACTGGCCCCGTGTCGTACAAGGTGCTAACGGATGGGGGGCAATGCTGGTGCCGCCACTGCGACCAGATACGGCAACAATTCCCGGGAGAAAACCAGGAGGAGGAAAGGTCAGAGGAGTCCCAAGGGAACAGAGGGGCAGTGAGGCCCATAGAGCAGGAGGGGCCAGCAGGAGAGGCAGAATCAGTAAATACAGAGAGGACCCACGAGGCCGAAAGGACACCGGAACCAGAACCACGACTGAGCGAGCCAGTTGCGCCAGACCAAACAGGCCCATCACAGCCAGCATCCTTGGAACACGAGCCAGAACCTGAACCCTGGACCAGGGAACACCACAGGCCGCAACGCACACATAGGCCGCCGGCGTACCTCGAGGACTATGAATGTGACCTCCCGGGCAGGACTGGAACTTAGAGGGGAGGGGTGATATGTACTGAGTTGAATAGGATCCAAACTACAGCAGTCTGATTGGTCCTAGAACAATAGGATCCAAATTGCAGCAGTCTGATTGGTCCTAGAACAATAGGATTCAGAATGCAGCAGTCTGATTGGTCCTAGAACAAGGCAGCAGTATGATTGGTTGGCAGGAACCACCCAATCATGCTCCAGATATAAGTGAATCCACAACCTGATTGGCTTACAGTAGAATTCCAGAATTAGCCAATCATGTGCAGCCCATTGTGTAAATAATGTATATAAAGCAGATACTTTGAGGAGACATTCATTCATTCCTCCTCACCACTATGAGCTGAATAAAGAGCATGAAATCACTTTGCGACTCTGAGTATATTTCAAAAAACTTCCCAATACAGGGCTGCCTTCCAATGTCTTCTAAAAGTTGTGTAATTCTTTATCTCCTTGACATCTGAAGGGAGGGCATTCTACAGAGAGGGTGCCACTACCGAGAAGGCCCTCTGCTTGGTTCCCTGTAACTTCACTTCTTGCAGTGAGGGAACCAACAGAAGACCCTTGGAGCAGCTCAGTGTCTGGGCTGAGTGATGGGGTGGAGACGTTCCTTCAGGTATACTGGACCGAGGTCATTTAGGGCTTTAAAGGTCAGCACCAGCACACTGAATTGTGCTCAAAAACACACTAGGAGCCAATGAATATCCTTTAGGACCAGTGTTATATGGTCTTGGCGGCCACTCCCAGTCACCATTCTAGCTGCCGCATTCTGGATTAGTTGCAGTTTCCGGGTCACCTTCTAAGGTAGCCCCACATAGAGCACACTGCAGTTGTCCAAGCGGGAGATAACCAGAGCGTGCACCACTCTGTCGAGACAATCTGTGGGCAGGTAGGGTCTCAGCCAGCGTAGCAAGTGGAGCTGGTAGACAGCTGCCCTGGACACAGAATTGACCTGCACTTCCATGGACAGCAATAGGTGTAAATAGGTCAAATAAAGTTAATATGTTGATTTCACATAAAAAAAATTGCTCTAACAGAAAAGTTGTGTTTGTGTTGGAAAAAATAATAAATTAAGACACCTGAACTTGTTTTTGTAACATAGTGTGTATTAGTGTGTATAGGATCACAGTCTTATATAAGATTTTGAAACAAGGGCTGGGAAATATAAGCTTTTCAACATCGCGATGTATCACCAGCCAAACACCACAATATAGTGATACATCGTGATGTTGAAAAGCAGAGGGAGGAACAAGCTGCATTGGGTCCAGGCCCATGAGGCGCTGGATTGAAACCACCTCAGCTCCCTCAACGAAATGAGTTCCATTGGCCATGTGCCTCACCATCGCATTAGCAGTGTCAGCACTAGCAGCAGCTTCTCTCCCTCCTTGTGTCACCTTTTTCAATAAGGGCTGCCAGGGTCCTTCTTCAGAGGCAGACATTCTGAGTGGGGTGGCCAGGATAATGCCTGTGTATCGAACTTCTTCCCCATCCTTACTCTGTCCTTGAGAGGAGTCACTGATTGGTACCATACTAAACCTGCTCTGAAAGAACTGTACAGTGGTACCTCGGTTTAAGAACAGCCCTGTTTACGAATTAGACGGTTTAAGAACTCCGCAAAAGCAGAAGTAGTGTTCTGGTTAGCGAACTTTACCTCGACCTAAGAACAGAAGCTGAAGGGCACCAGCGGCAGGAGGCCTCAATTAGGGAAAGTGTGCCTTGGTCTAAGAACTGTTTTGGTTTAAGAATGGACTTCTGGAACAGATTAAGTTCATAAACCAAGGTACCACTGTACTGGCTTCCAGTGTGCTTCCAGTCTGAATTCAAGGTGTTGCAAATAACCTATAAAGCTCTTGAATTACTTGGATCCTAATACTTTTCTTGTAGAGTCTTGCTCATGATTTAAGAGTAAGGTCCTTTTTAGTTCTCTGAAATTTAGGAATGATTCATCCATCAACCACAAAAAAACCCAAGCAAATTGAAATAGATTGCTTTCCAAAGATCGTGCTCCTGTTACAAGGATGGATATCCCAAAGACTTAATTTGTTCCAGTGTTCAGGAACCTGGACTTAATTCCAGAATTGTTTCAACTCTAGGGATGAGTGGCTGGAATAGAATCTAAGCCTGTGCCATAGTCTGTTTCATTATATTTAAGATTCCGGGCATGGCTTCAGCCGCAGCACCTCTCTACTTAGAAACTTAGCATTGTGTGGGTGCTTCTAGATGGGGGCCTAAAAACACAAATGGGTCATTCTGCTCTGATTTTTCTGTATGCACATTTGGCACATTAGGTTCTCCCCATTCCTCTTTTTTGTCCAGTCATGGATAGTTGTTGATCTACTACTGCTTGCTGTAAACACCAGTGGGCAGAACTTAATGAAAAGTATCTGCATTATGTTCTTTTGTCCTTTCCCTTGGCCATTCTTCCTTCACTCTCTCTATTTCCATTCTGGGCAGGCATGCACATATCCAAGTCCATTTTAATTTTTTTAAAACTGAATTCTTGTGCAATAGGAATATTTCTTGTATAAGACTTGCACAAGAGTATTAAAAAGGTCTTTCACAAGTTTCCTAATTATTATTTTTTAAAAAAACAACAAACTTGATCTATGTACTGTAATTACCACCTTCAAGGTAATCTCTTGCATGTACTGTGGGGAAATCTTGAGAGCGCAGTTCTTCCAAACTGGGTTGCTAAGATTCTGATATGCCTTCAGCATGCAGGAATTGGTGGAAATAGATATGCTCGTATTTCTTGAGCTGCCAGGAGGGGGAAATGGCCATCTTCTGCTCAGGTGAGGAGCAAATGCAGGTAGGGGTTTAGCAATAGAGACCACCCACCAAAACATTACTAAATACATGACAAACTGCCCACCATAGAATCATAGAATTCTAGAGTTGGAAGGGACCCTGAGGGTCATCTAGCCCAACTCCCTGCAATGCAGGAATCTCAACTAAAGCTTCCATGGCCAAAAATGCCCAAAAAATCTGCTTCCTCACCAGCAATGACTGTGGAAGTGTCATTGATTATTTTTACTTATTGCATATTTATATGTTAAAAAAAATACAAGCTGACGTTTTGATGATGATGTCATCATGTGCATGCCATGAAAAACATGCTTGCATGAGCAGCACAGATTCGACAATGAACTTCAGTCTTGAACCACCCTCTGCTCCAAAGCCATGGGTTGTGTCCAACGTTAGGCATACTCACAGTACTCCAACTAAAATTATTGGACATAACTTACTGAATTTTAATGGGTCAGCTGAGTAGAATTTAGTCAGATGCAGTCCTGCGTTTCTTAAACTGTAGCACCCCACTTTATTATTGCTTGCCCGCAATTTCCAATTAGAAGCACAAGAGGGCAGTGCGGTTCTAACCTGAGAAAATATATTTTCCACTATGACTGGAATGACTCTTTCTCAGAAAAGTCTCAGAATACAGCCTTCGTTGCTCCAACTCAAAAGTAAGTCCCACCGAACCAATGGTACTTACTTCTGAGTAAACATATTTAGGATTAGGGCATCAGTCTTAGTTACATTGAGTGAAACTGACAAACCTTTTCTAAAGAGAAAAAAGTATTGCATATAAGGCATCTTGAAATTACTGACTTTACATTGTCTTTTCAGCTCAGTAATGTTCTGTTGATCTTTTGTCTGATCTTCCCAATGCATCCCTGCTGCTTTTTACAAAAACAAAAATTTAAAATGTGTCTTAGAAGGGCAGAAAAGCACAATTTCACACACAGGAAAATTTATATTTTTGCCCCCCCTTTTTTTTACTTAAATGAACTTTCTGAGTAGCTGTGCAGAATTCCTGCCTCCTAATGGAACCCTTTTCATACAGCAAGTAATGAAGAAGTAGTCTGAGTTTGACTTCAAAGTTATGTGAACATATTAAGAAGTAACAGTGCAATTCTTTGCACATTTACTTGGAAGAGAGTTTTCAGTGGAGCTTATGTGCATCCCAGGTAAGTGTGCATAGGACTGCAGCTTAAGTACCATTGAAGCCAGTGGGGCTAATTGCGATAACTTCTCGAAAGATTCCATCAACAGTGTCTCCGAAAAAATCTTACACATCACTTGGGAAGACAGGCAAACTAATATCAGTGTACTGGAAGAAGCAAAGATCATCAGTGTTGAAGCAATGATTCTTCAACATCAACTTCCTTGGACTGGTCATGTTGTGTGGTTGCCTGATTATTGTCTTCCAAAGCAACTACTCTTTTCTAAACTTAAAAATGGAATGTGTAATGCTGGTGGTCAACAAAAGAGGTTTAAAGACTGTCTAAAGGCAAATCTAAAAAAATGTAGTATAAACAGTGACAACTGGGAAACACTGGCCTGTGAGCGCTCCAGTTGGAGAACAGCCTTTACCAAAGGTGTCATGGACTTTGAAGACACTTGAACTCAGAACGCAAGGGAGAAACGTGCTAAGAGGAAGGCACACTTGGTAAATCCACACCATGATCAACTCCTACCCGGGAACGAATGTCCCCACTGTGGAAGGACGTGTGGATTAAAACCATGTTTATGGAAGACAATCTTACTCGGCTAGGAGTGATAGCCAAAGAAAGAAGAAAGAATTGCAATAAACATACCTAGGTTCAGGCAATGTGGCTAATTGTGTTTGTTAGCCACATAGTCTGATCTCAGTCATGTTTATTTGCAAACAAGCGTGTTTTTCATAGAAGCCAATGGAAGAAAATCAGTCCTCTTTTGTAGCTGAGCAGCCCTGTTGTAATGTGTATGGCAGATCCATTCCTTTATCCAGACCAGGATTCCAGAATGCTCTGGCCTAAGCAGACTGTTGACAGATGACTCAAACCCTCTAAACTCGTGAAGGAAAATGTGTCAAGGAACTGAAAAGCCTTTAAAAATAAATAAATTAAAACTTCACATTGTTGACACTGTTAAGCCAGTGAACCTACCACCCAGACATATTCCCATCCACGTCAGAAAATCAAAGAAGAATTAAAATACAGTGGTACCTTGGTTTAAGAACAGCTTAGTTTATGAACAACTTGGATTAAGAAAGCTGCAAACCCGGAAGCAGGTGCTTTGGTTTGTGAACTTTGCCTTGGAAGCAGAACATGTTCCACTTCTTGTTGAGTGCAAATTGAATCCCCTGCTGCTATGGTAAAGCACGCCTTGGTTTAGGAACTCTTTGGTTTAAGAATGGACTTCCGGAATAGATTAAGTTCGTAAACTAAGGTACCACTCTATCAAAAAGAGCTTGGCATTGTTGAGCAAGTAGAAGGTCTTACCCTTGGTTCTCCCCAACAGTAATGGTCCAAAGACTATGCAGCCAGGAAAAATCAAATTTGTGTTGACATGCACCTCCTTAATTGAGCCAGAGAGAGAGAT